ACGTTCATAGTTGTTGAGCAAAGTGACGGGATAAATGGGCATACATTGGAGTTTTGTAATGGAATATCAATTCTACTCGTATTTCCGACTAAAAGCATCAGGCATCGATACGCTGAATGTGTCGCGATACCCAAGCATTGATGCAGTTCCAAATGCGGTCAATACTTTGCCTTGAGGCTTATTCTTGTGTTCACTCTTGTCATTCAATGCGATTTCTTTTGCTTGTCCAGTCGTCGGCGCTTTATTCGTTGTACTGTACACTCTCTAGACCGCTTTCACTGATAGCAAAGGGGGTACCAACTCCAGAGGTCTGTGACAGTGACAGGAAGATAACAAGAAAACAGAGCAAGCAGTCGTCAATCAAAAGCTGTCAAAACCAAAGCAATACTGCAAGAATACGTACCAATCGAGGAGATTTTCGAAGCTCGGCGATGCGTATTCGTCGAGTCGCGCTTGACGAAGCAGCGGATTTGGTTGGCAAGCTGCCCCAGCCCAACAAGATTTGTGTGCTGGGCACATGCGTCCACGTCTGGCCGAGAGCAGCTCGTTTCCCGCCATCGGCATCTCTATCATGCTGACCAACAGTGTAATTTGTGACCTAGCATGCGAGAATTGAGAGCACGAGATCAGAAAGCCGAGCAGAATTCTCATAATGAAAAAACTGTTTTAAAAAAAAAAAAGCAAGTTCAACCGTCTGTCATCCTTACTAAGACGCCCATAGCGTGGTCCATGGCTATTACTTTTAAAAGCCTTGCAAGTCGCGTTGTGAGAGCATGACCTACATCGGACGGTAGTGAGCGATCGGACAGCTGCATCGTTCAAATTTGTCTTCGCCTTTCGACCTACCACGGAGTTGCGTGCCAATCACGGGAGATATTACTGATGCAATCGAATCGATAACAATGAGCTTGCTTGCCAGTATTACTTGATCATCCTGGACGAATGAGCAAACAGAGATTGGTGTGAGGCAATCAGCATGCTTTGCTCACCGCGAAAAAAAAACCGCGGCAGTTTATACCTGAGCTTGCAGATGTTGTAGCAACTCTTCTAGCACAGTTAGCAGCGAGTGCAAGTCATGGACGAATACAACTCGAATTTTTTCCAGCGTGGTTGTCAAATTCTGTGTCAAGAGCAATCCAACAACAAATAATGGAGAGAAAGCAACTAGTTGCTGCGGTAACTGAAATCTTTGATTCCCTTACTCGTATGTCTGCTCCTTCGGTCGCAAAGCCGCGGTGAATCGCAGCCAGGCGAGTCGGCGAAAATTCATTATTGGTGCTGATGTAAATGACATTAGAGTCGGTTGTGCATGCCACCGCCGTGCTGATATGCAAGCACGTCTGTTAAAGCAGTTCACAAGGGGTTGTGCGGTTTTGAGCTGCTGCACATGAACAGCCATTCAGAACAGCTCAAAAACGCGTCAAAGGTCGAGTGAAGCAAACAGAACTCGCCTGCGTCTTGCCGCTCGATGTTGGCCCAACAAGCTCGGTGATTTCTCCAGAGTATATGCCGCCGCTTAATAGACTATCGAGACTGCACAATGAGCGAGTTGCACCGTAGCAAGGTGAGTTTTTTGGGCGCAAGGTCGAACGCCGAATATGCTCAAACAATCAACGATTGAAGACCACAAAGCCCCAGAATCCAACTTCAAAGAACGTACTTGCTACAGCCTGTTGATAGAATGAGCTGATTGTCTAGCTCATGGTCGAGTCGGTCGACGGCCCGCAATGCAAGTGCAGCACAGCTCTGCACGACATACGCACGAATGGCCTGGACTTGCTACTCTCCCCCAACCCCACCCCGAAAGCAAACCAACGTCACGCACGCATTTCCTTGCAGTGTGAGCCTACAACAGTCATGACCACCACAGCCGTCGTCGCGTTGTGGACAGACCTGTGCGGGAAGCCCAGTTGCTTGCTGCAGCGCGCGTTCGTCAGCGACGACCAGGTCCTGTGCTAAAGCCCAACGCGCAAACACACAAGTATACAACGCGTTTGTTGAGCATTGAATGTTGTCACGGAACATGCTGCGTTGAGGGGCAACGAAAACTGGCATGCAAGTTGAAACAAGTTGTTTCGCGTTTTGTTGGTTTTTTTTTGGCGGGAAAACACCAAACAGACTCGTCCTGTGCCCCGCGGCGCAGCAGCAGCACAAGGAGCAAGACAGAACGACAGCCATCAATCAATGGGACGGGGCAGAGAGTGCGCTGTGAGGCGAAAGGGGAAACACGCACCAGAAACAATCCCCGCTTGGTTGAGCTGCTGCACGTCGAGCTCTGGAAACAGCGTTGGCAGCTGCAACGACCGCAGCGAGCACGAGGCCGTCATGAATGGGATGTTTTTTTTGTATTGTTCTTCTGAGCAATCGAGATGAGTGAAGAGAAGAATCAACAACAAAAAAGAAGGAGTGAATCCAACTGAAATGGCTGCAATCGCATTGTGCTGCGTTGAAGCATGTTTGCATTGAGCATGCCAACTCTCGATGGAAGATGAACAGGATGCGTTTTTGTGAATATCCCGACAATTCCCTCCGTTGATCAGAACCAACTACAAAAGAAGCAAGCCAAGAAGCCAAAGCATGGGAAAAGAGGGGACAGAGCGGCACTTTCGAGTCAAAAGTCACAAGATGCGCGCTCAAATATCATCAGCAGACGCCCTCATTCATCACTTCATTCACTCACTTCATTCACTTCTTCATTCACTTCATCACTCATTCATCTGCGATCTATCGATTGCTTCTGTTTCTTGCCTTCATTCATATTCACCAATCTTGAATCTTCAGTCATTTCCAATTGAATTTGCATTTGCATTTCGTTTGGAATTGCATTGCTTTTTTTTTTTCTTTCTTTTTTTTCTTTTTGAATCCAATCGACAGCCACACTCACTCACTTCACTCACTCACTTCACTCACTTCACTTCACTCACTCACTTCACTCACTCACACCCTGCCTTGAGCTTCCGTCATCTACTACTATTTTCCCCTTCCTTCTTTGATCGCTCGCTGCTTTGCTTTGCTTTTTGTTTGAATGTCGTCGCCGCCGTACGCCCGGTCGCCTGGAAATGGCGGCGCTCCTGCTGCTGCTGCATCGTCCTCGGCCAGCGACATGATGCCTGCCTTCATGACGGGCGGCCGCAAAAAGTCGTCGACGCCGTCTGCTGCGCGCTTTGCCACTACGCGCGAGCTGTCCTTCACGGACGAGGAGTCGTCGCTGCTCCAGTCGGACGCCTTCAACCGCCCGGCTCCGCAGCGCCCGTCCTCGTTCGGCTCGCTCTCGGCGTCCTCGTCCGCGAGCCTGTATGGCTCGAGCCCCTCTGTCGCTGGCCACACGGGTGGCGGCTACGGTGCCAGCAGCGGTGGCTCGCACAGCAGCAACGGCCGCTTCAAGCGCGGGAGTGGAACAAGCAGCTCCAATGGCTTTGGCAGCGCCCCGTCGAGCACTGGCTTCCAGCCCGTCCGCTACACGAACATTAACGGCGAGCTCCGCAAGTTGCCGCCAGAGCCAGTCTGCGAGCTGTGCTGCAGGTGCTGCACGCCGCGCGTCTGCCTCATCTCAATCATCCTGATGCTGCTGCTCGGCGCCGGCGTTGGAGCGCTCGTCTACTGGGTCATCCTCCCTGCCGTCGATGCAAACAACGGCACCCCGACCGTCGTCGTCGGACCAGGCATCCCAGACCCACCCGCGGCCACAGCCATCAACTCGACGCACATCCAGCTGGTCTGGGAGCCCCCGAACTCGTCCGGCACCGATCCAATCTCGTACTATGAGCTCTTGCGCTGCAATGGCGGCAATGGCACCCTTCCCGACACTGACACCGACACGACTGCTCGAAAGCAAGACGATGCCACCGCAGATGCAGACTCTGATTCCGGCGCAGCACTGTCCATCGATGCCGCCGACCCAGCCCCTTGCACCTTCCTTCGCGCATACCGTGGACCGCTGCTGACCTTCTACGACATCAACCTGAACGCATCCACCACCTACTGCTACGCCGTCCGTGCTGCTAGCGTGGCAGGCATTGGCAACTTTTCTGCCGTCTCATGCGTCACAACGCTCCCGCCCGATCCGCCGCTCCCGCCGACGTCCATCGTCCCAACCGGCTCAAGCACCGAGACCATTTCCATTGAATGGAACAATGCGAACGGTCAGGGTGCCCCCATCCTCGCCTACTTTTTGCAGTACAAGCCGTCGTCGTCAAACCAGTGGATCCCTCTGTACCCAGTTCTGGTGCAGCAGTGGTCCATCATCGACCTCAGCGAAGGCACGAGCTACGACATCCAAGCTGCTGCGTCCAACATTGTCGGCATGAGCAACTGGTCGTCCACCTTCACCTTCCACACAGACACCAACAAGGCCACCGTCTCGAGCGCCCCAGGGCACCCTGCTTCCGTGCTCGTGGACGTCACGTATGCCACGATTGCATGGACTGCGCCAGCGTCCGATGGTGGCGCCATTGTCACCCTCTACGACATGAATGCCAACATTACCTCCTTGAACGGCTCGCACGCAGAGCTGACGAATCTGTGCGACACCCCCACGCTCGCGTGCACACTCGGCATGTTCTCCGCCGGCGATCGCGTGTGTGTGGCCGTTCGGGCCAAGAATTCGCAAGGCTGGAGCGAGTTTTCCGCCGCCGAGTGCTTCCAGACGCTCAGCGCCGGTGTCCCCGCAACCATGCCTCCGCCCGTCGAACTCGCCATCACTGGAAACTCGATCAGTCTGGGCTGGACCCCGCCCGACGATAAGGGCTCGCCCATTCAGCGGTACACCCTGCAGCGCGACGACTGGTGGAACGACTCGCCCATCGCCACCATCCACTCGGATCTCTCGCTCAACTTTACGGACGACTACAATGGGCAGGGCCTGTTGCCTGCGACCGTGTACAACTACCGCATTCGCGCTGAAAACCTCATCGGTCCTGGAAATTTCAGTCTGGAGGTTGGAATCGTCACCGAAGTGAACGGCACATGCGGCAACCCCGCTGACGTTGCGCTGTTCAAGAGCGAGAGTTCGACGCTTCGCAGCGCGCTGAACAGCTGCTTTGTCAAGTGTCTCACTCGTGCCAAGTGCACGACCACCTGTGTTGCAACGGCGGTGAGTTTTTGGGGGTGGCTGTCACGAGGTTTTTTTTATATGTTTTTTGCTATCCAACTCACTTTATTTGTTTCACCTTGTTGTCCGCAGACTGGCTTGTCTCTGCCATGTTCCTCGTGCTGGGAAGCGGAGACTACATGTGCTGCAGCGAAATGCGTTGCTTGTGACGTGGCGGCGAGTACGGCCTGCCACAACTGTGTGATGGCGAACTGCTACCCTGCGACAGTTGTCTGCGCCGGTTTGCCGCAGTGGGCCATGCCTTGAGCGACCCATTGATGCATTACTCTCATCCCTTTTTTTTCTTCTCCGTCTCTTGCGCCATGCCATCTCTTGCGCCAAAATTGATTGATTTTTCTCATTAGTCATGCATTGTTTCTGGTGGTCAGCTTGCCATGACTGTTGTCTTGGGCCTGTTTTGAAGACCACGACTTGTTGCTGCCACCACTTGTTGCTTTTTGTTGTTGTTGTTTCGAATTGTCAATGTGTTCTTGCTCCTTGCTTTGATGTTTGATAAATGTTGTTGGTTTGTCGCCGTTGGCTTCACAATTTGTTCCATTCGACCCGCTGATCACAGTCGTCTGATAGCGTTGAACCAAAGCTTCGTGGCGTAGTATTTTTGTTTAATTCATGCTCAAAAGTCAAAAGTTCAATCACAAAAAGCAAAAAAGACACTTGTCCAGTCAGTGTCCACATAGAAGAGGTTTTAAGCGCGGATGGCAGCAGCCTTCGGCTGAATGGCGGGCGAAATGATGGGCTCGAGTTCCGACACCTTCGCCTGCAAAACATTGTACAAGGTGTGCATGACGGACCGGACGTTTGCAAACTCAATCTCCTCTGTGACCGTTTCGTTCGATCGCCCGTTGCTCGGTGCAAACACAAGCACCAGCTTGTTGCCCTGGTGGCTGGAAGCGACGAGCTGGCTGAGCTTGTACTTCCACACCTCGCCCTGTGATACAAAGGATTTTTGGAGTGGGTCAGCAAGAAGAAGTAATGATGCAGATTGCGCCGAGGAAAAAAAAACAGGTGCAAACTTACGCGAAGAACGCCATCAATGTTCTTGGAGAGCTTAAGGCCGTCATCCCAGAGGAGGGATAGCGCGACTTCGTTCGCGTGGTAGTTGCCTTCAAAGATCAGGCTCTGTCGCGAGAAAACAAGTCAGCAAGCGAAACAACGTGTTCAAAACAGAAAATTGCAACACAGCAGCTCAATAAAACTCACCTCGCTGATACGGGCGGCGCGGAGAGTGCTGCTGTGCAGAGCCTTCACCCAGGCAAAGCGGTCCTCCTTGCTCTCTGTGTGTGTGGAGGGAAGGCACCAAAACAGAAAAAAATGGCAAAACACATGAATTTCATGCCAAACGGAACCTCTACCTCAAATGAAAACGCTCCTTTTGCTACTCACCACCAGCAAAATGAAGAGCGTAACCAGTGGCAGTGTACAGAATAATGCCCCACTCCTTGCGATCGACGCGACGCGAGGGCTCGTCCACCACAAACAGACGCGAGTCGACCAACGAGTAGCTCTTTTGCGGGCGCGACAGGGTTGACTGTGTTGAAGTGATTGGTTTTGGATGTTCGTGCAGATGTCAGCTCCGAAACCAGGGAGGGAGTCAAATCAGGCCAAAACCAAACCGCCCCCCGCCTTACCGGAACAGTCAGGTAGAGGCTGAAATCGTAATCGGTGATGACAGCAAAGTAGTAGCGCCAGACGCCCTCGACGTACTGAGAAATGAAGCCAGCCTTCTTGACCTACAATTCCGAATCAGACATGCAATGTGAGTTTTTGATTCAAAACGGCAGAATCAAAAGAAAAAATCTGCAAATTTGGCCGTACCTTGCCGCTGAACGGCTCGGGAACATTCTTGCTTTGCTGCGCATGCCAACATCGTCAAACAATGCATCAGAAGAGGTGAGGGTTGCTGCCTCATGTTGTCGATCGCTGGTTGACGGTCAGAATTTCTTACCAAGCTCAGAGTGTGAAGGTGCAGGTTGGAAACAGCCCTGGAGAGCTGGTTGAACCATTCGTTAATCTCCTCCTCGTTGCGACCAACAATTTCAATCGCAGTAATGTTGTCAGGCGCGCGGATGATGACAGAGTTGTCGCTGGTGTGTCGCAAAACGCAAAGACCAACTAAAGTGAGCACCCCCTCCAGACAAAGAATTGCGTGCGCACAGCAACGTTCACTCTTCGCGCGCGCGCGACTCGACGTACACAAAGTTGTCTGTGCGAGCAGCGTAACGGGTGATAATCACGTTGTGGAGGGAGACCGAGTGGAACTCGGACAGCTTGGTTGGGTCGGGGGCGCCCGCGTCGCTCCAAGCAGACGCAGCCGAGGCTTTCTTCTTGGTGTCGACCTGCTCGCCGAGGTGAGCCGAGGCCTGGCTGTTGAAGCGCACCTTGATGATGGCAATTCGGTCGACGCCCTTGAGCGCAGCGACGGCTTGCTCGTGCGTAGCGTTCTCCAGGTTGACACCGTTGACTTCCAGGATCTGCGTCACGCATACACACAGAATGAGAGACGGGCAACAAGAACAACAACCACCATGGCTTCAGTTTCGCGCAGTTTCGCATACAGTGTCGCCAGTGTGGAGCTCGCCAGTCTTGGCAGCGGCGCCGTTCTCGAAAATGCGCGAAATCAGGATTGGCAGGCTGTGCTCGGAGCCGCCCTTGATGGAAAAGTCGAGACCAGTGGCGCTCTTGACGACCTTGACGGAGCGAGTATCAGAGTCATTGACGACAGAAGCGCGTCCTGAGCTTGCCGGCGCAGCCACAATGCCGCTCTTGTCTGTGAGCTGTCAAAAGTAAATTCAACGTCGTGAGAACAGCAACTCGGATAGGAAATAAGAAACCAAAAGTACAACAAACAAAAGAGCATCGGAAAAAAATAAGAACCAGACAAAAAGAATGAGAAAAAGGAAAAGAAGGCATAAACTCCATGTTTGGGTTTTGACAGGTCCTATTTCATCCGCCCTCGTGTGGTAACGTAGATTCCGCAACGCAACGACTGGTGGTCCTCCCCGCTGTCTGTGGACTGAAGTGCTGCCATGTTGTGCGTTTGCTCCTTGTTGACTGGACTGCACTGGACTGGACTGGCTGTGGCCGGCGAGGAGAAAGAGAGCTCGTCGAAGGAACCAAAAAGAAAAAAAAAATCGAAATAAAAAAATGAAAAAACCAACCTTCTTTGCGACGAGGCGATCGTCCTTGAGCTCGACCCAGACCTCCTGGAGCGCTGGGGACGGGGCAGACGCGTCGATGATGCCCTTGCCAAAGCGGTAGAGCAGCCAGCCAGACTTGTGCTGTGAGATTGAGCCAAACAAGAAAAAAAAAAGTAAAAAAGTGAGCGAAAATACAAAAAAAAAAAAAAAACCTTGATTATTTCAAAAATTCAAGAGGGTTGGTCGGTGATCCATATCAAAAATGGAGAAGCCGAATAGGGGTGGACGCAAAGGGGAGGCAGGGTGAGACCGAAGGAGGGTGGGGAGAGTAGACGCAGCATGGAGAAGAGCGTGAGTGAAGCGGTGGAAAGGCGCTGCTTCGTAGTCAGGAAAGCGCCAAAAAAAAACTGTCAAACTCATCTGATGCATTTCTCTGCGACGACTCATACGCTTGAAAATGCATCCACACACACACATCCAGCACCCGCTCATAATGCACTTGGTTGTAGGGGTTGGGAATCGCTCAGTAGCGATGGGGAATGCGAGGTCAGGTCAATAGACATACATTCGCAGACATTTGAGGAAGAAATCCAAATAACAAAAAGTAGAGTGGCAAGTATCGGCGACTGGACCCTGTTTCTGGGATGCAGCAACGAGCATTCATGTCATCGTGTCGGTGCAAGATTGGCTCGACAATGCTAAAGGCCGAGGATGGAGCAGAAGAGCGGTCAGCGGTTTTCTCTGTGAGATTGAAAGCCGGGAATTCATTCGCCCTTCCCTCTTCATTGCCGGCCGCTCTGCTCCATCTCAACCCAAATCACATTCTCCCAGCAATCATGGCCTGTCTGTTTCAGTTCATCCATCTCCAATGTAGTCAGTTCTTCAGTCGATCTTTTTTTTTTTTTTCTTTTTTCCTTTGTGATTTTCCATTGAACATAACAATCATGTCGTCGACGCCCGGTTCTGCCGACACTGATCCGACCGATGGTGATGAGCCACTGAGCCTTGCGCTTCAGCTTGCGCGCCTGAGCGTTGTTGACCGCGCCCGCTGCGAGCTGAGCACGTCGAGCACCAAGGCGCGCATTGCACTGCTGCGTTCGATTGTGCTCCCTGCTGCCTCGGCCTCGGCGACGTCGGATGCTGCTGCTGCTGCTGCTGCTGCTCCTGCTGATGTTGCTTCTACTTCAGACAGTGCTGCTGCTGCTCCTGCTGCTGCTGCTGCTGCATTGGACGACGGTGGGTGTCCCTCAATCCAATGCCACTTCAATCCAATCCCTCCCTTCCCCTTCCATCGCTCCACTCGACCGCCCATCCGCTTCATCATCCCCTACCTTTTGTTTGCTCTCCCATCGCTCTGCCCTTTCCCTGAACCCCACCCCCCTTCCTCCCCATCTCGTTCTATTGAGCTCGATTCCAACTTGTCCCACCATGTGTTTTGAGCGATCTCTCGCTTTCCTGTCAGTTCTCCATCAACCCACTCCACTCCAGTCCAGTCCGGTCCAGTCCAGTCCAGTCCAGCCAAACACATTGATACTCACCCCGTTTCACTATTTGGTGGAATCAGAGTGACTTTGTGGGCTTGCACGACCATGGAGATGGATGAAGTACACTGTCACTGTGATTGTGTAATGCAGCGACTCACTCATGCAACTCACTCTCACCTTCACAATTCACACTGAAAGCAAAACGCATCTTCATTACTTTTGATTCAGAAGGGGGATGGGGTTAGGGTTAGGGTTGGACCGACTGACCCTCGACTCGACTGGGTTTTGCAATCGTTGCTTCACTTTGACCCATCCCTGCCAACCCATCATGCACATTTGTCGCACTCACCTTCGATTGAATCATCACTTGCTATTGCATTTGCTTCCTGGCTCGACTCTTCCAGACGACGTTCGCGCGCTCGTTCAAGAACTCTTCGACACGGCCTTCCGCTACGCCGACCGCGAGTCACGACGCGCCGTCGAAGACGTCCTCGCTGCGCTGATTACTACACACCCCGATGCTGCTTTGCCAGCCATCATCACAGCACTTGCAGCCGCCGCCAAGCGAAGTGTCACTGCCGTTCTCTCGTAAGATGGATTGAATCAATCACCCTCGAAACCGATCCTCTCTCTCTCTCCTATACTCACCAACAACCCCTCTACCCGCCCCTCCTCTTCAACAGCACCTCACAACCTGCCTTCCTGGTCTACTTGTCGTGGGCATGCGCCGTGCTCAAACACGCCTTCCCCGTGCTCAACACGTCGGCGCAAACCGCCAAGCTCGACTCGTTGCTGGAGAGCCTTGCGCAGCTCCTCGAAAGCTGCTTGGTGACGCCCCGCGTGTCCGTTCAGCGCTCGGCTGCTGCTCGCGTGTCTGCGCTCTTCCGACGCAGCTCGGCACGCCGCGCCAGCCCCGCGCACCACGACCTCGTCAAAGTCGTGCTGGAACGCCTGCTTGCGCTGACGCCGACCGCCCCTGCTCTGCTCTTGCTGTCGCAGACGATTGCATACATTACGCGCGTTGCCTCACGCGTCCCCAAGCCTGCAACAACTGGAGACGCCACCGCCACAGCATCGCCAGTGCCTGCCAACGTCGCTGCCTGCCAGGCTCTTCTGGACGCGCACAAGAAGGCGGCGATCGAGTTTCTGCTCAAGACCACCGTCACAACCAAGACGCGCCCGGCCGGCCACGTCGTGCAATTCTCGCTGGCCATTGTGCGCCTGGTTTCGCACGACGAGTTTGCCTCGTCCATGCTCACGGCCATCGACAAGGCCGTCTTGCGCAACCCCGAAGTCGTGCTCAACGCGATTGCTGGCATCTTGGGCGCCGTTCGCATCGACTTGAGCAAGTACGCGGCGCAGCTGGCCAAGAGCCTCTGCACGCAACTCAAGGCCAACGACGAGAGCGTGCGCGCCGACGCCTGCCTGCTCTTCCGCAACCTGGCTCGCCAATCGTCCGACCCCGCGGCCGTGGACAGCATCCTCGCCAACCTCTTTGACGTGTTGAACGGCGTGCACGGCAAGCTCACTGCTTTCGAGCACCGTGCCAGCGTTCTGGAGGCCATCGCTCTGGTCCACGACGCTCAGCTCGTGGCTGCTGCCAAGCACACTGTGGCAGTCACCACCATTGAAAAGCTCGCAGCGGCACTCGCCAAGGAAACGCACGACGGCACCATCGCGCAAATCTTGGACACGATTGCCATCTGGGCCGCGCATCTCTCCTCCTTCCCCGCATCTGTTAGCACGCTCTTCTCCGAAGGCATCAAGTCGGCCAAGCCCGCCATTGCCCGCGGTTACTTGAACGCACTGGCTGCAGCCACAAAGGCCAGCCCCACGGTTGCCGCCGCTGCTGCCGGCATCTTCACCGATGCGCTGCTTGGCGTGGTGCGCGCCGCCAAGACACAGACCCAACTCCAGCTTTCGAGCAATGCGGTCGTCGCTGCCACCGTCCTCTTGTACCTGCTGGGCGCTGACGTGAGCATCGAGGCCAAGCTCGGCGCTGACAAGTTCTGGGAGACGCTGTTCGACGCCAAGTCCAAGTTGATTCTCACGGACAAGCTGATTGCCGCCACTCCCGACAAGGACTTGGCAGCAGAGGTGGATCTGGCTGCCCAGCTGCTCCGTGCTCACGAAGCTCGCTTGAATGAGGCGGATGCCACTGCCCTCAGCCTTGCTGTTGTTCAGCTCCTCGGCGCCTCCAGCTGGTCTGTCCGCAAGCATGCGCGCGAGCTCTTCTCGGCCGTGCTCTCGTTTGTCAACGCCAAGGCCACCCTGACGCGCCTGTTGGACGCACTGCGCGTGAGCGCCTTCAAGTTCGCGGGACTCCCCACCGTCTTCTCCAACGCCCTGTTCACTGTCACCGCGCTGTCCGCGACTGCCTCAGGTGCTGACAAGGAAGCCGCGGCGCTCGGGTCGCTCATGCTCGCCCATCACCCCACCTTGCCAGTCGTCTCTGCCGCCCACCCGTCCGTGTGGATTTCCATCCTTACCCGCAACAAGGTCGACGCCGCCGAGTTTGTCGTGCCGCGCGTTGAGCGCTTGCTCGATCTTGTCCAGGGCCCCGAGGGCTTGGGCAACGCCGACGCTGCGACCCAACAGGCCGCCTCCCGCGCTCTTGCCTCGCTCATTCGCATCAGCCCGAATCCAGTCCTCTCTGCGCTCATTCGTCGCATCACGTCTGGCGCCGACAGCGCTCTCGTTGCCGGCGTGGGTGAGGAGGACGTTGCCATCTGGAAGACTCCCGAAGGCACCCTGCACAACCGCGACCTCATCAAGGAGGCGACCGAGAACGCCGCCTCAACCTCGGGTCTGTCCAAGACGGCCGCCTGGGATGCCAAGGTCAAGGCTGAGATTGCGGCCAAGAAGGCTGCCGCCTCTGGCCAAGCCGGTGCTCCCAAGGTCGAGCTGTCCAAAAAGCAGCAAGAAATGGTGGCCAAGCAACTGCAAGCCGAGTCCGAGACTCGCGCCAAGGTGAACTGCGTCTCGACCTCTGTCTCCACTGCGCTGACCCTCGCCCGCACCATGATCCACACTTGCAGCCCACGCACCACGAGTGGTCTGCTTCCAGTCCTGGAGGTCCACGAGCATTTGCCGGCCATTGTCTCCACACTGCTGCCGCTCTTTTCCTCGCCACTCGTTTCAGAGGAAGCCGTCACCACCTTCCTGACGCTTGAGGAGCCCCTCCATGTGCAAGCCCAGCTGCCCTTGCCTGCTCATGCGCACGCTGATGCCACCGCCCACGTTGCTGGCCGGCTAAGTCGCGTCGCCCGCTCTCTGCTCTACGCCACGCTGCGCAGCATCCAGCCTCGCGTGTACGCGCCACTGCCGCAAGCTTGGACCCAGGAGCCCCTCGCCCATCTGGTTGCTCGCGTCGTTGGCCGCATTTCCGTGTTTGTCGACGCTCGACTGCTCCCTGCCGGCGAGTTTGCCATCTGCTTGCCCTTGCTGCGATCGGTTCTGCTCGACCCCAAGGCCACCCTCCAGCTGGCGCACCAGGCCTTCCGCGCCGCAGCGCTCCACGTCGATCTGGGCAACCAGCGCGAGCTGCCTCGCTTGGATTTGATCAAGCTGCTTCTCGTGGTGATTGTTCGCCACAACCGCCTCGAAAAGGAGGCTTCTGGCGCGCTGGTCAAGCTGGCGCAGTCCATGGGCGACTCTGCCACCCCCGTCGAAGTCCAGGCGCTCCTCGACGCCGTTCTCTCGGCCTCTCCCACCGTCCGCGAGTCCTCCCTCGAAGCTCTGGCCCATGTCCCCATCAACAAGGACTCGGCGCCCGCGCTCGTCCTCATCTGGCTCGCGCAGTCGGACTCGGAGGAGAAGAACATGGGCTTTGCCAAGCACCTGTGGGACTCGCGTCATCTGCAGCTCCAACCTGCGCACTGCGATCTCTTTGTTGACAGTGTTCTGAGCAGCGAAGAGCATGTGCGCGTTGCCGCCGCCCGCGCCATTGCCAACGCCGTTGGCCTGTTTGTGGGCTCTGGCAGCGAAAACGCCGTCCCTCGCATCACCTCGCGCCTCATTGCGCTGTACGCCGAGTTGCTGCGTGCGCCCGAGCCCGAGCGCGACATGCTCGGCAACCTGGTCAACCGCGAGTGGCAAGAGCCGTGGTGGTCCCGCAGCGGCATTGCGCTGGCGCTCGCCGCCATGTCGCCGCATTTCGGTGACGCGCAGGTGCTCGAGTTTTTCCAATTCCTCGTCAACGGCGACGCCCTCGGTGACTCGTCCGAGGACGTCCGCCAGCGCATGCTCGATGCTGGCCAGACGGCTCTCGACGCCCACGGCAAGCAGCACATTCGCCACATTCTGCCCGTCTTTGAGCAGTACCTCGATTCCGCCGCGCCGCCGTCCGAAAAGCACGACCGCATCCGCGAATCCGTCGTCGTGCTGTTGGGCTCGCTCGCCCGCCATCTTGACGCCAGCGACCCAAAGATTCCGCCAATCTTTGCCAAGCTCGTCTCGGCGCTCGAGACGCCCTCGCAGCAAGTGCAGGAGGCCGTTTCCAAGTGCCTGCCCCCGCTCGTGCCTGCCATTGCTGGCGACATTCAGTCGTACGTCCAGTCCATGCTCCACAGCTTGCTCGAAGGCGAGCGCTACGCCATTCGCCGTGGTGCGGCCTATGGTCTCGGCGGCATTGTGAAGGGCAAGGGCATTGGCGCTCTCAAGGACTTTAACATTATGCCCACCCTGCAGGACGCCATCCAGGACAAGAAGGTGCCGCGCCATCGCGAAGGTGCCCTTCTCGCCTTTGAGATTCTGTGCAACACGCTCGGCCGCCTGTTTGAGCCGTACATTATCCACATTCTGCCGCACTTGCTCGTTTGCTTTGGCGACGGCAACAAGGACGTCCGCGCCGCCACCCAGGACACGTCCAAGGCCATCATGACCAACCTCAGTGCGTATGGTGTCAAGCTTGTCCTCCCGTCGCTGCTGAATGCGCTGGAAGACAACGCCTGGCGCACCAAGCAGGGCTCGGTCGAGCTCTTGGGCGCCATGTCGTACTGCGCGCCCAAGCAGCTCTCGTCCTGCCTGCCCATGATTGTGCCCAAGCTGACAGAGGTCTTGACCGACTCGCACGCCAAGGTCCAGGAGGCTGGCGAGGACGCCCTGCGTCTCATCGGCTCTGTCATCCGCAACCCGGAAATCCAGGGCATGGTGCAAAAGCTGCTCGATGCGCTCCGCGACCCCAACGCCAAGACCCAGGCAGCCCTGTCCACGCTGCTCGAGACTGCCTTTGTGCACTTTATCGACGCCCCGTCCCTCGCGCTCATCATGCCCATTCTGCAGCGCGCCCTCAGGGAACGCGCCACCGAGACCAAGAAGATGGCGGCCCAGATTATCGGCAACATGAGCTCGCTCGCAGACCACAAGGATTTGCTCCCCTACCTCTCCAGCCTGCTGCCCGGTCTCAAGCAAGTCTTGCTCGATCCCATTCCCGAGGTCCGCGGCATTGCTGCGCGCGCTCTCGGCACCCTCGTCAAGGGCATTGGTGAAGACAAGTTTGCCGAGCTGCTCCCGTGGCTCTTGGACACGATTCGCTCCGAGACCAGCGCCGTCGACCGCGCTGGTGCCGCGCAGGGTCTCAGTGAGGTGCTCGCTGCCCTGGGTGTTGAGCGCCTTGAGGCCCTCATTCCTGACATTCTCCAGAACGCGACCAGTGGCAAGACTGTGGTGCGCGAAGGCTACCTCATGCTCTTTGTCTTCCTTCCGGGCACGTTTGGCGAGTCCTTCAAGCCCTTCATCAACACGGTGCTCCCTCCTGTGCTCAAGGGCTTGGCCGACGAGAGCGAGGCTGTGCGCGACGCTGCGCTCCGTGGCGGTCAGATGATTATCAACTACTTTGCCCAGACCTCCGTCACGCTCTTGCTGCCCGAGCTCGAGCGCGGTCTGTTTGACGACAACTGGCGTATTCGTCAGTGCTCCGTTCAGCTTCTCGGTGACTTGCTGTATCGCATCTCTGGTCTGTCTGGCAAGAAGACCACGGTCAGTGATGAAGACGACACGTTCGGCACCGAAGACGCTCGTCTGGCCATTCTCGCCTCGCTGGGCGAGGAGCGCCGCAACCGCGTGCTTGCTGGCTTGTACATGGCTCGCTCCGACGTTGCGCTCATCGTCCGCCAGGCTTCGCTGCACGTCTGGAAGACCATCGTGACCAACACGCCTCGCACGCTCCGCGAGGTGCTCACCACGCTCATGACGCTGCTGCTGGGCTTCCTGGCCAGCAAGAGCTACGACCAGCGCACAGTCGCTGCTCGCACTCTTGGCGATCTCGTGCGCAAGCTCGGCGATCGTGTGCTCCCCGAGATTATTCCCATGATTGAGCAAGGCCTCGAGTCCGAAGACTCTGCTCGCCGCCAGGGTGTCTGCGTCGGCTTGAGCGAAATCATGTCGACCACCAGCAAGGATCACATCCTGGTCTATGTCGGCCAGCTCATTCCGGCGGTTCGCAAGGCCCTGTGCGACCCGCTCCCCGAGGTGCGCGAGTCTGCCGCCCAGACGTTCGACCATCTCTTCCGCGTTGTGGGCAACTCGACCATCGACGACATTGTCCCCGCGCTGCTCGAGTCTCTCCAAGACCCGAACGTGGCGCCTTTCGCCCTGGATGGTTTGCGCCAAATCATGGCTGTCAAGAGCCACGTTGTGTTGCCCTTCCTCGTGCCCAAGCTGCTCGTTCTGCCCATCACCGCCAGCCACGCGCGTGCGCTCGCCGCACTGACCTCCGTCGCCGGCTCGGCGCTGAACAAGCATTTGAGCGCCATTCTGCCAGCGCTGCTGGACGCCATCTGCAGCGGTGCTTCGTCCGATTCGATGCACGACATTGAGGACGCCGCCAAGGCGCTTGTGCTCGGCGTCGACAACGAGGCTGGTATGCGCCTCCTCGTCGCCGACCTGCTGGACGCCCTCAAGCACCCGCAACAGGCTTCGCGTCGCCTTGCCGCGGCCAACCTCCTGCTCGCGCTTTGCGACGAGTCCGAGTTTGACTGGTCGCCCCACCTCACGCCCATCATGGATGCGCTGCTCCGCCGCTTTGTCGACGCCGACGACCGCGTCGTGCTCGCCGCATGGAATGCCCTCGCTGCCGCGACCAAGAGCATTGACAAGGACGAGATGACGCAGCACATTCCGAACGTGCGCCGCACCATCAAGCACATGACGGAGAACGGCGTTGGCGGGCCCGTGTCCCAGGTCAAGGGCTTTGCCGTGCAAAAGGGCATTGGCTCCATCCTCCCCATGTTCCTGCACGGACTCATCTACGGCTCTCCCGAAACCAAGGAGCAGGCTGCTGCCGGCCTTGGTGACCTCATCCGCCTGACCGACCCTGCCGCGCTCAAGCCGTACGTCATCCAGATCACCGGCCCGCTGATTCGCGTTGTGGGCGACAAGTTCTCGTGGCAAGTCAAGGCTGCCATCTTGGACACGCTCACGCTTCTCATCGCGCGCGTTGGCATCATGCTCAAGCCGTTCCTGCCGCAGCTGCAGACGACCTTTATCAAGGCTCTGCACGACCCTACCAAGGTGGTGCGTGTCCGCGCTTCGAACGCTCTCACGCAGTTGATTTCCCTGCACACGCGCGTTGATCCTCTGCTCATCGAGCTGCACACAAACGTCAAGGCTGTGTCTGGCACGGTGCAAGAGTCCATGCTCCGAGCGCTGTTTGGCGCCATCTCGCAAGCCGGCGCCAGCATGGGAGAGCCGGTCAAGAAGACTCTGCTCGACACCATGTTCCCCTTGCTGGGCGACAACGACGACTCGGTCCGCTTTGCCGCTGCCCAGGTTATTGGCGCCGTGTCCAAGTTCCTGAACGACGACGAGTTTGAGGCCTACTCCCGCCCGCTGCTGCAGGACAACGCCAGCGCCGACGACGACTGGCTGCGACGACATGGTCTTGCCGTCACCCTTTCTGCAATCCTGCGCGAGGGTGCCGAGCGCGTCTTTGGTCTTGGCCATGGCGACGCTGCCATCAGCGAGTCCATTCGCCAGCTGCACGATGACAAGGTTCCCATTTCCACCGCTGCCGTCCACTCGATTGCTGCCATCCTGCAGCACTTTGCCGCCATCAACCAAAGCGTCGTGCCTGCTGGTTTGATCGAGGCTCTCGGCCTCGCGCTGAAGCAGGGCTCGAGCGACGTCAAGTTGGTCGCCATCCGCGCCGTCAAGGTTCTCGCCAAGACGCCCAGCACGCGCGGCTCTGTCGCCAACCAGGTCAAGATCCTCGTCCCTCCCATGGTCGATGCTGTTCGTGAGAAGAACACTGCCGTGCGCCTGGCTGCCGAGAGTGCTCTCATCTACCTCATTGATGCCAAGAACGGCGAGGAGAAGATGATGGTGAGTGTCGTGTCTGTTGTTGGTTGTTTGGTGTTATCGTTGATCTTTATTGACTCGTGGTATTTTGCTTGCTTGTTTGTTCCACAGAGCGTTGCCAAGCTCCTGTCCACGGATCACTCGCGTGCGCTGATCGACTACACTCGTCGCGTGCTGATTCCGCGCGCTCAAGGCTCTGCCGAGAGCGATGACGACGATTCCCTGAAGCCTTTCTCGGATGAAATCACCTCGAACGAGTAAAAGAATGCGGTTTTTGTTTGTTTGTTTGTTTCAGTTCCTTGGTCCTTTGTCCCTTTTTTCCCCTTAAGCCCTCTCTGTTTGTTTTGTTCCTTTTGCTTGTTTTCTTTGACATGGTGAGTTTGTTTGGGGTTTTCTCGACCTTTGTCTTTTGGTTTGTGATGTTTGCTGTACATTATCAAAATGAATCAAATTTTGCTGCTTGTTCTTGTTTCTTGTTTCTTCTTTTTCCCCCTGCTTACTCTGTTCGTCCCATCCCCCTTGTTCCTTCTATCCATTCACCTGCACCATCCCCTTCGAGCGGAAACAGCAAACCCAAAAAGTTTCAGTCTTTTTGTCCCATTCATTCGTCTACGCAAAAGGTACTTGCTCATTGTTCCCCCCACATGTCCATCGCCCATCCCACCACCTCGGGCTCAGTTTTGATGTGCGAGGCACCGTTGCAAGGGGTTGCTGGACGGATGGCGGGCCACGGCGCTCCAAGCTGGAGACCCATTGGCAAATACGTGTGTGTGTGTGGTGCGTCTGGACTGCCGCTTGGCTTGGAGCTTCCTCCCGGGCTATCGGCTCGCCTCCACCTCCCTCGCGTGTGCTGTGGCCCATAGAATCCAGTTCAGTGAGCGGCGGCGACATAGCCCGGCAGCACGCTCCACCACGCTCGTTCGCCATCCAGAAGGCCTTCCTTCTTTCTACTTTTTTTTTCTTTTTTTTTTTCTCTTCCTTCGATCGGTTTTTCCTTCACTTATGACTTGTTTTTCAAAGCAACATCAATGATTAAGATTTTCATGCTTTTGTCTCATTGTTGGATCACTTTTGTGAAACTTCACTCTTTTCCTTCACTTTTTTTTTTTCTCTTCTTTTTCCTTTGTTTCAGTCAAAATCTCAATTCAGTTCGTTCACTTTGGATTTCAACATTGCGTTGCGTTGCATTTGTATTTAGGTTTTTGCTGAGATGGCGGACGCTGCTTCGATCGGGAGTGAAGCGGAAGCACCTCAACGGACTGAATCTCAGTCAAACAGACCTGAGCTTGAGCTCCTCCTTCCGGGGGGTCCAGTTGGCCAAGTGCCTGCGTTCGATCTGTTCTCGGCTGCAAGTCAATCCAGCGACTCTGCTGCACTGACTGACGCTGCGGCTGATGCTGATGCGGCTGATGCTGGGTCGGCCGTCCCAATGGACACTTCCACAGCAGCAGCAGCGGCAACAAGCGAGCCAAAGCAAGAGCCAGAGCCAGAGCCAAGCACAACCGACGACGCAGCCACTACGACGACGACGACGACGACGGATGCCGAGGTCCAGCCCTTCACCGCTGCTGCGACAGCCATGGCGACGTCGCCAACGGGTCGTGCGCCATCTGCACGGGCGGCCGCTCGCGCACAGGCTGCTGCTGCTGCTGCTGCTGCCGCCGCTGCTGCTACTACGACTACTGCTGCCACTTCTTCGAACGATGACGATGCCGCTGCCGCCGACGACGCGGATGAGCAGGAAGACATGGACGAGGGCGACACAACAAGCAACAGGGCCGACCGCTCGTGGCGATCATCAGCCTCGCGTCGTCGCAGAGGTGCCAATTCCAATGCACCAGCTGCTGCTACTACTACTACTACTGCTGCTGCCGCTGTTTCTCGTCAGCGTGGCCGCGCTAGCCCTGCTGCTGCAGCAGCTTCGGACGCACCGGCGGCTGCACCTGCCGCAGAGTCCGCCGTCCCCTCTGCAGAGTCTGCAGCTCCTGTCGACCCCGCCGAAGGCACACCTACCAATGCCTCAACTGGTGCATCCAATACCGAAGAAACGGGCCCGGAAGGCGACAGCGAGTCCACGACCACCACCGCCGATGCCGTCGCGACCAAGAAACCTCGCAAACGCCGTACCCGTGATCCGATCGCTGCGCAGGCTTTGCTGAACTCTCAAAACGAGGGCAACGAAGAGGACTGGCGACTGCGACCACGAGCGGCCGCTGTGCGGGCAGCGGTTGTGACGAGCGCAATGACAGCGTCGAGCTCTATGTCCGAAGCTGCGCTCAATGCTGCAGCTCTAGCGAATGCCTCTGCTGCCACAACTGCTTCTTCTTCTTCTTCTTCTTCTGCTGGACCCAGTGGTGGTTCGGCAGCTCTGCAGGTTGCAGCTTCGGCAGTATCGGCGGCTGGCCTGCGAGAGTTTCCGACCGAGGAATCCTTCCAAGAATTTGAGGCCCAAGTGCACGGTGAAACATTGAGCAAACTGCCACAGGCGCAGACCGCCAACACGGCTGCTCGGAATAGAAACACTGCCATCCGCTTTGAATTCGATGAGCCGTTTTCGGCACTCGTCAACGCAAGCACCCGCAACGCCGAGCGCACGGTGGCGGAAGCCGATGCCGCTGCCAATGGAGGGGGTGCGGCAACTCCCAGCCTCGACCCACACGACCCCCATGCCGAGCGAAAGCGCCGCTTGCAGGCGCAAATGATCTTGAGCACGCAACACCACGCCGAGCTGGCTGCAGACCTGCCGATCGTTGAACGAGAGCATCCAAATGCCAACGACGAAGTGTGCGAGACGTGCGGGACGGCTGGCGAGCTCTTGTGCTGCGACAGGTGTCCCTGCGTGTTCCATTTTTATTGCGCCGACCCACCTGCCGATCCGGATTACATGGGGCAAGTGTGGCTCTGCGGCAAGTGCATCGCGCAAGCAGAGGCATCGCCTCCGCCCAAGGTAGAAAATCGCTTCTTTGGCAGCGCGCTGCGAAGACTCAAATCCCTCCATCCGCAAGCATTCGTCCTCGACGCCGAAGTGTACACGTCTGTGGCCAAGCGATCGCGACAGCTGGCTGCCGCTGCTGCACAGGTGTCTGTTGCCAGCGCCAAAGCCACCATGCTCAAACGGATCAACCGCATGCTCGACAGCTGCGGTCTTGGTGAAGACGGCATTGAGGACGACGAGGACGAAGCAAGGCTTCAGGACCTGCAAGACGGAGGCGCCTTGTTTGCGCTGGACATTGATCGGATCAAGAGTATGCCTCCAAAGGAAATTTTCGACGCCAACGCGGCCAACACGTTCTTGGCGGTGAAGAGCGTGCTTCCCGATCTGATTGTGACCAAAAAGCTCTCGACCCCGCAGCAAGAGGGCGTCAAGAAGGATCCCGGTGCACTCTTTGCGTTTGGCGCCACGTCCAATGCTGTCACGCACCTCAAAAATTACGTCAATCCCGAGTACGCTGCGCGTCATTCGTCACAGATGTACGACGTCGGCAACGCGACTCCGCAGTACAGGTACCAAGACGACGTCGACATTCCCGCGGCGGAACCTGGCGATTTCCTACCTCGCTTTTGCCATGTCTGTTCGCAAGGCCTTTCCGTTGCGCCGCTCATTTTCTGCGCCGAATGTCCGCTCCTCTATCATCTCGAGTGTCTCGATCCCCCGTTGACGGCAGTGCCCAAGCGCGGCTGGCTCTGCCCGGCACATATGCAGCATCCACTGGTAGGGTTTTCGAGTTGTGTTTTTGTTCGTGGTGTTGTAGCGGCTGCTTGTCAACGGAGTGAAAAGGTCTTTTTAGGTTTTTTGGTGATTGTGCTTCTCTCACTGTGCTTGAATTTTTGCAGAACGAGACCGAAAGCTTCACCGAGCGACAGTTCCAGCTCATGCTGTCGCAGCTCGTGCCGCAAAGTGCGTCCAAGATCAACTTTATCTCACGTGTCCGTCAAGACCGAGCGTTTTTGCGACGTGCAGAAGTAAAGCGACAGCAAGTTCTTGAGAGCGAGCCGGCTTGTACCTATAATGATGTGTGCTCACAACGTCGCTGGCTGGTTTGACTACAGGCGCTCTCTCAACCGTTTGCAATGTTAAACACCCTGGATCCGAGTTTGGTTCGATTCCTGGCTTGGGAGCGATTGTGCCAGCTGGGCGAGCAAGCCCGAGCGTCCGCTGGCACCGCAAGCACCTCGACAATTCCTGTGAATGGTGATGCGCATGTCGAACCTGATTCTGCTGCAGAGACGACACATTCGTCCTCGCGAAAGCGTCGTGCCGACAACAGCGCCAGCGACAAGGACGCCACCCATGTGTCCAAGAAGTTGCGAGTGGACGATAGCAGCGATGATACCGCCGCTTCAGAAGCTGCCCCGTCTGTGATGATTGGTCGTGTTGTCGACGACAAGGACGCTTCGATTCGTTATGATATTGGTCCGAATGGCATGGCGGATGTCGGCGGTTGGGATGGTTAGTTTTTTCCTTGATGTTTTTTTCCTTCTTTTCTTTCGATCTGCGATGACGGAGATCTTGAATCTGCGCTCACTCTTGTGCTGGATTTTGAAACTCTCTCACTCTGGTAGCTGAACGGAACGAAGGCTTGACAAGGTTTTGCGTTTTCCATGACGCAGAACAGGACGTTTTCCGCGTGGTATCTTGCAACTTTTCCAACGCTCAGGCCGATCGAGTGCTGGTGGACGGCGCACCTGCTGACGCGGAGGCGTGTGGTGCCATCCTGCGCCCTCGCAGCCAGATTGTCGTTGGCTCGCGGAAATTCACCTTCCAATTGTTGCCTTCATCTTCTTCGGCTGATGTTGTCGTGGGATCTTGAGGTTCGTCGAATTCCTATCTGGAGCTGTGAATTGGTTGGACCGTCTTGGATCACGGCAAATGGAATCTCCCGGTTGTTTTTGCTTGGATTGTATTACTCTTTAGTGTCTGTGCGTTTCTTTCGTGTTCTTCTTGTTTCACATATCATTACAACACAAGGCTTGCTCAAAAAAACATGTCAAAGTTGTGTTTGTCCAGCGCATTCAGATTTACTTGGACTCGGATGGAGGCGCCTGTGCGTCGCCGTCGGATCGGGGCAATCGCTTGTTCTCCCAGTGCTCAATGTCCATACCTTGGACCATTCGCTGCAACAGGTTGGGGGTGACAAGGAGCAAGTTCAAGCAAAACCGAAACGTCAAAAGTGAATTTTCCAATTCATTCCAAAGGTTTTCGTTCGAATGAGGGTGCTTTGAGAGCTCACCATGAATTCGTCTTCGATTGAGAATGGTCGCTTCTTGATATTGTGAAAGGCGAGTGCTTCATCGCGGTCCATCTACAAGCAGCAGCATCGATGAGAAGTGAGCGTTGGAGTTGGTCTGCATGTTGAATCGTGCCATTGACTCTGAAGGTGTTCAAACTCGTTCTATGAGCGGTATGAGATGTCTGTTGCTCTAGCGTAGGGCATGTTGTTGTCTCTTGTCTGAGAATGTGTCTGAGAACGTGTCTCTGAGATGTGAGCCAAGTCCTCTTACGCGGTGGTTCTTGTAGTCGCGGTACTCGACGGCTGCGTCTGCAATGTACGACATGCCGACTGAGCTGCCGACGACGAGCAGCAGGAAGGGCGCGCCAATGCGAATGTACGTTGCATTGCGCCGTGCAAAGCCGGAAACCGCGCCAAACCACGACGACGACGACGACGACGACGAGGAGGATGCTGATGCTGATGCTGCTGAGCCAGTGACTCTGCTGCCAGTGTTGGCAGTCGTGCGTGGTGGTGGTCGCTGGAGTGGCGGCGGCGGTGACGCGGATGCCGCCACTGTCGCAGCGCGTGTGCTCAGCCATCGCAATCGCGGCTCCATCTTGAATGGGTGAAGAACGAAGAAGACTGACTGAATCGGAAGAACGAAACGGCTGAAGTCTACCCTCAGTGAATAGATGACTTTCAACAAACTCGAGTTGATAGAGAAAGAGAGAAAAGGGGGAAGGGTTGTCAAGAGCTCTGAGCAGCATTCCCCGCTCAGAAAGCGCTGTTGGACTTGTTTTGCGCTTCTCGTTCCCGCCTCCTCGCTTCTTGTAATATTGCAAAAAAGCAGTGTTTTCCTTTTGGCATTCTACCTCTGACCACTCTGAGCTTCACTTTGACTCTGATCTTTGAACTCTGAACTTTTTGCATTGTGAATTTTTTTTTTATTTCATTCTTTTTTTTTTTTTTTTTTTTTTTGGTTGAATAAGCGACGTCTCGTTCTCTCTTTCTCTCTTTCTCTCGCACGGTCGCTCGCTCTTCTTCTTCTTCTTCGTCTTGTTGGTGTTGCTGTTGTTGTTGTTGAATGAGCGACATTGCTGCTGGTGGTGGTTGTGGTGCTGCTGCTGGTGGCAGTGCAGCGGCGCCGTCCTCGAATTCGACTGCTCTTCCTGATGCTCCTGCTACTGATGGTTTGTATCTCTTTCCCCTCTGACTCGTACTCTGATTCTCACTCTTACTCTCACTCTCACTCTCACTCTTACTCTCACTGTCTCCGTCTCTGTCTCTGTCTCTCTGTCTCTGTCTCTCTCTCTCTCTGTCTCTGACTACTTTTCGCACCAAAACCACTCGCAATTCAATTCCTCTGTTGGTCAAATTTTCCCTTTCCTTCATTTTTTTCCATTCAATCTCACTCACTCATCTCATCTCATCTCATCTCACTCATCTCCCCGTGTCCTCATTCACTCGTTCCTCCCAACCAGCGGCTGAACAACTCTCTCTCTCTCTCTCTCTCTCTCGTTGCTCACTTTGGTTTCGTCAGTCACTTCAACTCTCTCAATCCAAAAAGCAGCCAAACGCGGCAACTTTTTATTTTATTTTTTTTTTATTTTATTTTTATTTTTTTTTATTTTTTTTTTTTTTTTTTTTTTGAGGATTCGACTCGGGTTTGTGCATTCGCTGGACATCATTCCCCCAGCGGACTGCATTTGCGCGTTTCCTGTGTTACTCACTCACTCACTCCTTAGCTTCAAACTGAGGCTTGCCCATGTTGCCGTCCAAAACGAACGAATCACTCTCATTCAATCGAAATTCGAAACGGATTTTTTTAAGTTTTTGGATGATTTTTTTTCCTTCGTTGCTCAGACTTTTGGGCGAGTTATATTTCATTTATTATATCCTCTGACTTTGCTTGACACCTGAAAGATGAGCGAAAGCCGAACACTCAACTCTTAACGGAAGCAGCAAACAACATTCGCATCGCAACCAACAAGTCTCAGAAATTGATAAACAATCCAGAACAACAGCTAACTCGTGTTGTTGCGTTTTCTGCTTTGGTGTTCTGGCTTGCTTGATCCTTGCTTGCTAACAGGTGCACTGCCAGTTCCAGTGGTGCGCGAAGAGCTCGTCCGAAGCGAGGCGGCGTCGCCTGCACCACCAACGCATGATCCGAGTGCTGCAGGCAATATGCTTGGGTTGTCCGCCACGCATGCTGCCACGATCTTCTCGCCAAGAGGTCACCCACGGTCTGCAACAGCCATCCCCATGCCCTCATTCCGGGTGCGACCGCTTTCGGCGCCGTCCTCCGTCCCGTCGTCCAACTCTGCATCTGCTGCGTGCTCCACTCCAACTTCGCCCAAAGCGATGGACTTTGACAATGTCCAGGAGCCTCTGGGAGATCATGCTTCGGAAAGCGCGTCAGACTCCCAGCCTCAACCGGCATCCACGACTGACACTGTTGGTGCAGACGTAGGAGACGGCGAACCTAGCTCACGGGATGGACTGGAGTCGAGTACATCCATCCCATCCATTGGCGGTGACACGCCAGAGCTCCAGGCCGAGAGAATCCGCATGTTTCACCAGATGCGTGCCAGCAGCAGCAACTCTTCCTTTGACGAGTCGTTTGACACCCCTGGCTCATCACAAGCGCGCCATGCACTGATCGCGGCCGCCGCCGTCGAAGCCATTCGGGCCGAGCAAGCAGCCAGGAAGCACAGCAACGCAGATTACTTTGCCTATTTGGCCAGCCCGAGCGCTTCGTTCGATGCAAATAAAGCGGCGCTTCCTGGCAGCCCTCGGTACCGCCAATCCTCGCTTTCCAGCGCGAGCGAGTCGACCAGCCACACCCCCAAGCCCACCAGTCGACAAAGTACACTTCGGTCTCCTGATCGCACCGCATCTCCCTCGGGTGAACACGCCGACGGGAGCAGCCTTCTCGGTGCCGATGACGTGGAGAAGAGTCGTTCTGGGCCGCCAGCCGATGAGGAGCAAACAGCAAGCTCGGTCGCTCACTCGCCAGCCGAGTCCATCCCTCATCATGAGCAGAGCTCTGCATTGCCCCAGTCCCCAGCTGCAGAACGGTCGGATGAAGAGCAAAATGTTTCGCACGACGAATTGCCGGATTTGCCTTCCCCTGCAATGCCTTCCGAACCTCCTGTGCGGCTACTGCTTCATCGCCGCTCCTCGTTTATAGCTGCGCCTCACATGATGCAAGAAATTGAACTGGATGAGGAGAATTTAGCGGCCCTAGCGGGCTCGGATGCATTGCACGACAATGGTATGGGGCGTGCATTTGCCTTCATTTGCCTGGTGGTGGTCGTTGGAATTGTTGCCGTGTGTTATTTTTTGCTTACGCCCAAGGTTTTTTTTTTTGTTTGTTTGTTTGTTTGTTTGTCGCAGACCGAACACTTTTATTCCTTGCGCTGCACGCGCTCGCCAAGCTGCTGCCACCAACAGACGCCTGCCGAATGCTGGTCGAGTTGAAATCCGACTTTAAGCACGGCGGCCAGTTCTTGGCACTCGTATCGGAACGCAAAAATCCAGACCGACAGGCACTCTTGTGCGTCGATTTGCACGACCCGGACCACCACCACGTGCGTGTGGACCGACGGCCGTTCATGCCACCGCTCGCCACCAACTCGAGCAGCAGCTTGAGCGCCAATGACCAGCGGCTCTCCCGTCCAGAGCAAGTCGAGCTGCAGCGCAAACTGGAGCGTGAGGCCGAGCAGCGACGCCAGGAGCACGAACGCCTCGCCCAGGATCAGTCTGGGCGCCCTCCGTGGCAGCAATGGCATCAAATCCAGCAGCAGCATCTGACAGAGCAACAGCAAAAGGAGCAGTTCCAGCAACTCAAGATGCAGCGGCACAAGCACTATGAGCAAAAGTTTGCCATGTCGGGTGCAAACACTCCTCGAGAACCTGGAAGCCCCAAATCGACGTCGTCCATGGCCCTGTTTGGTGGGTCGTCCTCGGGCAAGGGACGCCGCGACCAACGGCCGGGTGCGGAAGATGGCTCCGAGCCAAGTGGTGGTTACACTCGATCCACGTCCGAGTCTGGATTTAGCGCGGATTTGCCAGACCAGGCGGACGAACACTTGGTTGTGGCTGCTGTCAGTCGCAGTGCCAGTGCCGCTAGCTCGTTGCAAAGCTTACGAGGTGGCGCCTCGCAAGGCCGATGGCGACCTCTCTCGGTGGGCGCACAGCACGCACCCGCTCATCTGGTTGGTGCTGGTCTGGCGTCGTCGTCGTCATCGTCTGCGTCGCCTGCCCCTCCCAGCCACTCCTCGACCGGGACCCCCGAGCCAGCATCTGCTGCGTCTTCATCGCTCGACACATCCACGCCCATGCAAACCATGGCGACCTCGCCCATCTTTTTCCCGCCTGCGCTGCCCGGCGATGCCGCCTCGAAATCTACTGGCGAGGGCCTTGCTGCATCCTCAGCGCCCCGGCCGATGGGGGTTGGCCGCCCAGTCAGCATGTCCAGCATGGCTGAAAGTGCGGCATTTTCGCCTCCCGCGGCTCGCCCGTTCCCCGCAGGCATCACTGCATCCCTTTTCCCTGCGCAGCGCAGCGTGCCGGATATCCGTCTGTCCACGTCGGCGCCGTCCGCCTCCTCCTCGCCCATGCCTATGCGACTCGATGGCGTGGCAGAGGACGACGGTCGATCCGACACTCCGCCCTCCTTGTCCTCGGCTGGTGATTCTGTTGCGACTCCGATGGTGACGGACGACTCGGCAACGTCGGCATCGTCGGGAGCAGCGGGAGCGGCGGGATCTGTGATTGCACCCCATGGTGTGGCCGTCCCGAAGGCTGCCATCCAGGCCGTCGAGTGCTTTATTGGCCTGAGTGTTCCGGTCGTTCGCCAGATGACTGTGCTGCTGAGCGGCAACGGCGCGTTTGTTGTGCGCCTTGGTCACCGAGCCTACTCTTTCCACACGGCCTCCGTTCGCTCCCTGTGGTCGACCATCTCGGCGCTCCGCCAGGCTGCCGAGTCGGCACCAGAGTCACACGCAGTCGAAAAGGACGAGGACTTCCAGGCTTGGATTGCTCCCTACCATGCGCTCGTCCAGCGCGCCCAAAAGTCGCCCAACCACCGACTGTACCGCAACATTGGCGATTTGGAGATTCGCCGGCGGTCGTCCATCGGCTCGCCCCAAGATCTCGACCACAAGCTGGACGCGCCACTCAACGTCGTCTATCAAGGCGGCGAGGGACGCCCTGCAGAGCTCGATGTCATCAACAAGCTGCGCGAGTTTATGATGTGCAGCGATCTCGACTCTGTGACGCCCAAAGAGATGCGCACTGCCTTGGAATCGCACTTTAACATTGACATGAACTATTGCAAGAAATTTATCGACGAAAAGATTCTCGTCATCATGGGCCAGCTGGAACCTCCCTCCAAGATTCTCGAGTATCTCTACCTCGGCACCGAGTGGAATGCCAGCAACAAGGAGGAGCTGCAGCGCCTCGGTGTCGGCTACGTCTTGAACATGGCCTGGGAAATTGACAACTTTTTCCCTCTCCTCATCCAATACCACCACTGCCTCATCCATGATGAAAACTGGGAATCGATCTTGCCGCACTTTGACAACACATACCGGTTTATCAAGAAGGCGGTCGACAACAATTCAAAGGTGCTGGTGCACTGCAAGATGGGCGTCAGTCGCTCGGCCTCAGCCGTCATCGCCTATATTATGGTGAGCATATCGACGACAGCAATTCTGTTGCTGTGGCTGTTATCATGCATCCTTTTTTTTTGGTTGTTGTTGTTGTTGTTGTTGTTGTTGTTGTTGTTTCCTAACGAAACGGTTGTTCGCTTTTGTTTGACAGAAATCGCTCGGCTGGCCTTTGAAGAAATCGCTCGAGTTTGTCAAGTCACAGCGTAGAATCATTCGCCCAAACCCGGGCTTCACAAAGCAGCTGGAAGAGTACGAAGGCATTTTAGCGGCCAGCAAGTTGTACTCTGAGCGCGTGGTGGCGGTTGCTGCTGAGGCTGGAAACGTGCCAACCCCTCCGCCTCCGAGCATCACGCCGTCCATGTCGTCCAGTTCGCTCAGCGAAATTGCTTCCATCAAGGCGACTGGGACGTCTGTGAAGCAGCTGACACGCACTTTGCTGAGCGGCAACGTCTCCCCGCCTGCCGCTGACTCTTCGAACGCAGCTGTGCGGCAATTTTCCTAGTTGAGTTGACTTTTGTTTTGTTCTTTCCCCTTTTTTTTTCTTTTCTTTTTCGCTTTTACGTTTTTCATCTGTAGCCACTCGTTGTTTCTGTGTTTTTTGGTCTTGTTTGTTTGTTTGCGCTTTCTTGCAGTTTTGTTGTCATACGCGTTAAAATTCAGTAATTATCAAAAAAAAAAAGACCAAACTGAAACATTCCTACAACACCACAACAAACGACCAACACACTCAAAAACAAAATGAAAAGGAATACATGAACTTAGTCCAGGGACGCAGTGAGATCATTCAGCATGCCCTCGAGCTGATCGAAGGATGCGCCGACCTTGCTCACGCGGAACGAATCGGGACGAGGAGCTGCTGCGGCAGCTTGGGCGGCAGCAAGCGCACTTTGGTCCACTGGGGCAGCGGCAGCGACGGCAGGCGCTTCGATTTCTGCTGGCGCTTCCACGACGGGGTCCTGAGCCACAACGGGCGTCGGCTGGGGAGCGGGGACAGGAGCAGGAGCTGCTGCTGCTGCTGCTGCTGCGACAGGTGCCGGGGCAGCCCAGCTGGGCTCGCCTTGTGCAAGAATGTCCGAGAATGCGGAATCGGCAGCCACGGGCGTCAAGACAACCTCCGGCTCGTCGTCCATCTCAAACACGGCGACAGACACGCGCTTGTCATCCGCTGCAGCGGCGGCGGTAGCTGCAGGCGCAGGCGCAGCAGCGGGGGCGGGCTGGGCCTTGACGGGCAATTCAACACGGCCAGTCTGAGCAGAGTCGACCAGCTTGCCTTCTGCAGACGCGAGCGGCTTGGCCTTGATGGTCTCTTGCTGGATGGAACGCTCACGGTGGACGAGGCGCTTGGCAGCATCCTTGATGGCCTCAACCCAGTCCAGAATGTTCTGGCTCTCGTTGGCAGCCAGACGCCAGGTGCGGTCGGGCAGCACAATCTCGAAAAAGTATGAGCCCTTCGGACGCAACGAGGACGAGCCTTTGAGCGTGGCGAAAATGTTCTTCTTGCCGGGCTTGGCATCTTCGAACGGATGCTCGATCGTGCGCACCTCAGCCTTGTCGATATCGGCAATCTGACCAAGCGGCTTGGAATCCTTCTGGTCCTTGTAGTAGAAGAGGCTGGTGCCCTTCAGCACAAACCAGCGCGTCTTCCACGATTTGACGTTAAAGCCCTCCTTTTCGAGCCAGCCCTCCTTGTCGGCGCCAAGATTGGAGCTCAAGTCTGCCTTGGTCTGGTACTGGAAGAAGGATGGGTCGGTGGTTTCCCACGCGTCGCGCAATTGCAGCAAGTTTTCTGTGGCCTCGAGTTCGCGATTGGCGATGCCTGCAGAGAAGAAAGGCAGAGAGATGAGAACACGACACAAGAATCTCCGTAGGAATCCACACCTCAACAAAGACGACAAAAGATGGAGGTTGAGGTTGCATGCATACCATCAGCCTTTTCGGCACCAAAAATGCCAAACTTGGTGGGATCGGTCTCCTTCAGCTTGAGACGCTTGAAGACCAAGGCGGACGCATCAGCAATGGTCATGAGTGGGGTGATGTACAGACGGAAGTGCGTCTCGCTGACACCCTGAGACATGCGGAAGAACGTGTTAAAATTGATGGTGATGGCGTGGTCGGTGTTGACGAGCTTGAAGAAGAAGGAGCGGCGCACTTGCACGAGCTGGACCTTGCCTTCTTCCATCAAGTGGCTCCAGCGCGATTGCACTGCCGACAGGCGTTCGGTCGGCTGGAGCAGGGTTTCCTTGGAAGGAGCTGTCAAGAAAATTAAGGATCAAGATGTGAAATGAGCAGAGTTTTCGGCTTGACATGTCGGGTCGAGCTGCACTGAGCTGGCATGTGAATGAAATTGAGTGAAAGCCTGTGTTCGCTGGACGTTTACTGAGCCGCATAGGAATCTGTGGTGAGACGGTGAAGGACTCCTGACTCATTGTCGCGACCGCCGCTTCAGCCCAAGTTGTGTTTTTTTTCTGTCGTGCTTGTCTGTGCCTTCTTTGGGGTTTCTTGCCTGTCAGGTGCTCGCGGTGCCTTCGCCCATCAACAAACTCATAGTCGTGTCGGATGGATGAAAATGGAAGGTTGGGTGAAATTTTTTTTTTTCGTTTGATTTTTTTGTTTGATTTTTTTTTTTTTTTTTTTTTGGTTTTGGCTGAGTTTTGCATTAGACGTTCGTCTTCGCTCTTCTCTGCTCTGCTTTCGACGCCGCCCTGCACAGGCGCTCTCCTCCGACCACGCATTAAGACAGCTGTAACACTGTCTCATCCCGACGACCGATTCGAGCGGGACGAGCCAACCACGTCCGTTGGAATCCCCCATTTGTGGTTTCCACAAGCCATGATAAAGACAGACGTACCATCGGACGAGACTGCGAGCTCGTGGAGGGCAAACTTGGACTTGAGGCTAAAGATGCCGTCTGGCGCGCCGGGTGGAGCAGTCCAGACGTTGAGCAGGGCAGTCACGGCAGCCGGGTAGTTGTGCAGGAGCGAGTTGAGCAGGTCGTCGATGGTCGTGGTCGACGCGGCGGGCGGTCGCACCATCACCGTCGTCACCTCATCGGGCAGCATCACCGCAATCTCAGCCTACACGCGGAGGGGGGCGGACGAGGTGGAGCGCGGGTGCAGCAGCCAAACCCATCAACAAACCAAAATGAATCAAACAAAAATGATTAAAAAATTAAAAAAAAAAAAAAAAAAGTCAGCGTCTTTTACATTGACATTGGAAATTTCGTGGTTTCACCCCCAACAGCAATGTACTCACCATGGTTGGTGATTGTGAGAGAAGAAGAAGAAGCAGGAGTGAACAAGAATAGAAAATATAAGAAGAGAAAGGTGGAGCCAAGAACAAGAACAAATCCACACGAAACGATTTCAGAATGACTTTTACAAATGCCTGCTTGCCGACGCGCAGACCGCCTGAATACGCAGCCGGCAATCCACCCATCACAATGACAAAAGCTTGAAAATATAAATAAGCACCGAAATAACAAAGCGGCGTGAAGGCTTGGACGGCCGAAGCCGGTCGAATCGAGTTGCCGATGAGCGTGCGTGCATCCATCTCGCTCCATGCCCAACTTACTCACTCCCTTCACGCCCAAATCGCACTGTGTGGTGTATGCGCATTCTGGTTTGTGTTTTTCTTGTAGTGGAGCGACGGGGACGATCTTTGGTACCGGCCGGTCTTCATGTCTGGTATTGCTGCGTTTTTTTAGTTGCTGGTTTTTTATTTTCCGTTCTTCAACGAGTGGTACGACACTCACGCGCCACAAATGCTCTATTCAACAACAAACCATTACAACACATGATTAGACAACACACTACACCAAAAACCGGAGTCGTGCGAGTTGCGACCCTCGAAATTAAGCGGCCCAAACTTGTGTTCGCCAAACACTCTGCATCTTTGGCTTGACAACCGTAGTACAACTCTCGAATCTAACGTAATCGTGGGATATGCAAATTATTACACAACTTTGAGCAGGAGGAGTGGGCAATGCGTTCCCCTGTTTTCTTGGGCGCGCGAGCAAAGTTGGTACTTTGATTAGAGAATTCAATTTTCTTTGAGAGTTGACAACACGCGCAACCTTCATCCTCGAAACATTCACCACAAACAGATCGTAACAAGTCATCCACAACCGTATCAAGATATCCATCAACGAAGCGAGAATCAGAGTCCGCAGGGGCTTTCAGTGGACACCCTTCGGCTTGTAGTGGCGGAGTGCCAAGAAGCAGACGGTGCGTGCCGCCACAATCAGAGCCACCAAAATGATAATGTTCTCGCCAATCTTGGTGTCAGCGGCGCCGAGGTTCTGCAAGGCCTGCGCACCGGTTGTGATGGGGCAAGTGTGGTTGGGAGCAAATTCCGAAGGTTCGCAATAGTACGAGCCGCCAGAGAACTCGTTTTGCAGCAGCAATCCAAAGCTGTAGTACATGAAGGAGATGTACTTGATCCATCGAAGCCAAACTGCAGAAAAAACAAAAAGGTTTTGGGGAGGGGGGACCGCAATGAGCAACTGGCCACACCAAACACAACCCAAAAAACCCCCAACCAAAAAGCTCGACTAAACTTACTGGGAATGAGGTCGTTGAGCACAAAGAAGCCCTGCACAACATGACAAAGAACAAAGCCCAGTGAGCGCACTTTTGTTTCAGCAGCGATACTAACAAAACATCATGCAAGACGCTACTCACGGAGAAGAGAATCAGGAACATCATCATGAGCGAGGCAAAGATCGTGGCAACTTGGAACGACGGGGTCGAGGCAGCGAGCATAAGACCGAACGAGGAGCCGCAGAGGGACGTGAGCATCATGATGCCAATCATGCCAAAGAAGCGTTCGGCGCTGTCGTTGAGGCCCATCAGCCAGTACGCAATCACAGTGAAGAGCAGGGGCTCAAGCAGCTGGAAGGGCAGTTCGGTGATGGATTTGGCAGCATAGTAGGCAAAGCAAGTGTACCTAGTTTGATCAGGAATGAAGTAGGAAGAGTTGCAAGATTAGCTCGACAAAAAAACCCATCTCTACAAAATCTATCTGGCAAACCAGGCTTACCATTTGCCGTCACGTTCATGAGTGATGACTTCGCGCTCAGCGTGGAAGACGTGAAGAATGTTCATCATGGGCGCTGAACAATGACGCAGATAAGATAGAAAAGACAAAGGAAGCAGCAGTCAGCGTCCTGCCTCTACCCAAAAAAACAAAAAAAAAACCGCAACAACAAGCAAAACACAACAACAAGCAAATCACTTACAAATACCAGCTTGCATCATCAAGAAGAAGATGCCGCCAGAGCGAGCAGAAACACCGGCCTGAGAGTAGGGCAGGCGAAGGAAAATGATGCCGATGAGGACGGACATGATAATGACCTGCATGATACGAGCGCGGAAGTAGCGCTTGTCACGGATGAAGGACATGAAGGATCGACGGGCCAGCACTTGGAACTGGTACCACGTTGGCTGAGCATACGTCTCGTTGCTGGTGAGGTTGGCAAGAACCTCGGGCGCCAGCTCCGCCAGCGCGTTCTGCTGAGCAGCAGCAGCAGCAGCAGCACCAGCATGGCCGTTCGTTTTGCCGTTCGCATGGCCGTTGCCCTTCTCCATGGCTTCGGCTTGGAGATCCTCCATCTCGACTTGCTGGACGGCGACGGTTGCAGACGAGTTTGCCCGGCTGTTGGCAAAGCCAAAGCGAGACCGCTTGCGCACAGTCAGACCGCGAGCCTCCATCTCGGCCTGAATCACCTGTTGCTCGGCGAGGCATCGGACGCGCGCCTCTTCAATGGACTTGAGGGTGTAGTCCTGGCGCGTCTTCTCGTACAGGCTCACCAGGAGATCCCAGTTGAGCGTCGGCAGAGGTTGGCCGTTCTCGTCGGTGGTCGGGTAGCCGAGCTCCTGCGACATGTGCGGGTGCAAGCGGATGGAGGCCACGTCGAGGAAGTATTCTGCCGGGTTGGAGTAGACGGGGCACTGGAGGCGGCACGTCTTGGAAAAGTACGTGATGGCGTCGGCGACGGGGCCAAAGTAAAAGACGCGACCTTCCGAGAGCAAGAGGAGGAGATCGAACGTGCTAAAGAGCTTGGACGAAGGCTGGTGGATGGTGGTGACAACGGTGCGCTTGGAGGACTTTTTGAGCTCGTCGAGATGCTCGAACAGCGTGTAGGCCATGTGCGAGTCGAGGCCCGAGGTGGGCTCGTCCAAGAAGAGCAGCGAGGGCGAGGTGATGAGCTCGACGCCGACCGAGAGACGCTTCTTCTCACCGCCCGAAATGCCACGGATGAGATTGCCGCCGACGATCGTGTCTGCGCACTTTCGGAGGCCGAGCTCGTCAATGATGGCCTCGACGCGCTGATGGCGGTCTGCAACGCTCAGCTCCGTGGGCAGGCGAATGTTGGCCGAGAAGGACAGGATTTCACGGCATGTCAGGTTGTTAAAGTGCACATCCGACTGGCGCACATAGCCAATAACACGGCGATGGCGCTTTTCCATCGGCGAGCCATTGATGAGAATGTCACCCTCGACGCGCATCTTGTCGTCGCTGCGGCCCGACAGAATGTTGAGCAGGGTGGTCTTTCCGGAGCCCGACGGGCCCATGATGGCGAGCAGCTGTCCCGGTTGCGCCTGCAAGAGGGTGAAAAACACATGTACAAGATGAGTTATCGACGGCGGATTATCAGTCGCGAGATACAGATGTATCAGCATCTCAATCGTTGTTGTTGTTGCAATGTGTGGGCGTGGGCGTGGGCGTTCTCTGAGCACAAGTTTCCCACCGCTGTCCTTTTTTTGGGTTTTTCCCCTTTTTTCCCGCCCACCTTCTTCTTCGTTCCCACCTTCTTCTCCCCCACGTTCTCCACCACCCCTCCTCCCCACCAAACCCCTCGTCTCGCACTCAATATGCTTCATGCCTGATGACTGAGATCATGATCTGATTGTGGTGGTGGTGGTGGTTGCAACTTTGAAACCGAAACCACAAAACAAGGCATCGGCTCGGCTCGGCTTCGAAATCGGCAGTTTGTTGTTGTTATTTTTTTCCCATCAATGCCAAATGACATTTGAGCCGTGATTGTGATTGTGTGTGGAAGGCCAAAGCGAGAGAGCGAGAGCGAGTCGTAGAGCAGCAGAGTGTTGCCAGTTGATGCGGAAGGGACCAACGAGAGTGCGGATGAGAGCGACGAAAAGGGGGAGGGAGAGAGGGAGGAAGAGGGAGGAAGAGGGGAGTTCGGGGGCGGATTCGATTCGGGGTTTCGGCTTCCAACCCGTTCAACTCTCGCTTCCCTCTACTCTGATGCACCACCACCACCAGCACACTTTGCTCAATGCCCAGTCGAAACAGAGCACGCCAGTCCGTCAATCTCCAGAGAGAAAGCGAGAGAGCGAGACAGAGCGAGAGAGGGAGGAGAGCAGCAGTTGATGAGTGTGCCACCAACAAAAACGAAACACACACGCGACCGCCATTCGTCGTGGCACCAAAGCATGACATCGAATCAACCCACCTCCCCGCTTCTTGTAGAGTGCAACATCATCATCATCATCAATCATCAATCATCAATCATCACGACGCTAGCACTCACCATGCCAGAGACGTCCTGGAGAATGCGCTTGGAGGTCGGGGCGCCGGCCGCAGCTGCCTGGCGCTTGACCTTGAGCGGAACGTTGACGCCCAGATTGCGCCATGCCAGCGTCACTTGGCGCGCATTGCCTGCGTTTGCATGGGCAGTCACTCCAGCAGCAGCAGCAGAGGAGGACGATGCTGGTGGGACATCGATGGCGGCGCTGTAGCTGGGCGTGAGCGATGAGGCAGATTCGCCGCCAACCGCTGGGCTCAGTTCGTCAGCCATTGTCAAATTTGAAAACAAAAGAAGGAATGGCTTAGGCTTCGGTTCACTCTGGATGACAATTGCGCTTCTGCGATTACAAAGTAACATGAATACCCACTTGACACAATATTTGCATTGAACAAACGACAAAAAAAATTGGACATCAACTTGGTTTGGCAAACAAACAAAATCAAACAAACGAAAGGGGGGGGGGGCGCTTCAGCAAACGAAAAGAGCTGCGCTGCCTTCTACTTCTTTTGCGCAAGCGTAGCACGGAAGTTGTCAATGGCGACGACAACTTGCTGACGGTTCTTGGCGAGGCCACGGATTTGCTGCAGCGCAGCGTCGTCCTTTTGCTGGAACGCAGCTTCGGCGGCTTCCGCAAGTGCTCTGCAAAGAATCAAAAAGTGAGAAAACAAAACAAAAAAACCCATGCAGCCGGCCAACACGAACAAGCGGAGAGGCCCTTACCCAACACGAATGTACGCGGCAACTCTCTCTTCAGGAGCCAAGCGATCAATGTACTTCTTGGCCTCGCCAGGATTGCCCTTCTCCATGCAGACATCAATAAACGGCTGCCAAACAGCGAGAGACATGTCAGTTTCGGATGTTTGGGAACCTGCATCCACGCATTAAACCAAAGCCTTGCGCAAACGTACTCCGTAACCGATGGGCGACTTTTTGGACTTGGCAAACTTTTCCAGCTCAATCCAGTTGCCAGTGTCGGCAGTAGCACGAATCTTAATCCACCAGAATCTGGCAATGCACAACACGAGAGAAGATCATGGTTGGAAAAAAATCAAGAAAACACGCTGCATCATCCATCGGCAACAAGCCTTACCGGCGATCAGGGACCTTAAACAGGCTCTGCACGTCCGACGCCTTCTTGGGATAGCCCGACGTCAAGCACTTGTAAATTGTGTCGGAAACAGACAAATCAGCCCACGGCACTTTGGAAACCTGCTCCAGCTCGTTTTGGAGTTTGTACAGCTCCATTTGCTCGCTGATGGCCTACGAACAGCAACCAACGAGAATGTTAGAATTGAAGAATACGAATGGGGGGGGGGTAGGTGGTTGTGGAAATCGAACTCACCCTTGCGACAAACGGAGGCTCCTTGCTTGCGGCGAACGGCTCCACGGCCGACTTGAGGACAGTGAAGCGCTCTTGCAAGCCCTGGAGGAGAGCAAGAAGAGCAAAAACGCCAACAAATCGAGAATGAGAATGTCAGCAAGAAGCAAGGAAGAATGCAGTCCACTCGGCCCAACAATCCACTTACCGTGCACTTGTAGGCCGCGGCCGCGTCCATGTACGCAAGCTCCACCTTGCCATCGTCAGTAATGTACAGGTTGCGGAGCAGGGCCGGGTCTTGCTGCTTGGCATACGTGGCAAACAAGTCCAGAGCCGCGGGCTTGGATTGCATAAAGCGCAAAAAGTCGTACTCTTCCATCTTTTGCTTGAGTCGCATGATGACAAAGTAAACTGCGGGCAAGATAATGGCACGCGTCCAACACATAATCTGGGTAAGATCACCGCTTGGGGAGGCAGCATGCGACAAAAACCAAACGACACATACCCAATTCGGTATCACCGCTCTCGATCGCCTTCGTCAATGCCATTTCGTCTTGATCCATGGTCATGAGCAGTGGCACTTGCACGCCGGCTTTCGGCTCGTAATCCAGCAGCTGCTCAAATCGTTCAACAATGACTGTGAGCTCACGCACAATGTGACCTTGTGACACCAGCACAAAACGAAATCTCACCATGGTAGCCAGCTCAGGACCACTGTGACGGAAGGCAACCTTGGCAATCTCAGTGTAGGAAATGCCACGAACATTTGCCAGCTTTTCAACGACCGCCTGGCAAACCACTGCAGGGTCTTCCGCAGGTTGTCGAATCTGCATTTCCCAAATCAATCAGTCAACACTGTTCTTGCCATCATCAACTTTGACAAGCACCAAAGAGAGAGAGAGCCAAACCTTTGCGCATGCCCAGTTGATCAACACGCGGTCTTGAGGAAGCTTCAAATACTCGCAGACGCGGAAGGCAAGGAAGTGCTGACGCCTCAACACGAGTCGGTCAATCAAACCAGTGGGGGTGATAACCGAGTACTCAGAGTAGGTGACGGGCATGCCGATCTCGTAAAAGCGTGCGGCGTTCAACACGCGCAGCGTTTGGCACATTGTCACAAACTTTTCCGAGTCGTAGTATTCCAGGAAGCCCTTGCCGAACGACGCAGCCTACCAAGAGTAGCAAGGAGATGGGCAGGTGAATACGATGAACACGTCACAATGTCAACGAGACAATAAGCGCGAACCTGCAGCAGCTGGCGTTGGAGTTTGTGCGAGTGTTCGTGCGCGGCGGCTTCGATGCAAGTGTCCACAGCCTCGGTCAGTTGGTTGTCGGTCTTGATGGTGCGAATGTACTCGTCCGCCTTCGGGCTCCGTTTCTATCAACCGACAACGATATCAGTCAGCGAATGCCAAATACAACCGTCAAAAAGAGAGCCAAAAGCAAAAAGCAGGCAGCCCACAAACCTCGTATTGCAAGTATGCTTCGTAAAGCTTGGCGCCAGCATGCAGAGAGCCAATCTTGAACACGTTTTCCACAGAGACTTTTTTGTTGTTCAAGTCCAAAACGAATCATGAGTCGATTGTTTTCTCGCGCAACTCGAGATTCACGACCAGACTCATTTACCTGGAACCTTTTGCATAAATTCGTGCTTCTCCTTGCTAATAATTCGGACACCGTCCACTTCAGACACGAGGAAGATTGGGTGGTCGTAGGGATGCTTGACCCAGTCGCCGTTGGGACCCACCATGAGGAGAATATTGCTCCAGTAGGCAACGACAGAGTCTTGTCCGCACCTGCACCACAACACAAACATTGGCCATTCAGTGATTGCGCAGACATCAGCCAGCAGACAACGACGACAACAGACACCAAAGCGCATACCAGACAAGCTGCTGCGGCTTGGCACGACTCTTGGTGTGCATTTCAGTGAGATTTTGCTGGAAATCCGTCGAGACAACCCACAGCACGCCCGTCTCTGAGAACATTGCCAGCAGTCGACCATTGGGCGAGACCGTCAGCGCCGTGTATGGGCCGTCGGTCAGCATCTGGAAGGAGGGGAGAACGATGCGTGGGCAAGAGATGAGATGGCAGGTGCATCATTTTGGATTTTCAAGTATGCGCTGTTACCTGGTCTTGTGCATCTGCAGCATCAACGACGTAGATGGTGTTGCCAACAGCAGCAAGCACTTCAACGCCATGATTGATGGAGAATTGCGGTTCAATGACAACCCAGCTGGTTGGTGCGGCCGTCATTTCTGCAAATGCAAACAAGAAGTCGGGGGCACGGCGGTGAGAATCACCTTGAATCAAGAGCGATACAAGCGGGCGAGCGCCATACCTGGAATCTCGGCCAATCGCCGCGGCTGCGGGGCTTCTTCGGAAAAGGTCGTGATGGCATAAAACACGAAAGCGCCCGTCAAGATGACGACGCCAGAGCCATAAAACTTGCACTCAATGACGGTCTGGTCCTTGACTTCCTGCAGGATTGCCAAGTTACAAGAAGGGGAGTGAGTCGGAGCTGTTTTGAGGGGTGTTCTGTGAAGGTGTTGCTCTCAAAAAAACGTACATGTCCGAAAGTAAAGGTGCGGATGGGTTCGCCTTGAACGTCAAAAATGCGAACAGTGCCGTCTTCGAGCACGCAGATGAGCTCTTCTTGTTCCGACCACCCAAGACCGACAATGCGAGCACCGTCCCACTGAGAACACGAGACGAGTAGTGAGCAATTATTTGTGCGAAAAACCAATTGCGCGTGTTCTGTTGGCACTTACCGGGATTTGCGCAAACGGGGTGCCGGCAGCATTGTAAATGAAGATATCACGCTTGGTGCGTTGAGCGCGAATGATTTTGCTATTGTCGCGCATCAGAGCTGTAGATTCAGAACACAACAGAGTGAGTGAGTTGTTGAAACACAAACGAGCATCTGAAGAAAGTGAGTGCGACGGCGTGCGCTTTTTTTCAGCGTTTTCGTGTCTTTTGCAAATTCAACACGAGTACTGATCGAGTTGCTCGAGGCTCCGACGTTGGACACCAATGGTTGCTGGTTGACTGCAATTTGCTTGAGATTGCCATTGAAAATTTGCTGCTCTGCTTCCAAGAACCAACCGCGCCCCAACCAACCGCGCCTCCCAACGCCACACTGCCAACGCCATTGACATGAGCACACCCACACACACACAGAGTGCGTCTCTGGAGCAAAACCGGGGCTGAATGGCTGCAATGGAAGGCCGAGATCTCAATTCTCAGTGCACTTGGATCAGGCGCCTCCCTCCAACAGTCCCCATAAGCGCCGAGGCTCCCCCTTTGTAAAGCAAAGCATAGCACAGCACAACGCGATTTCCAGCGGAGGACATACGACTCACCGATGGGACCTCCGAACGGGGCGGCCGAGATGACATACATGGCGAGGTCGATGGAGCGCCAGGCGAGGTCGATGGAGCGCCAGGCCATGTCGTACATCTCGAGCTTCCTGCAAAAGAGCATCAAGCGCAAGACCACGTCAGCAGGAGGAAGAGGGGAAGGGGGGGGGAATGGCGAGTATTGGAGTGGAGATTGAAGTTTGTATGTATTTGCATTGGGGAACCTCTCTCTCTCTCTCTCTCTCTCTCTGTCTCTCTGTGACCACTCCATCATCATCCATTCGACAATCTCGAGTATCAGACTCCAACTTGTAAAAGTTTGTTGTGTCTCTCTGTGACGCACCGGTAGAAGCGGTCCTGCAGCGGCGACCAGCTCGCTGCCGGGTTGATCTCCTCCAGCTCCATTGCGTGATGGTGAATATGAACTGAGCTCATGCATGATGAAGAATATAATAAGGAAGGTCAGTTTATTTATTATTGCTGTCTCAGACAAGCACACAAACACACAGAAACATGCATTGGAAGGTCGCTGTATTGGCGCTCATTGCAATGGCAGCGATTGTCAATGCAGAGCACCAACTCACGCAACCAGAGCCACCTGCAATAACATCAGCAGTCATCCATGATAGTATCAGTAGTAGTAGTAGCAGTTGCACTGGCAGTCGTCACAGTGATGCACTCGTCCCGTCGCGAACGGAACAACTCGAAGCAGCTAGTAGTGCTCAGATTGCGGCAGTCAGTCAGCCAAGTGCGCTCCTGCAGCTGCTTCATGCGCATGGCGTTACACACGCAACACTGCAAGACGCCGAGGTGAGTGAGTGGGTGGAGGAGAGAGGAGGAGCAAATATCACTGTGGGTCATTCTGACTTGCTTTGTGCCATCAGTCATTGCTAGCAGGTCAATCCATCAGTCACGGGCGCTCTGAGCATGCTTCGTCAAGTAGCAGCGACCATCATGCTGAAGTGCATCATCACCAACCAAGCTCACCGGGCGTGTATCGTCCACTCTTACTCCTGTTGCAATCGGTAACCAGAGATTCTGAGATTCTGAGTTGACTTTGCTGAATGACGCTTGCTCGTGCCATTACTCACCACAACGGACATACGACCAAAAACAGCTGGAAACTCTCCGCGAAACGGCTGGGACGAGCGCAGGCGTCCTCTTTGGCATTCTCATTGCCATCGTCCCGCAAGTCTTTGTTGTCCTGCTCCTGATTGTCTTCCCGACACTCACTCGCCAGATGCCGTACCTGCTCAAGAAACCTCAAGTCCTTGTGGTAGGTCCCTCAAAGCCCTTTTGAAAACACCAGACTGAGATTTTGAAAGTTTGCACTCAGCTTCTCTCCTCTCGACGCCTTCCAGAAACCTCCGGCGGAACACGCTCGCATCACACAACTCCTGGAGCGAGCACCGACCAAAGAATCTTGCATCTGGCTGAATGCGCTCGCCTCGCGTCTCTGGATTGAGTTGCACCAGACCAAAATCAAGCCGCTGTTCACCAAGCTCGTTCAGGACGAATTGGATGACTTGTTCAAGCTCCCCGCTGGTGGATTTCTGGTGCGGCGAGCAACCCTTTCTGATGGTATTCCCTGTCGTTCGACTGCCTTGCTAAGGTATCTCATTTTTTGGTATCACAGATCTCGGCCACCGTCGTCGAGTGCAACGGCCCGCCAAGCGCTCCTTCCTTCAGCAACATGAGCATCATCCACCCCCAAGGCGAAGTTCCGTCAGTGGTACGTGACTCGTTGTTTTCCCCCTGACCCGATTCCGAGTGACTCATCGTTTGTTTTATTTGATAGATGCTGGCTGCCGACATTTCTGCACTGTCCGGATTTCAATTTGCCGTCAAACTGGCGGTGCGCTACCTCGAAGCGCCAATCTATGTGGCTTTGCAGTGTGAAAAGTTCGAGGCGCAGGTGAGGAGGAAACTGCACGGTTGTAGATGTTGTGTTTGGAGTCTTTTGTGATTCATTCTGAACCTCTCCTTGTCTTTTTTGAAACAGCTGCTGATTGAGATATTCAAGCGCCCGGAATCGATGATATCCTATGGATTCTCCAGAATGCCGCACCTCGATCTCAAAATCAACTCGTTCGTGCTGCATCAACACACAGACAGCCTCCGGCGGCTCATCTTTTCGCTAGTGAAGAAGATGTTGACCAAGAAGTTTGTGCTTCCCAATCTGAAAACACGGTGGATGAATCCGCAGGTAGGAGTTGTCACTGAAAGGTTCCGGTGTTGGATGATTGTTTCACTTGTTACTTCTGCTTTTCTTCAGGCGCCTCCGTTTAGGCAAGGATATTTGATGCACTTTATTCGCAAGAGCGATCCAACTACAGAGAAAATTCTTCCTGCAACCTGGAAGCGGGGCTGGTAGGTAGCAGCCATGACCAGGATGATGCGGGGCGAGCTTTTGTTTTGGCTGACTGGCTGTCGTCTTGCTTTTGTTCCAGGGTGGTTTTGAAATCCAAGTCGTTAACTATTTTTGAAAATCACTTGGTATGATCTCTTCTGCGCGAGTATTACAGTGTGGTTGTATGTCGCTCATCTTGTACCTTGGTTTGGTTTTTTTGTAGGTTCCGCGACCCTTCCTGACCGTTCCACTCGAATGCATCAGCTCCAATGAAGTTGCTCTTTCAGATTCACAAAGATACTGCATGGCTCTTGAAGGTACTGCTTGCAACCCCTCGTGCTATGCTGTCGGATTTGGCTCACTTTGATATTCCCCCCCCCATCTCCCTCTCAGCTGGTCCAATTGGGTCTCTCTTTCTTGCATCGCGCACTCCTGTGCTTGGCTGGCAAATGGCCATCAATGATGCTGTCAGCCGACTTCGTCAACATGTACGTCGTTTTTTTTTTTTTCTTTTGCCGTGTAATGTTAATGTACTCAATCGCTTCCCTCGCCTTTGTTTTCTCACCCAATTGCAGCCGGTCAAGGTTCCCACTGCAGAAGAAATAGTAGTAGAACTGCCACCAAAGACTGCAACCCTGTCCACTTCAACAGCCGTCGTGACTGGTTATCCCACTCCCCCGCCTATGGTGTCCACTGCGCACCCCAAATTGGCAGCAACACCAAGTATGATGTCACAAGCGCGCGGTGCCAAGTCCGGACTGGGCACTGGCGCACATCCACCGTCGATATTGAAGCACACATGATCCTCTGTGTTTGTGTTTTTCGTTAACACGACTTTTAAACAATACACCGTGCCAAGCATACTGTATCTACGTTGTCTACTCGAAAGGCCAAAAAGTACAGCTCACAATGTACAACACAAATGGCTCCAGGTGTTAGCAGAACATGTGGGTGCTCTTGTCCGAAGCAATCATTCGCTCGGCACGTGCCGTGCCCACGACGCGTGCAAGTCGGTTGGCGTCGAGTTGCGTGTAGAGCACCGTGAGGCGAGGATCAGCGGTGGAGGAGACGGCGCCAGTCACGTCCACATAGTTGACGAGCTCGGGGTAGAATTGCGCGTTGTCGGGCAGGGCGTACATGACCAGCGTGCGAATGCCGCGGAGCCGATAGCGGTGGAAAAAGTAAAAGCGCTCGGTAAAGACCAGGAGCTTGGAATGGCCGTGGAAGAACTCTGTGCGTGCTCGAGCCACTTTACTGCCGGACGAGTACTCGCTGATTTGGCTAAAGTCAATCTCCTCCTTTTTCAAAAAGTTTCGGACGCGCACAAAGTCAAAGTACGATGGAATCATGAGCGCCGTGTGTGATGAAGCCGCCGAGCTGCTGAGTGCCGGAACGATCTGTGTTCAGCGTCAAAGTGTCAAACGACGAGAGAAATACAAGTGAGCGTCAATGTTCTGTGGAGAAAACAGTGGATGAAACAGCAATGATAACCTGTCGCACCTTTTCGCGGAAGAAGGCGAAACGAGCGTCCGGCATGTTCGAGTACGAGTCGCACTCAAAGCGGTGGAAAACCTGAGGAACTTGGTTGACGATGCGCGAAATGCATCCCGGATACGTGGGCTGCACGATCAGCCGTCCCGAAAAGTTGCTTGAAATGCGACGCATCAGGGCCAAAATCTCTGGGCTGAGATGCGCCGAAAGGATGATTGTTTGGCGATAGAACTTGCTCCTGAAGAATGCGTGTTGATGATAGGCAGGTGAGAGCTCCCAATCGCGACAATCACAGAACAACAATGAAACGCAACTCCATCTCACCAGTCGTTCAAATTCCATTCGCGAACACGAGAAAAGTCAGTGTCGCGCGTGTTTTTCGGAAGACGGTTGAGGTGCGACAAAACATCAATGACGTGGTCCCAGTTTTGCATGGAGAAGACCTCCGTTTGGTCCAACGCGAGGATTTCAATCGAGGACAAGAAATCAAAGTCGCGCTTCTTATCGCTACAGAAGGGAGATGGAAAAAAAAACCACCACCGGACAAAAGTGAGAACTTTACGACCAGTTTCCCCATCCTTCAGCACAACACAACCAACAAGAGCGTTACCCTTCAGATCCAATGATGAGCTTCAGGCCAAGAGGCGAGGCGACAATAATGTCGGCAGAGTAAAAATCAGAGAACAGCTTGACGTTTTTGCGCGAAATCTTGATGCCAATTTTGAAACAATCGTCAATGTTGCCGCTAAACGTCGCCTTGAAGTCGTCAGGGCGTTCCTTGCTCTCATCGGCTGCCGCCGTTTCAGCATCCACACCGTATTCCATGTTGAACCGCTTTCGGTTGCCGACCTGCAACTCGTTGCCGAGGTGGGCAAGAATGCCATGCACAATCCTCAAGGCAGAGCTGCGGAATGGTGCAAGAATGAGGACGCGAGGCCTTGTGAAGCCTTGGTCGCGATATTCCCCAGGCTCGACACCCTCGGCGTGTGCTGTTGAGATTTTCTGATTGTCCTTCACGACACGCGCTCGCGTCCGCTTGGCATGTCGCGCAACGTGTGCACACAAGGCATCGAGCACCTGGTGATGATTTGTGACGGGGAAGGTTGGCAAATCGCCGCCTTTTCGCGGAGGTTTGACGGGTTGACCTGCGAGCAATCGAATGCTGGCAGGAGTGGCATTGTCGGACGACGTGGCAGAGGCGAACGGCGTGGCATCCGTCAGCGAAGCATCCATGCAGGTCGGGTACAGGACGTCAGAGTATGCATTGATTGCGGCGATAGCCCGATCCAACGCGACCGTGGCGAGATTGCCAGCGACGGTAGTCGAAGTCTTGGTGGCGGAACTAGTGAGAAGGATTTCGGCGGCAGTCGTGGCATCGGACGCAGTGAGGGAGGTCTGGACAATGCCTTGACGTTGGGTCAACTGCTTTAGTTCGGCGGGTTGGATGGCGTGCTTGAAATGGGCGGCAAAGAAGTCTCCTGCGTTCGCTTTTTTGGCAGAGATCCGCGGTTTGAGCGTCGCAAGACCGTGAGATCCTTGCGTGTCCTTCTCCTCCTCCTCGTCTTCTTCGTCACTGCTGGCGTCGAAGCCTTCCTCGTTCTCGCTGTCCGTGTCGTTGGAGTTGTCGATGGCGTCCTTCTCGGCGGGAGCAGCGTCGTCGTCGTCGTCGTCGTCGCCGTCTTCTTCCTCCTCGTCCTCTTCTGCATTGTTCTCCTCATCACTGACGAGCTCTTCGCCGTTCTCATCGAGGTTGTCGTCGCCGTCTTCGTCGGCAGCGTCGTCGTCTTCGTCGTCAACTTCCTCGTCAACTTCCTCGTCAAAGTCCTCTTCCTGGTTCTCGTCCTCGTCATCCAGCTGTTCTTCATCTTCGTCCTGATTGTCTTCATCGTCGTCTTGATCGACTTCGAGACCTTCTTCCTCCAGGCGTTGGCGTTTCAGCAGCAGGGCAGCATTCCCAGTCAGCCGGAGCGATCCGAGCAGCGCGTCGTACGAGCTTGGCTTGTTTGCGTCCGCCTCGTCGTCGTACTCTGCATACTCTTCCTCTTCGTCATGAGCTTGCGCTTGCGACGACGTGTCTTGGTCGGGATCGGATGGACCTCCGACGTCGCGCCAGTTCCTGCGACGCTTGTCATTCCCGCGACCTCCTCGCCCGCGGCCTCGGCCACCATCCTCACTACCACGGCTGGCCATGGATTCGTCCACGACAATCCTTGTGCGACGATCTGCCAGTAGGTCCAGATCTCTGTCCAAAAATGTCACCAATGCGCCACAGTGAGCTTGGTTTTCTGTTTTCAAGGCCAACACTGGCCAGCTCTCCTCAGGGTCCAATGTCCAATGACCGTTGAGGCTAGTCGCGTGGCTTGTGCGATGGTCGGTGCTTTATGACCAGGAGGATGCTTACGCTTGCTCACTGGTGTGGCTGCGCCGTCCTCCATGTGCGCCATGTGGCTGCTGCTGGCCGGACTGCTGCTCGTGCATGCGCTGCTTCTCGATATCCACAGGGTGCAGCTGGCCAAACTCGAGCAGCTGCTCCTTGTCGGCGCGCGACAGACCACCGCGGGCAGGGCGACCGCTGCTGGTGGCCGACGATCCCGCAGCAGAGTTGGCTGAGGCGCCATTGGATTTGCGCCCCTTGGCCATTGTTGCGCTCAAAGCAAAGTGTGGGTGTGATGGAAATGAAAGACTGGGCCAAGCACAAGGAATTCTACATCACAACGAGGTTGTTATTGAATTTCATTCAGAGGGAGGTGGAGTTTGGATGATTGTTGAGCAAGTTAGCGTCAAGTTAGCGCAAGTTGGCTGCAGAGAGCGCTCCAACAACCAAAAGTGCTCTGAACAAGACGGTGATCGGAACTTGTCGGCATCGAGTACACTGCGATTGAGGCTGAAGAGAAAACTTGCATTCGAGGAAACAAAATGGCAGCGAAAAAGGCACGAAAATTCACAAAAGCTGACGACTCGAACACTCTCCGTGCGGACAGAGATAGACAGACATGTACAACAACAAAAACAACTGAAAGCTGGAGCAGAGACGACTCCAGCTCTTTACGAATTCGCAGCGTCGACATTCACAACCTGTCAACAAAGGGAGAAACAAGCGTTTGAGAATTGTGCTTTTCAGCAGATTGAGGCAAACTCTGAGGTGTCGCTCAATATCCAAAAGCAACCAAACAGCAATGCTACTTTCGTACCCGTGCATCCAGGTAGTCGACTTGGCGCTCGAGCTGCGAGAGCTTCTCGTTCAGTGCTGCCAACCGGTATCGAGTGGACGAATCTGTGAAAATGGGTCAACCCAAAAGGCATTTTTCAGTGAGATTTCCACAATTCGATGGTTACAAGTATGTCGAGCTCTAGAATAACTCGGGCGAATGAATAAGTCTGAGTATGTTCGAAGTCACAGTGGACTGACGCTGGATACGGGATTCAATCCCACCACCACCACTTTCTCCACCACCATCAACTGCACCATCAACAGCAGCACCAACAGCAGCAGTAGTGGCAGCAGGTGGGTCGGAGTCGGTGAACCAATCTCAGTGCAGTACCATTGCAAAGAGGAACATACTGCCCAACCAAGCAGGCCCAGGGTCTTCGCGCTCCCCAAGTCGTACTCTAAAATCACCCATCTCATCTCCCCCATTCAATGTGCCTGCCGAGCTCACTCGTCGTCGCGGTCAGCATCAGCATCAAAGTGAGACGCGGCTGAATGTTTTGAATCTGCCGTTGGACTCGCGCTCTCCCGTCGTCCGCTCTCCCCATCTACACATCGCGGCCATGCTGAGCTGGAGAAAGGCAGAGCTTCAATAGAGAGTGAGGTGATGTGAGGCGGGAGTACCAAAGGTGGTCAGGAAGCTCGCAATCCGCTTGACGGCCGAGCTGATCTCCTCGACAAGCTCGCGGTTTTCCCAGTCGCGCTGCACGAACGTTGCTTGTGCTGACATTGTGATTGCGTAGTGTTGTTATTAGGGTTCTGATGGACTGGTGGAGAATGGGGGAAACGACAGAAAAAGCCGGTAATGCTGCTCCCTGCTGGAATAACAATGCTGGACTGAGCTGTGTCTATGTATGTCGTCCTAATGCTCAATGCGAAATTCAATGGAAAGCGAGGGAGAGGATGGAGCATGAAGCTAGAGTCGCTGACCAAGCATCCAAGTTCGGGGACGGCCGCTTGAAGCAGCAAAAGCTGTCTGTCTGTCTGTCTCTTCCATCGATGGTCGTATCACCTTCGCACTGAGCCATTAGTGGATCTTCTTTTGTTTTTGTAGCCGTACTTTATTAAAGCAACATTTGCATCAGATTAGTGGAACGCACGTGGCCCCTTGAGGGAAAAACAAACAAAACACAACAAACAAACAAAAACAAAAACAACATTGGTCAGCAACAGAAGCGCCGACACCCGGAATGGAGAAATAAGTGCAGAAGCGAGCGCGGATGAGGATGAAGTTGCAATGATCGCCGTTTGCGGAGGTTGTCGCACTTGGCTGACATCAAGTCTGCAGCTCGCAACCTTTCACCAGAACAAAACAGGAACCAAGCTCGTCTTGCACATTGTCCCACATATCCGCAATACGAGTACCATACGACACGCCATCTGCAGACGAGCGGTGAACGGCAAACGCAGGTTCAAGACCTTGAGCTGCTGCTGCAGCAGGGTCCCCGGTGAGGGTTGGGCCGGTACCTCTCCGACTGCGCAAAAGCTGCTGCCCTTCCCAGACGTAATTTAGACCACAACACCCAGAGTGCCAATGCGAAGTGGCATGCCACTGGTCATCCCTTGCTCGACCATTGCCGAAGGCGTGGCCGAGATCTGGAAAAGGGAACCAGGTAGGACATCCACATAACCGCGTTCGAGTAACTCTTGGTCGACTTGCTGCAGCATAGCCTGCGCTGCCTCAACGCACTCGCGTTGCACCTTAAGCGAAATCAATTCGCTGGGTGGCAGAGGCGCGGAGAGACAATAGTCCAGAGATCCGCTCGAACGGCCGAGCGCGACCGCGAAATAGGTAATGTCGTCACGGAGCCTCGGAGTGAAGATGGACTGGAACACGTCGACAACTTCAAACACATCGGACGGCCAGAGATTTGCAAGGATTTCCGAATTCAATGTGCTCGGTGGGTCTCGAGGTGGAGTTGCCATCGTGACCTGCGGCTGAAGGGCGCGGATAATGCCACGGAGCTGCAACTGCGAGGTTCCAGTTTCCAACATTTTCCTAAGGTTTTGCACATACTCGCGGGCTCTTTGTCGGTGCAAGTGCTTGATGAAGGGTTGGTGTGACACCGGCTCACCGAGGTTGAGAGCGACAAGGTCCCTTGGGAGCTCAACGACGTCGTGGAGAGTAATAAGAACATCTCGAACTCCTCGAGACCAGTATTGCCGCGCGACTTCGGTGTCAAGGGTGGTCAACTGCCGGATTGCGCGCTGAGTGTTCTGGGCCACCCACTCAGGCGGCGGCGCAGCGCCCATGGTTGGAGGAGGCGAAGTTGGAGGCAAACTCATCAAAGCGATGTTTGAATGTTTTGTTCTCAACAATTTAGAATGACATTTTTGCTTTGAGTTGCCAAATCGCAACGCGTGCAATGTGTAAAATGACATACACTGATGCATTCTGCATAAGCGAATAATACAGTAAATACGAGCAAATTTCCTGGATTGGACTGTTTGCGAACTGCGAGAGAGACACGAACAGATCGTCTACCAGTCGCGCAGCGATTGGAGCAAAAGCTGCCCGTCTGTCTGTCTCTTCCATTGATCATCCATCGTGTTCGATGCTCGTTATTGTTTTCTTGTGATGACTTCAGAATCCGCCTTTGTCTCAGCTTGCTCAGATTCTCTCAGTCGCATCATCACTCTTCCTTTTCTCACTCACACACAAATGCTTCCTGCTACCCTGCGTTCCGTGCGCTCGTTCTCGACGTCCGTGCGCGCCGCGGCTTCCGACATTTCGGTATGGTTCTTTTTTTCTCTTCCTTGACGCTGAAATGAGGATGGGAGTCGTGAGGGGGGGGGATTGGAAGGAGCTTCTTAATGCAAGCTTCTTGACCTTTCTTTCCTTTTCCCCCCCCTCTCTGCGCTGGTCCTGCCACTGAGGGTTGACGTTGCGTTGCGCAGACCACGCGGCAGCACTCTTCACCATCCACTTCATCCACTCGCTTCCTCTCAATCTCGCTCTTGGGATGGAAGTCTTCCTCCCTGGTCTTCCCTCGTGCCATAGGACGAGAATCATCAAAAAAAAAAAAAAAAAAAAAAAAAAAGATGTTGTATGGAAGTGCATTGGGTCGTGACTTTTGGTTTTTTGTTTTTTGGTCTGTTTCCTATGTTTTTGTTGCTTTTGAGCAAAGTGTGCAACAAGCGAAACCCGAGTTGCGTCAGAGTGAGGAACAACAGCACTTTTGAACTCGGATTTGCACAAACGCACCGAGTGAGTGAGCGTTATGAGACAAGAGAGAGAGAGAGACGAAGGAAGGGAAACCGCGATCATGATGAAACGAGGCAGTTTGGGCATTGCCACCACCACTCCAACTCAAGCAAAACACAAAATGAAGAGACATCAGCGCGTTGACTGAGAGAAGGAGAGAGGGAGAGAGAGAGAGAGAGAGAGAGGGAGACAGAGCGAGATCCATCACACTGAGCGAGCGACACTCACTGTGTCCCCCTCCCCCTCATGCCACTGACACCCATGCCACTGACGCCCCGTGTCGTATTCAGTCATCGCTATCGATCCATACAACTCACCATCGAAATGCAACGCAATGCAATCAGCCTGCGCAGAAATGTTTGCGACGTTACTCACTGTTCCAATCTCCCTTCTTGTTGCCAGTTTGCCAACCTCAAGGTGCAGAAGGCCGCCCCCGAGGCACGCAAGACCAAGCCCGCCAACAAGGACTTGGTCTTTGGCGCTTCCTTCTCGGATCACATGCTCGAGGTGCCGTGGAACAAGCAGTCGGGCTGGGCTGCTCCGATCATCTCCCCTTACCACCGCCTCTCCATCGACCCCGCGTCGAACGTGCTCCACTACGGCATTGAGGTAAAATGGAATTGTAGCATCGACACGAGAGGATCACCCACCAAAGAGTGCTCAATTCATTGTGTGGTTCTTTGTGTTTGGTAACAGTGCTTTGAGGGCATGAAGGCCTACAAGGACAAGCACAACCAAATCCGCTTGTTCCGCCCTGACAAGAACATGGCTCGCCTCAAGTCTTCCTGCGAGCGCATTGCTCTTCCAGTATGGGTGATGCAGTCGAGAGCAGTCGCGTCGTCAATGACTTGCATCCTTTTCGTTTTCGTTTTTCGTTTGTTTCCTCCCTCCACAGTCGTTCAACACAAACGAGTTCCTGAACTGCATCAAGGAGCTGGTCAAGCTCGATGCCGACTGGATTCCCAAGGAGAAGGGCTACTCTCTGTACATTCGCCCGACTGCCATCGGCACTCAGGTTTGTCGGAAATGTTGACGCACCAATGTCACCCTTTTCAATCTGTTTGCTCACCCCATCCACGCTCCATCTATATCACAGGAATCGCTCGGTGTCGGCGCTTCGAACAGCTCTTTGCTCTTCGTCATCAACTCGCCCGTCGGCCCGTACTACAAGACCGGATTCGCTCCAGTCAAGCTGCTCGCCGACACCAACAACGTTCGCGCGTGGCCCGGCGGCACGGGTGGCTACAAGCTCGGCCTGTAAGTTTGGGGGGGGGGAGGAGAGGGCGTTACCTCTTGCTGCCTGACTCGGATTCGCAAGGTTCATCAAACTGACTTATCTTGTTTTCTTCCAGCAACTATGCGCCCACGATTCTTCCCCAGCTCAAGGCCATGGAGGACGGCTGCCAGCAAGTTCTCTGGCTGTTTGGCCCCGAGCTTGAAATCACCGAAGTCGGCACGATGAACTTCTTTATGTTCTGGAAGAACCAGAACGGAGGTGTGTATTTCCCTCTTCTTGCAGCAGCAGCGGCCCCCAGCTCTGATGCCAGTGTTGATGTGCGATTCAGTCCGTGTTCTCACTTTCTCCCCTCCACACTTGACGTGCAGAAACCGAGCTCGTCACCCCGCCGCTCAAGGACATCATCTTGCCCGGTGTGACGCGCGACTCTATTCTGTCCCTCGCTCGCTCCTGGGGCGAGTTCAAGGTTTCCGAGCGCAACTTTACCATCCACGATGTTGTTCGTGGCATCAAGGAGAAGCGGGTATGTCAACGCACGCTGAGTTTGTTGCGTGAATTCTCTGTGTCTCGAGTTTCCAACCCGCTACCTCGACCCCTTGCTTTTGCAGGTTATTGAGCTGTTTGGCGCTGGCACGGCGGCCATCGTTTCGCCCATCGGCTGCATCAAGTTCGAGGGCCAGGTGAGGAGTTTTTTTGCGCTGTTTTTCAGCGCCTCTTTTTGGTTTCAAAGAACCCACACTCAACTCTGCATTCGTCACCATCACAGGACTACCCAATTCCGCTTGAGCTTGGCGGCAGCGGCAAGCTCACCAAGCGTTTCTTCGACACCATGATGAGCATTCAGGTAACACACTCAAACTCGTTGATGCGATTGGCAACATAAAGATTCCTGCATCGTTCGCACTCACTTGGATGCTGAAATTTGTCAACTCTTTTGTACAGTATGGCGAGTTGGAGCACGAGTGGTCGGTCATCGTCAAGTAAATTTTCTGCAACAGAGTTGGGATTCTGGTGCTGGATGTGTTGTCGTGACACGAATACTAGTAGCTTCTGCCACGTCCTTGTGCTACGCCAATTCATGTTGGGTACATTTTCAAAAACATTGATCTTTTGTTATTTTCACTGTACAACGATGCTGAGCAGGCAACATCGCATCAAAACGACAATCTTGTGTAACGTTTTCATCCTTTAAACTGCTGAAGCACACTCTGTAAGCCGTCCCCGCCCCCAAATTAGATTGGTTCAACCACAATGAGTGCAAATAGCTTCTACATACTACCCCAACATGCCCCTTCCTGTCGAAAACGCACCTGAAGCACTTGCTCGACGTGCTGTGGCGCGAGTGTTCGTGCGCGGCCATTCTCCTCGAGCGCGGCCAGCGTTGCCTCCTGCGCCAGTCGCTTGATGAATAGGATTAAATCGAGGTAGATCTGTAAATGCAGAGGAGCGAATGCATTGGTTGAGTTTGGGGTGGCTTCAAAGCGAGACAATATGAAAGACTGAGTGACGACGATGACGATGCAGCGCGCCCACAGACAGACAGTCTCCGCATTGCATTGCCAGTCGAGGCAAGCCAATGATGATGATTGCCTCTGTGTATGGGCTGGTCTGATGTCGTTGGCTGGTTCGTCGACTTGGCCATTGTTGGATTTTGGCGCCAAAAAACAGTTTGAAACCGCGCCTTCCTCTCCATTCGACTGGCGGACAGCGACCACGCAAAATGTGAAAAGTGGGTGAATGAAATTACTTCTTACGAGGATGTCTGCGTTTGGGCTGATGCGCATGCGGTCGTCGTGGCCGTGCCTGCGAACGAGCTGCCGAAGCGCATTGCGCGAGAATCGCTTCTTCATTGCTGTGAGTGTGTGGACAATTGAAGAAGGACTGAAAGCATAAGTGTGTACTTTACTTGTAAATATAGCAGTAAACGGAGCCAGGATGAAAATGAAGAGGAAGGGAGTGAATGAAAGAAAACGGTGAAGGTTTCAATCTCAGACTTGAGAACAAGGCTGAGCCTGTCGGTTTCGGGGTCCTCGCACTCGGGCCAACAGCAACACCAGCAAATCGGATCAGCAGCAGAATTCTGTGGGTTATCAGTGGGGTCGACACAGAACCCCTGCGCAATCAATCCCTCTGCCTTGGATTTCAGACTCGAGAGCAAGTTCTTGGTGCAGGCGGCTACAGAACGATGTGAACGAAGACCGCCCATTCGAAAGAAACGCAAAAAACACCATCCATCAGCAATCGCTCAGAGAAACTGCAGTGGAAAGGTAAAGGCGGTGATCAAGAATTTGTGCTGAACATCTGCCTTGTGACTGAGCTTTGCTTCTTTCGCTCAGAGAGTGAGTGCTTTGAATTCTGAACACCCAACTTTTGCTGGTGTTTCAAATGCCGCCCCTTTCCTTGACATTGAAAGATTCTACACAACCATAAGAGACAGCTGCGAGACGGAGGGGCCGATTCACACTCAAAATGTACTGCTCGAAAGCTCAATGCCTTGTGAACACGCGCTCGCAGTAAGATGCAAAGCAAATAGACCTCTATTGAACAAATCCACACAACTCCACAAACCACAGACACACACCTTCTTTCACTTAGAATTACAGCGAATGACCTTCACGTCCTTCGTTACTTTTGCTGCGATGCCGCGCGCTTGTCGCCACCGAGGCAGTTTGGTGTTCCTGCGACGGTGCAGTTCGCTGCCTGCCATTGCTCGGGTGTCTGTGCCTGGATGGAGAGCGCGTGGACGCCCGCCTTGAGCTCGTCCTTGAGCAGCGCGTTGACTTGTCTGTGGCGGTCGATCAGCGAGCGGCCCTTGAACGCGTCCGACACGACGACAACGTTGAAGTGCGTCTCAGACCCTCGTGGAACAGCGTGCTTGTACGAGTCGTTCAGCACTTGGATGTGCGTCGCAGTCGGAAACGTCGAGGCGAGCTTGGCCTCAATGACCTGCTGCACGGGCCCCGCGGAGGCACCCGCGGCACCGGTCGATGATGCGCCGGTCGACATGAATGCAGCAGAGACGGCGCGAGTGAACAAGGTGGTCTGGACGGCGATGGCAGCGAGGGGTCGTCGGGGAAGCACGACTGCGCGTCTCAGTGACAAGAAGGCGCTGAGCATACAAGAAAGACTGAGCCGCTTAGAACCATTCATTGGACTGTAGATGTGCAGGAATTCAGATCATCAGCAGAAGCGTTTGTGGATATCATGACATTGATCAGAAAGCGAGAAAAACGCAAAACAAACAATCGCAAACAGAATGTACACTTCAAACTCAATCCCCGATTTCGTGGGAAGCAGCACTGGTCGTCGTGGCGGTGGTGCCAGACGGGACTCCACTGCTGGGCGCACGCCAACGGTACCACCGACGACGCCGGGTAAAGTGCTTGCCAGCCGCGAGGTTTCGCCACTCTTGCCAACGCGTTGTACCGTACTGCCAGCCCTCGCGGTCAGACTCGCCGTCGATGAGAACTTGCCAACTTGGCGAAACCCACTCCCAGCCGCGCGGAAGGACGATATTTTCGCGGGTGCGGTCGATGGTACCGTCGGCGTCGGAAAAGTTGGGCCGCTCGCCGGGCATCAAGCGGTCTGTCCAGCCCATGGCCAGCCACCATCGCTGATTCTCGAAAACGAGCTCGCAGCGCGCGTCAGGCACGGGCGCAAGGGACGGGTCAATCCTGCTGCGCATCGAGTAGTTGACGGGACTGAAGTTTCGGAGAAAGGAAGTGCGCGTGGAAACATGGCGCACCAAGACCCGTCCGAGCGCACGACAGGGTGTCGTGTTGCCCAGCAGCACCAGGACACCGCTCGCGGCCAGCAGAAAGTTCAAGGAAAAGATGCACTGCAGCACCAAGATGAAAACCGAGTACGCGATGGCTCCATACACGAGAATAATGGTTGCAAAGTCGTCCGTCCAGTCCAGCAGTTGCTGACAGGCAAGACCTGCTCGGTACATGTCGCCATGCTGGCCCATCATGTTTTGAATGCGCTGCAGGTTGTGGCGATAGTCGGCATTGCGGAAGAGTTCCTTGTTGAACAGAAACCCCATGACGCCTTCGCGAGACAGCAACGGGGCTGGTGGGACTTTGTAGGATGATGTGCCTGGTGAGGAGGAGGTGGCTGCGGAGGTATTGGTTGTTGAAGTGGCGGCGGAGGAGGTGGTGGCAGTTGGTGCCGAAAAACTGGGAGAACGCGCGGCTGCCGCAGGCGTAGAAGGTGCTATCGAAGAGCGAGGTGATACGTCTGAAGTGACGTTGGAGCCAACGGCGGCAGCGGCGGCGGCGGTCGTGGCAAAGGTCGGCGAGGACGCATCCGCCATGTTCATCACCTCAAATTCGTCAAAGCTCATCTCGTTGTACTGGGGAGATCCGCTGCCTGGCTCGATGCCGTCCGGACTCGGTGCGGGCTCGCTACTAGCAATGGCATCACCAGCGGAATGACGGTGACGGTGGAGCAGGCGATGATGATGTTCGTCCTGGGCAGACTCGCTCGTTGTGCGGCGATGCGAGCCTGACGCAACAGCTTCCACGTTGCGCCGCTCGCGGACTCTGGCAGCATGCGACGAGCCAGTGTAGCCGAGAAGTGCCATGGCGGGAACGAGCGGCAAGAGTCCGGGAAACATGCAGAGAAGGACCCAAGCCAGCATGACCATCAGCGTGGTGACTGGATGCTGCCAGTAGTACACATCCCGCGCAGCTTCGATGGCCGAGAACACGGGGTTGGTCTCCGCGACAAACCGACTAAAGTTGCTCGTCAATGTTCGCATGTGCAGCGGCGGCTCGAACAGCTCGAGCTCGCGGTGCTGCGTGACGGCTTCCGTCTCTGCCGTGAGATCACGCACGAACTCGAGGCTTGCGAGGTAGTTGAGCGTGTCTCGGAAGGAGGAGGTGGAGAAGGAGGGTGTGGCGCTTGGCGTCTGAGCGCTTGCTCGCTGTGAGGGTGTGGCGGAGGAGGTTCCCGAGCCAGCCGCCGCAGCCGCCGTCGATTGCGCAAGCTGCCCACTGCTCCTCGGTGCGTTTGGAGCGACTGGCGGCAGTGGTGGCAGCGGCGGCAATGGCGGTGGAACGACCCCGCTCGCACTGACGTGGCGCGTGTTTGCCTCGCCGTCGCTCGCACGGGCGGCCCGCTTGCCAGCAGCAGTAGAAGAGCGCGACGGGGCGTCGTTTGGACCTGGGTCGGGGTTGTCGTCGTCGGGGTCGTCTGGGTCGTCGTCCTGGTGGGTCAAATCGGGTGACGCAGCGTCAGATTGCGCACGACTGCCCAGACTGGCCTCGCTCGGGCTCTGCGCCGGCTGGCTCTGGTGAGTCTGTTGTGTGTGCGTGTGACTGCGCCATGCGTCGCAGGTCAGCAGCGCGGCGGACACAGCGGGAGAGCCCACCTGGGCCAGCTCAGCGAGCTCGGCAGCGCAGGCGTCGTGCGCATTCAGCTGGCAGGACGTGCACTGCAGGCCCTGGCGAACGAGGCCCCACAGGAACTTGCTGCACACATCGCAGAACGTCGGCCGGTGGAAGGTGTGCGGCGCAAACAAGTGCAGCCCAGCAGCACTCATTTCGTCTGAGTGATGTAGAAGAAAGGGAGTGGAGTGAGAAAGTCTGAGCAAGCATAATCTAGTGTAGAAACTAAAAGCCCAAAGTGCTCAGACAACATGAGCAATATATAAAACAAAAAAAATTCACAAAAACGCAAGCACAGAATCTGAGAACGTATCTCCTGTTTTGCAGTGCAGCAGCTAAACCTCGAAGCGTTCTGGTCAGCAACAAGTATCACTCGAACTCGAACACGCTTTAGCACATGAATCTACGCGCGAAACTGCACAGCGAGAGAGAGAGAGAGAGAGAGAGAGAGAGAGAGAGAGAGAGAGAGAGAGAGAGAGAGAGAGAGAGAGAGAGAGAGAGAGAGAGAGAGAGAGAGAGAGAGAGAGAGAGAGAGAGAGAGAGAGAGAGAGAGAGAGAGAGAGAGAGAGAGAGAGAGAGAGAGAGAGAGAGAGATCCCACTCCCCGATCTCATACCGTGCTCCAGTAAATGTTCGTTCCCCTTTCCGAGTCATGAGCGGGTCAGTCAATTTGCCAGCAGTGTCGAAACCCACACTCCAAGTCCAAAATGTCAAACAACAACGATCGAGCTGTTCCAGAATCCCCGTCAGCGATCTCACTGAGCACTTTCAGAGTGTTTCAATGTAAGTGTATGCGGCCCACGGCCATGGGAAGAGGCCGTGGCTTCAGCGTCGTAGAACAGGCAGAATTGAAGGTGTATTGTAGCCGGTAACAGAAGAGTACTCCCGATATGAAGCTGCAAAATCGCCTCCGTCACGAGACGCTGTCCCCTCCTCTCTCCAATAAAATCTGAGTTGTTGTGCGTTAAAACCCCCATCTGTTGTCCGTGGATGGCGGTAGACTCGGCGTAGGCTGCGCGGCGGAGGGGGTTGTGGAGTGTGGTTTTCACGCGCGCGCGACCCACCTCACCGTGGTCCCTAGACAGCTCAATCGGCATGTTTAGCACGCGTTGGGAGGTCCACATCATGCACCAACTTCATCGTTTGAGCTGCGGACCGGATCGTATGGTCCTTCTGGTAGCTGCCCAGAACACGCTCTAGGGGAAAGCAAAACAACGAACTTGGAAAAAAAAACACGACCTCGCGAATGCAGCGTTTCTTGTGAAACTTGCCAACATGCTGCTACGCGATATGCAGACCTGCTCCCACCGCGCGCGCACCGGACCGAGTATCTAAAATGTACATGCTATATGTCGGATCAGAGAAGGGAGGATTATGATCAAACACGGCCCGACAGTACGGTTGCAAAGACATGCGTTTATTCGGCAACACAACAAAGCAAAGGCTGTGGTCAGCAGTACCGCCCAAATCTGTGCACAGGAGGGGTGTGTGTGCGCAAGGTTGCGCTACGGACGTTGTTGGGAGGCACATCTTTTCAAAAACGTTCGATCGGGCCGGTCCAGGTCGCGCAGGTCGGGCTCAAAAGGCTCGCTGTCGTCGTCGCTGTCCGTGTCGCTCAAATCGCCATCATCACTGTCAGGCTCGCGGTTGCCAAACACGTGTTGCCGAGATCGACTGGGGCGAGTATTGGCAGGTAAACCAGCGTTGTCTTGATAGAGGTGATCGAACCAATGTTTCGAGGCGGCGTCAAGACGAGCGCGCTTGCGTGAGCTCTCCTCGGACGAGTTGGTGCCCGCATCAAGCGATAGAGCTCTGCGCCGCCGTGTACCAGCAGTCTCCGTCAAACCATCTGCTGGAGCACTTTGACTGGAGCTGTTGGCAACGGAGTTGACGGGCATTTGCGCAGAACGACGGCGCTGATCTTCCGACCTTTCAAACGCTTCCACATCGCCAGCGACGATGTACGCAGCGCTGGCGCGCAGTGAGGACTTTGGTGGCCTGACAGCGGGTCTGAAGCTCGGCTTGACGCCCGGCACTTTGCGAGCAGCGTACTCTGTGTGCTTTGCGTACGCTGCAGCTCGCTTCGCTCTGATAGTCGCTGCCCGGGTCTTTTGAGCCTGCCGCTTTGTTTGATTAAAAGTTTTATCAGTAAACAGGGTGCGCATTGCTCGCTGTCGAGAGACTGAACTCAGGGAGCGGGTAGCGAACGTTCGAACTGCCTTCACGACGGTTGCGAGCGCTTTGACTGGCAAAGATAATTTTTGCAAATCATCAAACACTGGCTGCAGTCGAAGCGAGATCTCGTGGACGACTTTCTGTGCCTGGGACGAGTGCCTCAAAGGTGGTGAGTCGCTGTCGTCGGAGTCGGAGTCGTCGTCTTGAAACAGGCTCGTAGCCTGCATAGCTGTGCGTATTGACGGTAGTGTGATCGAAGGTGCAACTGAGGGTGCAACTGAGGGTGCGACCGAGGGTGGTGCGACCGAGGGTGTAACCTCTTCCGCTGCCGTAGACGAAGTCGAAACAGTCGAAGAAGTCGGTTCAAACATTTCTGCTTCCCTGACATGCATGCCATCGCCAGTGCCGTGCTCATAACTTGGTTCACTCGAGTTCTGGTCTTGCGGAACATCTGCACCAACTGAGACAGGCGTCTCAGGGTCTGCAGTTGTGCGGACAGGACTTGGAGCCTCACGATCTTGAATGAGCGCGTCCAACGCGATACCAAACACTTCCAGTCCACCAAGCAGGCGGGCAGCAGCTCTAATGTGCGTGCACACGAGGGAGCAGTCGTGGAAGTCGGTGCAAAAACGGGACTTGACGACGACGATGGTAACACTCTTCTTGTATCCCCGATAAATATCGTCGCGCAATTTGTGCCAGTAGTCCTGTGGTACCAACGTAAAGTCTCCGATATTGGTGCTTTGACCATGTCCATGGGCGATCATGTGGTCGGCTGAAAATTGCAACAAGTTTGCGCTTTGTGGAATTGCTGATTTCGAGATCACCATGCCAACACCAGCGTTGCTGTCGAGTATCAAGACACGGTCGCACAGCACTCTGGCCTTGGCTGTCGACTCGTAGTTCCAGATACGCTCGCGATACTTGGGGAGGCAGGCGAGATTTGGAACGTTGACGAGGAGCCATTGACGTTTCAAGCAAAACTTCTCATTGACATCCCAAATGAGCTTGGTCGCCAGCGTTGGCAAATCCGAGTTCGAGTTGGAGTTGAGATGCGTCATTTTGATTGACTTGAAGAGTCTACGTGCGAGACAACAACGAAGGCAAGCAATGTAAGCAAAGTGCGGGACGCCAGTTTAAGTACAAAGCCTCTCCAAACCGATCGGTCACTCACCTCTCAATCAAATTGTTGGTAGAACCCTGGTCCAACGCTGTCGGGATGGTTCCGATATGCGGAAGCGTCCAGGTTTCGATTTGGCCCTTGGCAAACCATTCTTTCTCCAGGTACGCCAAGTCCTTCTCGCTCAGTCCGGCCTCTCTGACGCTCTTCACGCGGCTTTCAAGCTCCTCCAGGGACCTGGAACGCCGAACTTTCTTGAGGATCTTCTCAATGTCGGGATGAGAAATATTGCGCAGGACGGCCTGCTTGACATGAAACCAGCAAGTGGAAATCTGAACATTGACGGCCTCCCTGATGGCAGCTGCCTCGGCTTTGCACTTGTCAATCACAAAACGCAGAGGCTGGAAGCAAGAGCCGAGCGCCTCCTTGAGCACCGACAAGAATTTTGCGTACACTGCCGCGGTATCGTTGGAGGCTATCATGAACGCGAGGGGAACGGCCGAACCGCACTCGTCTGCTGCAACAAGCGCTGTCAAGCCCCAGCGTAGCTTGGTCACCTTGTAGGTGGTGTCGAGGAACAGGACTTGAGGGCGCAGCGAGCTCCACATCGCCCGTTGGCACGGCGTGACCAGAACAAGAATGCCTGGCGAATCACGGCAATTAGGATCCTGGGCCTGATGAAAGAGTACGTCTGGATACTGTTGATATGACTTGATGCCAGGACAAACTCCACACCGACCCACGGGATGCGGGTGCGCCAGCGCACGCGAGGTTGGGCTGGTTAACAAGTCTTCCATGCGCATTGCCTCGGAACCAGCCGTCTCGGGGTTGAAAGCCTTGACCATCATGCGTAAAGCGTCATGCGAAGGATACCAACGACCAGACGTCAGTGGAACGTTCCAAGACGGGTGTGGGACGGGTGGCGGGTTTGAGGCGCTGCCTTGAAACTGTTGGACGATCGATGTGACGTCGCAGCGCTTGGATGCGAGATCAAATGCCCATGTTTGGATGCTCGGATGCGCTAACTGCTTGTGAGCAAAGACGCCCTCCGTGCACCGAGCATCGTGCTGGCCGGCGAGAGAAACTCTCCAACCAACAACCTGCAGCGTGTTGCCGTCTACTTGAACCAGGTCGGATTTCGAAATGGCAAAGGTAGACGAGCCTTGCCCTAATCCTGGCTGCACACGGAAGTCGTTGTCGAGTCGATGCGTATGCATGGGGTGTGTGAAGTCCAATGATTCGAGAAATCGGTCTTGAATCATCGACGAAGCTGGAGACGGCTCCTTGCTGCTTGTTGACCGGTGATTGAAGCACCAGAAGCGCTGTGTCCTTGAGCACAGCACGGGCCGGTTGTCGAACCAGAGGTCGAGTTGGTTACGCTCATCTTGCGTGAGGTAAACCGGCGACGTGCCTGGTTGCGAGTTGACATGACCCTCAGCAATAGACTCGGAAACCTCGTCTGCGTGGGTGAGCTGAGCTGCTTCCGGAGCCGAAGACACGGTTGACGCAGCAAGGTCGACTTCAGCAAGGTCGTCTTCAGCAAGGTCGTCTTCAGCATCATGTGGAGGAGCATGTGGAGCGTGGGCAGAGAGAACTGGCGAAGCCGAATCCACTTCATCTCTGACCTGAGACCTGCGTGACTGACCAGGACAGTAGTCGTGCTTCAAACGCAAGTCGATTGTACTTTGTTGGCGTTCCCAGAAGTCCTCCAGGCTCTGCGGATCGTTGAACATCAGGCGGGTGTGGGCAAGCTCACCGAGCCTCGTTGTCGGAGCGTTTCTGGCTGGCTCCTCGGCTGGCTCGCTCGCTTGCTGATCTTTCAACGCAATCTTCTTGGCAGTAGCTTTTTTACGATATCTGGCGTTGCGATCAGTGCACGACTTGCATGTCTTTCGTCCCTCAAAGAACTGGTATGAACGGCAGGCATGCTCGCGCTTGTTACACCTGAAGGAAACAATCGCCATGAGCTCCGACGTCTGAACGGCTGTGTTGTCATGTTGCACTCGCATGATGTTATCTTGGTCGAACGTGACTAGCTGGATGATGGGGGTTTCGGGCGAGGTCAAGAGTTCGCGCGGGATGAAGCCTGGGAGCGCCGCCGTAACATGGCGGACCATGAGCCGGTCCGTTCGCGGGGGGAGCTCAAGTTGAAGTGTTTGATCGGCTGGGCTGGGCCACGAAGGTGACGGTGAGTATTGCCGACCAGGTTGTGGGTTCGAACCTGTTTGGTTGCGCTTTCTGTTTGTTATTTTTTATTTTTTAAGTTATTTTGTATTTAGATCTATCGATATCGAAAAGTATTTTCTGACTTCCCGCCGAAAGTACACCTGTTCTGTCAACCCCTTGCCTCCGCCTAGGGCCCCTGTACTCACCCTAACCCCTTCCCCTTGCACTACATGGACTCACATAGTAATTTGAGCATAGTGTGGTCGGTGGGAGAAGGGTAGGTGATAGGTTGGGTTGGCCCCTATGGAGACCATTGTGGGCTGGGTTGGTCTATGGACTTGCATTGTGCACATTTTGGACACGAAATGTATCGATCTCGAAAAGTATGTTCTGACTTCCCGCCAAAATGACCCCCAACGGGTGGCTGGCAGGTCATTCCGGCCTCACTTCTCACCCCTTCCCTACCCCAAGCTTCGATAGCTATATATTTATGTAGTGTATCGCTGTGTATTTGAGGGTTGTAGGATGAATAGAAAGGAAGATATCAAAGAAATACTATAAAAAAATAAAAAAAAAACTCCAGGCCATAGGGGGGGGGGGGTCCCAAGTTTTTTTTTTTATTTTTATTTTTTATTTTTTGTTTTTTACTCTTAAACATCTTCCTTTCTACTAATCCTACAACCATCAAACTCATTGCAATACACTACATGAATATATAGCTATCGAAGCTTGGGGGTAGGGAAAGGGTAGCCAAGAGAGGCTGGAATGACCTACCTTGACAGAACAGGGGTACTTTTGGCGGGAAGTCAGAAAATACTTTTCAAGATCGATACATTTCGTGTCAAAAATGTGCGTAATGCAAACCCATACACCCACCCAAAAAAATATATGGATGAAACCCCCTCCAGCCATGCAATTTAATGAAAACACTACCAAGAGGGTATTTGGCTTCAATGTAAAAGTAAATGCATTCGAACTAACAAACTATAAACCAAATAAACGAGTAAAACTGTGGCTATGCATTGAGCTCTTGGATTAAACGCGCATGAGGCTCCAACCCGCGTTTGTGAGGCTCTGATGGTTGCTGTGGAAGCCAGGAGAATAAGGATTCGTAAGCGGACAATGGCTCATTGTACCCAGACAGCCTTCTGTTGTGCACGAGTTGAATCATTTCAACTTGTGGATTTGTAGTAAGGACAGCCACCGTCCATTCCTTGAGCCATTCAAGACCTTGATCGAGAATCCAACCGAGAATACCGCAGGCACAAGTGCTGATGGCTGTAAGACCAATCAGCCGCAAGTCGGCTTCTTGGAGAGGTGCCACCGCTTGATGGCAGGAAGTGCGCCATCCCTCAAACTTACTCGCAGTAAATCCGAGCGAAGCGGTTTCATGTCGACGGGCCAATGGTCGACGATCAGCTGGTAATCGCCTTGCCTAAGAGCGCTGGTGAAAACAAGTCTCATCACATTCGAGTCTGGACCTGGAACCGGGTCTGTTTGCAACTGTGCAAAGTGGTCTCAAGATTAAGTCGGAATAGCGCAAAACCCTGAAGGGAAGAGAGCACTTGCGCAATTCTTGCATGGCCATGACAAACCCAACGTCGAGATCGTCACTCAAGCGCCCGAATCCGAGAACGGACTTGCAACCCCCGCCGCGACTTGCGACCTGGTGAAGGACGTCTGCATCGTCGATGAGGTGCTGGAGTGATGCCTTTGGGGATGAATTAAGCCATTCATCAATCAGGTCGAGCATCCAGGTGAGCACGTTCGTCTTGTCGGCAAGCAAGCCGGTGTACAGGACGTGGAGCGCCCAGTCCGAGAGCGGATAAGAGTCGAAGAGTTGCTCTAAACATTCCGTATGGCCGCCGGCAACAAACCCGTATGTGATGTCGAGGCAAGGCGAGACGTTGAGCGAGAGCGTCGACGCATTGTCGCAGTACCGGTCCACGAAATCAGCGTTATTCAACTTTGCAGCGTAAAATGGAACACAAGCAAGCACTGTCTGTGGAACATGCCCCAGTAGCTCGAGGTTGTTGAATTTGACGGCCGCCTCCAAGTGATAGTGGTTGTAACCGACGTTCATTCTGATTAGCAGGCAAATGATCTGCAGGTTATTGCGCACAGCGGCCAGGTCCATCGCCATATTGCGGTAATCTTCATCCTGCTGAGTGAGGGTGGCAGCTGCCGCTCGGGCTACGTCAGCATCGTCGAGTGAAATAAGTTTGTCATGGTACACGGCGCCGTACAGCCACGGGCCGGATAGCCGCTTGTAAGCGACGATTGTGTCGTCCCACGACCGGGTGATGGCAGCTGTTTGATCGCTTTGCGCGCGCAGCTGGATGTAATGGCTTGCGTTCAGCAAAACCTGTGGTAGGAGGTTTGTGCGTGACATCAGGTCAGTTGGATGTCAGGTGAGGGGGCGGGCGGTAAAGTATTGCAAGTTGAATGCGCAAAGAAAATGAACAAACAAAAAAAAAGCAAGACTGCTCATTATCATCGACTGTGCAGAAGATAGATGAGGAAGAGGGGGTGAGGCCTAAACAAGCGACTCTTTGTCACAAAACTGGATCTGCCGGGCGGTAATCCACCTGTCTCCAACCGAAAACGCCGACCTTTCCCCTCCCCTCTCTCGCAAACGAATTGAGCTTGTCACTGTGAATGCACGGACCCAGAGGGCCAAAATTGCTCCATGGCTGGCGATCGGACAACGCTACAGCCTTGTTGAACACTGCCTGGGCACGCGCTGCGCTTGTAGACAACGGGGTGGTGCGTTGGTCGACTCGCTGAGATGCTCGCTGTTTTTCCCCCCTCCTCTCTCTCGCCCTCCCTCCATCCCTCTCCTTTTCAATTTGACAGTATTGTTGGCAGAACAAAAAGTATCACTGTATATTCAGGAGACAAGTGTTCATGCAAGAGCGGACTCAGCAGGAGCGGCCTCCTTAAGAGCGGCAATACAAAGCTTAGCAAATGTATCGGTTTCCAAAATCTCACGCACCCAGGTCTTGATCCGCAAACGGAATCCATCGGGGATGACCAAACCGTTTGCGTTTGGAGGGCGCTGGAATGGAACAGCCTGTGCGGCGACAGCGTAGCGACCAGAAGCTTGAACAAGTTCGTCAAAAAGTGTCGGCTCATGAACAACGTAGAGCACACCTTTTTTTTCTTTAGTAACGAGCATTGTGAGATGATTCTTGAGTTCACGGTGTATACGCTCCTCCAGGTCGTATAGTTCCTGATCCGTGCTCAGGCCTAAGGCAAGGCCGGCCTCTTCGCCAAACTCGCGCGCGGCAGTTCGGCTCGGTTCCTCCCATTTGCTCGAAACCGGAACACGCCATTTGCCACCAAACATTTCCCATCCCAGCTTGGATGGAATGGGCTCGTTTTTGTTGAACAGGAGGAGAGAGCCATGCTTGACCAAAACCACAAAAGCTGACTTGTGGTCTTGACGCCTGACCGTGAAGTGGCGCTTGTTCCAGTCAGGATCATCGCGCAATCTGAATCGCTCTGCCTCTGCCTCTTTGCAAGTTTGATCAAACTTGACCCATGCAGATAGAATCTTCGGTTCAAAAAAGGCCCATGCAGCCGGGATCAGCTGCCTGTCGTCACTTCGAGGAGGGCTGCCGTCACGATGAGGAGGGCTGCCGTCAAGACGGGGAGGGCTGGTGTCAGGACGAGGAGGGCTGCCGTCATGGGGAGAAGGAGGCCGAGCACTGCTGCCAGTAAACTGAAGCGAGCCGCTGGCTTCATCGCGCTGAGGCAGGCCGTTGCCACCGCTTGGAGGCGCCCGGCTGTTGCCACGGCCACGAGGCGCACCGCTGCTGCTACCGCCATGAGACGACTGGCTGCCACCGCGTTGAGACATGGTGGTGACAAAAAAATGAGTGACCTTCCCATTCCCAAAGTCCCAAACCGCTTTTGTTCTATCGACTCGACCGATCAAACAGCAGGAGCGTTGCTGGAGTTCCGGTCTGAGCTTAAGTTTATAGGTGAGTTGGCTCGGTGGAGGGCATGGCATGAGGCGGGCTGCTGTGGGCGACCACGTTGAAAACTGAAAAAAAAAAAAAATGCACAATCATCAATAAAAAGCCTTTGAGCATACACATTACAACTGTGATTTGGAAGTTCCATTGCCCCCCCCCCCCAACACACACGCACCTCCTTCACCTCCTCCTCCGACCACGAAACAGCAGTTGCGCATTTAAAATTATGGTGATTTCTACACCAGAACAAGATGAAGCCTTCTATCGAGAGCTTCATGAATTGCACACGTTGTGTGATGAAGCATACGACTGTGGACCTGCGATGGAAAAGTACCTGAAGCTGGTCGCGCACTTTGTCACTAAGGATAGGTACCTTTGGTTTATCGGAAGCGGAAATCGATACGCCTTTCCACCCAAGGCGGACTGGCGCTGGAAAAAATCATTCGGATGCGATAGCACTTGTGCCGTGTACTGGGCGGACGAGTTGTTCCTTGTGGCATGTGCGCTTCTTGTGCGCTGGAACGCCGCGATTTCGATAGGCGACCTAGATCGGATTGCATATCTTTCCAAGCCTCTGTCTGTATGCCGTGAAATCTTTGGGAGACTGCTTTCCCAAGCATACGCGGACTTTGAGCTCGTCGGGTTTCCCATTTCACAAGACGGCCTCAAGCTTGTATTTTACCACACGTGTCATGCAGTGTGCTTCCGATATTCTTCCAAAGAAAAGCCGCAAACAGAGCCTCAAGGGAGAGGGGCCCAAGCGAGTGGATGATGTTCTGATCTTCGTTCAGTCCTCAATCGTCTTGTTTCGCTTTCAGCTTGTTTCTCCTCTGGATTTGATCCTTGTGTTTGAGGGAAAGGACAAGTGTTGTATAAATCAAATGGCGTCGTCAACAGCCACAGTCACAGGTAACAATGGAAAACTACTCTGAGCGCTTTTCTCAGCAGTTACGCTTTGTGGGATTGGCTCTGAGCAGCACCTTCACTTCCGACCGTCCAACGCCTCCCTCCGTTCAATGTGCATTCACATGTGTGTGTGTGCGCGCGCTCACATCTGAATGCGCATTGCAGGATCCGCTGCCGACTCTGCGGACGTGGTCGTGGATGCTCGCCTGGCGCTGCTGCTCGAGCGCTCCAAGGTGAGCATTGAGGCGTGCATTGCGCCGGTCGAGCTCGAGCTCAACGCAATCGAAGCAGCGCGCGCTGACAAGGAAGCATTCGTACTGACGAGCGTGGCAGACGCGGTCGCTGCGGCCGAAGCAGGTGAGCTTTGTGTTCTTCAATGGATTTGGAACCAGTTTCAACTGTGAAACTCGATTTCTGAGCACTCATTTCTACGACATGTCAAAAATGTCAAAATGGATGACAGATCTGCAAACAGCAAGGAAACAATCATTGAGGGACTTGTCAAAGACAGCAGACGACGCTGCGTGGCAGCAAAAGCCATTCTTGTACCTTTAATCCTGTTAACATTGTCATTCAACCATTCTCGCTCTTTGATCAACAAGTGCGATGCAAAATACACGATTTCTTATGAACGCAAGAACAGCCCAATGACAAGACACAAAAAACGGCAAGCCTCATGCAAGCAGAACAAAACCGTTTTTTTTTTCTAGTCCATCAAAAACAGCTGATCCACTTTCACGGGAGTCGAGTCGACGCCTTCGCGATGTACGCGCTCCACAATGAACGACAGTGTCATGCGCAGAGCGCGGTGGTTTTCTCGTGAGCGTTGAAGCACGATTTCGCCGCTAAGAAGGTCGCCTACAAAAACGGGTTTATCGCGTTAGTGATTTTTTTTGCGATTGTGGCCAACCCCGCAATGCAACAGCAATTACTAGCACAACCGCAGCTACGACACAGAAAACCGCAGCAACACAACCCATCCCCATCACTCACCTGCATGCACGGGAAACTCTTGGTTCAGATAAAAGATTGTTTGCTTCCAGTGCGTGTCGGGCGATTGAGGGCCGGTGCTGAAATAGACCATCTCTGAGCATTGGTGCTCGAAGGAGGTGTCGAAATACGAAGCGAGCGCATGGCATGTGCCGTCGCGGGTGAAGGTGAGGTGGATGGGCGCGGTGAACTCGAGGTCCTCCAACCGAACCGTGTGCATGTCCAGCCCCTTGAACAGGCATGGCGCAGTGATAATGGTGGCGGGATCGACAAAGTCCACGCCAGGCTCGACCATCGTTGTTGGGCGCATGGCCGTCATCTTGAAGCCGTAGACGTCGTCCCAAAAGTTGATTCGGCTGTTCTTCCAGTCCTGGTCGTCCAAGGCAACCATGTACATGGCAAACTTGTCTGGGTAGACTCCGCCGGTCGAGGGAATAACAGTGGTTGTGGCAGGGTCGCTCACACCGCGCACAATGCGCGAGTTGGCGCTGCTGTAGCCGCGCAGCCACTTGTCGCGCGCGTACAGCACAGTGTCGAGCATGGACTCGTACAAGAGCATGTAGCCCATCCACTCGGAGATGATGATATCAACGCCATCCACCGGCAGCGTCACGTCCTCTACTTTGCCTCGAATGAGGGTGATGATGTGGTCCAACCCGTTCTCCTTGACATTCAGCAAGGCCTGGTCGATAATGTTGGAGCGATCAATGCCAATGACCTTGGTCGCGCCAGCGCGAGCGGCAAACATGCACAGAATGCCCGTGCCGCAGCCGACATCGAGAACGGTTTTGCCGCGCAGCAGGTCCTTGTTCTTGTACATGAAATCGCGGTATCCCTCAGTGCGCACCTTGTCCTTGAGCATTTCCTCGTGAATGCCAGAGCGTGAATACGAGGCAAAGTAGTAATCGAGCTTGTCGGCCGAGCTGTTGTCCATTTCAGCAGAGCCGTGCGAAGAGACGGAATCGCGGCGGCGAGCGCTGCTGTTGTCCGCTGCTGCCGATGTAGACGCCTCTCCGCCAGTGCCAATCGTGGCAAGCATGGCGCGGTACTCGGGGTCGAGCTCGGCCATGGCCTGGAGGCGAGGGTCGACTGGTAGCGCCGCATCGCCGTCGAGCAGTTCCGGCGGAGCATCGTCGTCGTCGTCGTCCTTGTTGTCCGCTGAAGCAGCAGCCTTACCAGCAGAAGTCTTTGCAGCGTGTCCTTGAGCTTGTTGGCTGTCTGCCTTGACCGTGTCTTCGCCGTTGTCGTCCTCGTTCGCTGCTGGGCACTCGTCGAACGGGTACTGCAGCACCGCGTCGTCCTGCATGACTGGAGCTAGCCAGGCGTCGTCCGCCAGCAACGCCACCAGCTCGCTTGGCTTGATGACGTCCTCGAACTGCAGCAATGCCTTGGTGGTCTGAGCCTGAGCCTGAGCCTGAGCCTGAGCCTGGGTCGCAATGGAGCTCACTGAGCCAGCCACACGTGTGCGCACGAGGTTGACGAGCTTGATGCAGCCGTACTCGTCCAGCGCATGGGCGCGACGCACCGTGTCCAGGTCGAATGCGTGCGACTGTGCGCAGTGCATGAACACGTCGCTGGCAGACGCGAGGACCTCGGGGCAGAACAAGCACGTCGCGGGCTCGTCTGCGAGCAGCTCGTCGTCGTCCTCCCAGTCGCCGTCCTCGTCGTCCTCGACGTCGTCCTCATCGCCATCGTGGTCATTGGCGTTGCCGGCGTTGTTGTAGCGGGCGGCCTGCTTGGCTTGCTCGGCCTGAGCGCGCTGTTCCTGCTGCAAAGCGCTCATCTCGGATTTTGCTGCTGGTAGAAAAGAGAAATGAACTGGGTGTTTCTGCAGTGTGAAAGAGATGTTATATGACAGGTATTCATGACCAGTTGGAACGACCGACGCGCGAGGGAGCGGAACGGAACGGTAACTGCGGCAGCAAGCAGAAATACGCGCTTCTGTTGTTCTTTCAACATCCAAAGACACCACCAGCTGCATCCACACAAACCAACATTAACAGACACTGTGTATTGGAACAAATGGACAAAAACAATGGATTGGGGGAGGAGGCCCCCACCGTCGCAAACAGAACGCGGCGAAACCGTTCAAAACCTCCAAGTCTAGTCCTTGTACTTGGCCATGAATTCGTTGTGGAACCGAACAATCGCATCGGTGAAGGCAGGGAAGGTGTCTTGTGGGGGCAGGAACGTGCAGCGGAAGTGGTAGGTGCCCTCGCGTTGCTTGAATCCAGTGCCAGGAACGACAGACTGTTCACAACAGAATAGCAAAGATGAGAACAACGACAACAACCACCACCACCACCTTTCAACTCTACACAACAAGCACTTTCACTCACCACACCAGTCGCCTCAAGCAGTGCCATGCAGTAGAACGAGTCGGGAGCCTTGCCCGCAGCCTTGGCAGCTTCGACAGCCTTCTTGGGCAGACGGATTTGAGGGAAGGTGTACATGGCGCCCTGAGCCGGCTGGCAGGTGACGCCCTCCATCTTGTTGAAGGTATCGACGAGGAAGAGCGAGCGGTCCTTGAGCGAGCCGAGAATCTGGTCGCGCTCGCGGGCATAGAGCTCGTACGAGGGCTCGCCTTCCTTGGGCGGGTTGACCATCAGGTCGACAATCACTTGACCTTGCACGTTGGGGCAGAGCGAGATGGAGGCCACCTTGTAGATTTGCTCGCGAACGTAGGCATCAATGCCAATCATTTCCATGTAGCCGCCACGCTTGCCGCACTCGCCGATAAAGCCCTTGGAGACACTGTGGAAGGAGATGAGCTCGACATTGCTAAACTCGGGGCCCATGGACTTGAGCACCTTGCGGAAGGAGACGAACGGGCGCTGGTCTTGGTAGACGTTGGTCTGGTAGACTTCGTCGGCCAGCAAAACCAAGTGCTCACGGTGGCACAATTCCACAATGCCACGCATGCTCTCCATGGACAGCACACCGCCAGTGGGGTTGCCTGGGTTGATGACGACCAGCGCGCGGACATCCACGTTCTGAGCGCGGGCCTCCGCAATGCTGCGGCTGAGCTCGTCAATCTGCGATGATTGTGCAGACACCGCAAGAAACCAAGTGAGTGAAATGGAGGCTCGGCACAATTCAATCTCTCTCGCTTTACATGACGCAACACCAACAACAACAACAACAACAAAAAAAACACTCACGGAAAGATCCCAGCCCTTCTCCTCGTCGAGATAGTAGGGAACGGGCGTGCCGTCGAGCAGGGATAGGGTGGCCGAATAAAGGGGATACTGGGGAATGGGGATCATGATGCCAGAGTTGCGGTTTTGAATGAGCATCTGCATGGCCGTCTTGACACCGTCGCTGGCACCGTTGGTGAGGAAAATGTCGTTGGGGTCTGCCGGCCCGACGTTGTCGCGCGCGGTGATAAAGTTGGCGACGTTGTCGCGGATGAATTTGAGGCCCTGCGAGTGGGTGTAGGCGCCCATGCTGGCAATGTTGGCGCGCATGCTTCGCGCGCGGGCGATCGCATCTGCGGGGAAGAGGGACGCGACGTGGGCGTGGTTGCGCTCGTGCAAGAGATCGTCGTACTCGAGCAGTGCGCAGATCTGGCGGAAGAAGGTCAGCGGCTTTTGCTGGAGCTCCTGGGGGTTGCCAATGTTGCAGCGGGTGATTTGCTTGAAGGGCAGCGACGCTGCGTTCTGCTTGAGCTCTGTGGCGAGCTGCTCTGCGCGGATGGGGATTTCGCCACGCACGGCGTACTCTGCGGCATTGACTTGGCGGTTGATTGTTGCGCTATTGAGCTTCTTGCCCTTGTGGTGACCTGTTTGTGAAAGTGACATTGAAGTGAGCATTGCCGTCTCGTTCTCCAAATCCCTGCTTCGTTCTCGTCCGCTGTTTTTGAGTTTTAAGTTTTGTTGATGCTACAAAGCTCCAAGTTGAGCTTTTGGCAGTGTTTGGTCTGATCTGGTCTGGTCTGGTCTGGTCGTGTTCAGTGAGCTGGTCTCGCCACTCCAATGCTCATTCACTTCTGTCCTCCTCCTCCGCTCTTCCGGCTTCGGTTTTGGTCGTGATTGTCGCAAGCATTGAAATTGAGAAATTCGAGTTTGATGATGTTGGTGGTTTGAGTGTTAGGGATTGAATGTGGTGTGTGTTGAGGAAGAGAGAGAGAGAGGGGGCCACGCGGAGGAAACGAGACTGTGGCAAGAGGACCGTGACCAAGAGGACAGAGGGACAAGAGAGAGAGAGAGAGAGAGAGAGGGAGAAGGGGGTGGGGACTAAAAGAGAAGGAGGAGGGTTTATTCAACGAGTAAAAGTGATGGGGTTGGAAGAAGTGGAGAGAGAGTGGAGAGTGGAGAGTGGAGAGAGTGGAGAGCAGGGACGTAGCGAGTTGAGGCATCCACAGTCGGATGGCAGATACTCGGTCGGGTCGCGGGGAGTAAGTCCCATAAAGCATTATCACAGTGAACGCAGATTGAACGCAGCAGGGAATGGACATCAGTGGGGGGGGGGATTTGAGGTGGAGGCTTACCTGACATTGCTGCTGAAGAGGAAGAGGAAGAGGAAGAAGAGTGCTTGGTGCGAATCTGGAAAATGTATCAAGAAGAAATAGAGAGTGATGATCAGAACATCAGAACATCAGAATGATCTGAGAAAATGGGGGGAACTTGAATGAGAAGTGAAATAGTGAAGAAAGAGTAAGAAAAACGGCAAAGGGAAAAAGGTAGCGCGCCGCCGCTGAAATAGTGAGAAAAGAGTATCGAAAAATAACCACTTAAAATCCACCGACGGAACCGACACACCAATCCATCCCCTTTCGCACACAGCCGTCGCCAGGCAGTCCGACGATTGCGTAGCCAGCGCAGTCGAGTCAAACCAACTCTACAAAGCGCAAGGAATGCTACGATTGCGCAAACGGGACAGGGGAGCGTTCGTTCTCAGTGATTGAGTGGAGGGGGTTGAAGTGCGTTTGTGTTACGGGAGCGATGCTGGCGACGAGGCAGGCGCGTGCAGCGGAGGGCGCAGAGGCAGATGACAATCGAGCAACGGAGGCAGCGACGGAAGCAGCAGCGGAGGCAGCGGAAGTGGCGGAGGTCGCCGTGGCGCGGAGTGAGGCGAGCATTGGAGGGAAGGGGGAAAGTACGACTGGTCCTGTCTTAGGAAGTGAGGTAAAAGTGAGATGATAGGATGAATCAACAAACAAACGAACAAGCAACCAAACGCGATGGGGGAAGGGGAACACAGGGAACGGAAGCGTGGAAACGCCGCTGAAATTGTGATGACCTTTTTATTTGGATCTGAAACTTGAAAAATCTCAGACCAACGACCGGTACCAACGCTCCAAAGTCACTCGAAATTGAAGTTCATGCTTGTATTCGGATTTTGGGGAGTGTTTGTGGCTGGAGTCGGCGCTTAGTCTCCATTTTTGGTCTGGGTGTGAACATTGACAGCGATGGTTCAGGGCAAGGTCAAGACGACGGCGTCGGGCGGCATCACCAAGGCCAAGAACCGCCCAGTCAAGGCAGTCATGAAGAAGGGTGGTACGTGAGCACGATGAGCACGCAGCCATTGGTGAAGGAGGCACTTGAGGGCTCTTGAATGCTGAATGGCGGGAGAGTGGGACATGTGGGAAGGTCGTCCACCCCGAACGCTGTCGCTGCTCCGGTCGACGCTGGAGGAGCAATGAGCAGAGTGATGGGGCAACAGTGATTTGTCCTGGATGTGGCTGCTCGTCGAGCAGAGTGGTCGCCGCGGGTCGAGGTTGCTTTCCCGGTTCACTCACACATGGAACGCCCGGCCGACGTAGCTCACCAAAAGTCCAACGGGATGCTCACTCAATATGCATTGAATGATTTGCATGTGTGTGTTTTTGACTTTGTCTGCTTTGTTTGTTTGTTTGGTGCTGGCAGCACGGAACATTCCCCCAAAGAAGACAACGTTGGTCCAATTGCAGACAATGAAGAAGGTAATCCTGGCTTGTTCAGTCACTGCGTCTTCAAGTTCGTCATCCGACGGAATACACAATGTAGATGCAATTGTTTGACCTCTTTTTGCATTGGGTTGGCAGAAACTGGAGAGCGGCATCAAGCACAATATTGAGCAGACAATGATCCACCGCGCTGCAACACAGTCCGGTCACCTCAGTCTCGTCAAGCGCGAGGCCGGATTCAAGCTGCCCGCAAAGAAGGACAAGGCTGCCGCTGCCGCACAAAACAAGACAGCCGCGGCCGCAGCATTGCACCCCGCCTCAAAATAGTCGCCGCTAGTTTTTGTTTTTGTTTTTGTTTTTTTGGTCGGTGAAATGAAACATTTCTGAGCGTCAAACGAGCACGGATCGTTTAGATCGCCACACTCACGTGCTGTAGAACAGTCAACACAAAATAAGCAAAGGGGAAGTGGAGTCGGAAAGGCGGATGCAGAAATTTTGGTTGATGGCTTCGCTGAAGAGCCGCGGTCCCTCTATGGAGTATATCAGGGCGATGCATTTGTTCTCTATTCGTGCTGCCCTTTGGCTACAAGTCAGTGTACTTTTTGGTGCTCCCAAACGACTTGTCGGTTGGGTACTTGCGACCATTTTCAACGATTTTGGCCGCGGCCGCAGCTGGCAAGTCAATGCCGCACACGGTTGCCAGACGAATGAGGTAGATGAGGCAGTCACTCAGCTCTTGACCGAGGTGATGGCGATCCTTCTCCGACCAGCCTAAAGCAAGATGCATCATGGCAAGATCAACGACGAGTTCTTCTTGTTCTCTAACGCGGCACATTTCAGAGCATCGGCTTTACCTGGCAATCCCACTGGGCATTCGCCACGCCACATGAAAATCTCTGCCAGTTCGCCTACTTCGCCGGTCTGTCGGAAGCAAGGAAGAAACAGCATCAACTACAACGTGTATCTCAAAGCTTGTGTGTCAAGGTCGGCCAGTTTCAATTTTTGGCCTTACCAGTGCAAGCATGAGATTTCGAGGCTGGTGAAACTGGTCCCAGTCTCGAGCAGTTGTAAATTCGTTGCAACGCCTTTGTCTGTCACGATGAAATTGTGAAGAGGGATATCGACGCGGGGAGCAAGTCAGCAGTGATCAAGCAATTAGAAGCTCGTTGGTTTTTCCCGCGAAATCTTTCCCGCCAAAACCGACGAGGCGGTGGGGGTTGCGCTTGCGCTTGATCAAGCAAGCCGCACTCTTTGCCATTGTCGCATGCATTCATCGATCTGTTTGTCTGGCAACCGACCACTGCCGGGCTGGTGAAACACGTACAGCTCGACGAGCGATGGGCTGTCGGAGAAGTCTGCTTTCGCGGCTGCTGCACTTGAGGCTGGACTGTCGCTCGCGGATGCCACATTGGCCTGTGGTTGGGATTGCGATGCTTGCGCTGTTGAATCACTCATCCTCGACTCGACTCGACGTGAGTGGGGGGGGGAGAAGGGCGGTGAACAAGTTCCGAAAAACCAAGAGTGCCAACATTGCATTGTTCTAAAGAAGGGGGTGTATAATGATCAAAGAAACGACTTGAAGCACGGCAGCCCAAATCGAAAGAAAGCAAAATACACAATAACAACAGATGCAGGAGAAAAACCAAAACAGATTCCAAGTGTCAACAGTGCGCGCTACTTTGGTATTCACAACTGCAAAAAGCAAAAGGTTGAAAAAATCACTCGGCCTCTTGGCTCTTGCGCACACAGCGTTGAACCTTCTTTCGGAAGGCGTCGCGGTTTTCGCGCCACTCCTTGGCAGCGTCAATATTGGCCGGCGACTCGTCGTTCGGGTCGGACAGGATGGAAATAACGCTGAGCAAGATGGTTTCGACCGTGTGGACTGGCAGCCATCGCTCGGACGCCTTCTCGTAGCCGTACTTGTCTTCGCCGGGCTCGTGCAGAATTGAGATGCAGACGTCTCCGTTGTGGTGGACTGTCGATCGCAGCACAGAGAGTAACAATTTTAGCTCGATGTTGAAATCGACGAAAAAACAAGAACAACCGTGCGCTTACCGTTGGGATGCCATATCTCTGAGATGAAGGTCATCTTTGGTGGGCGATGCGGGTATTCTCGCGGGAAGATCAGATGGGCCTTGAAGAAGCCGCCCTCACTGCAAAAGTAGAACACGCACACATACGAATGCATTGAGTTTTTTTTTTCTTCTTTTCTTTTTTTCTTCTTGTTCTTGGCTGGAGCGCGCATTGGCTTACTAGAGCGTGTCTGGAGGACCAATGATCATGACTTCCCACTTGAAGATGTCGCTGTCGTCGACGAGGCCGGCAGAGAAGCCCTCGATGGGGTGTCGGTTGAGCTCTGTGGCGGGTGCAAGGACGAGGAGGAGGGAAGGAGGGAAGCAAGGTGAGTAAAACAGCAACCAAAAGCAAGCCGCAGCCAGAACGCGAGGAACGGGTCAGGGTTAGGGTAAGTGAAATGTGCATGAAAGTGAGTGAGTAATGGAGCACCAAGGCGAACGAGGCGGCAGAGAGACAGAGAGAGGGAGAGAGAGAGAAGGGCTGCGGGCACACGCGTCCATGGCGCCAAAGCCAAGCCAAGCCAGACGAACGGACAGACTCCCCGCTCAAGAGGCAAAGTCACAGCGAACGAGACGGACTCTCTCCATGCGAGACAAGAACACCACTCAGAGCAGAGCGAGTTGAGAACAGCAAGAGAAGAAGAAGACCAAGAAGAAGAAGAAGAAGAAGAAAAAAAAGAACCAAAAAAAAAAAAAAAAAAGCCGCGAATGACAAAACCCAGCGCAATGGGAAAGCCACAGCAGAGAAAGGCCAGCAGGAGAAGGAAAAGCGGAGGAGAAGAACAGCTCAGAGTCAGAGTGCCAGAAGTGGGGGGAGAGAGACAAGGGAGAGAGACACAGAGAGAGACACAGAGAGAGACACAGAGAGAGACAGACCTTGAAGTTGTCGCTGCAAAAGCAAAGCGCCAGTGTCGCTGCTGCTGCCCATGGTTTTACAAAAGTATGGATTGGAGAAGAAATGAGAAGTGAAATCAATGGAACAAAACAAAGACGAGGTGTGAATAGAAACGACAACAAAGAGAGAAAGCTCGCTGACTTTGGTCTCAGTCTCTTCACTCTGTCTCGCTATCAGTCACTCGCTCACTCTTACTTTTATCATCATCATTATTACTATTATTATTATTCTTGTTATTTAACATCTTTGATCCTCTGGTGGATGCACAGCCACAAAATGCGCGTCTTCCAGCTGAGCCAGTTTGACAATGCTCAAGCCAAGCTCCAGCAGCAAATCCTGAGCCTCGGCGATGCAGAGTGTCTCATCCAGTCGGTGCGCATCTCAGCTTCCACTTTCTTGCTCTTGTTATTGGCTTTAATGTCATCCTTGGTGCTTGGTGGGGCCACGAAAAGTCGCTTAACTTTTGCTGTGTCGCTTTTGACCCTCAGGCTTTTGATCCGCGCTGCACGCATGTCATTGCCAACCAGCCGTCGCGCAGTGTCAAGCTTCTGGGTTGCTGCAGCAAAGGTAAATCCCCCAATCGCAAGTCTCACTCCCAACAGCAAGCGCGGCCCTCCCGTTGTCGCTCCTCCTTCAATCGAGCGCTGCGAACGAAATGGCGGGAAAACTCGAGGTTTTTTTTTTTTTTGTTTCAAACTTTTTTCGCTTTTTTCCATTTTGCGCTCGCTTCTGCCATTCGGAACCTGGCAGCACCACCCCCCACACACACACACACACACGAACGAAAGCACAAAGTACCTCATGCTGCGACCTGCAGTCCCCACAGCCCACGCGCGGTGCGGACGCGAGGCGCTTCAAACCAACTCTGCCGTTTTTTTGGCGCCAAAGTTTTTTGATTTTTGACTGTTCTTGGCTCACTCGTCATCCCTGCTCGGAACACGCGTCTCCCGCAGGTGCCTGGCTCCTCAAACCAACCTATGTTGCTGACAGTCACCGCGCAGGGCAGTGGCTGCCAGAGGCGCCGTACGAATGGAGCGAATCAGACGCAACAGGTGTGGCATCCATTTGCTGGGTTTTTTTTTTTTTCTTCAGCGCCCAAGCATTTGGAAAGCGTGGCACTCATCACACACGACTTTGACTTGACCTCATTAGATAAAGCCGATCGAGAATTGTACGGCAGCGCGCGTCGGTGGAGAATCGCCCGTCAAAGCACGCGAGCTGGCCCTTTCGACAAGTGGATTGCTCTTATTCCAGAGGATGCGTGTTCTGTCAAGCGTGATTTCCAACAGTAAGACTTGCAGCATGCCGCAGGATGTCGACGGGAGTGAGGGAGCGGGGGGTGGGGGAAGGCGGCGAAGCGCGACCATCAAAGCAAACGCAAAGATTTAACCCATTGCACAATCTAACCCATCGCACAACGAACACCCTGATTCGATACCTTTATCGTGCAGGGTGCTGAAAATCGGAGGAGCTACCATCTTGCCATTGGTCGCAGCCAACATCTCGAAGGTTGCTGACGGCACGCGTCAGTTTGCGCTGATTGATGCTCAACAAGAACCATCCGCAATATTGACCCGGCTCTGCGCTCAGCAACGCCTACAGCTCGCTTCAACCAGCTATCCTGCTGATTTCCTGGTCAAGGTAGGGTTGCATCGAGAATGGCTGGTTTTAGTTGTTTTGGTTTTGCGCTGGCTCACTCAAATGCAAAATCCTCCAGAAGTCCGCCCCACCCATTGAACAGTACGTGGTCAAGACGGAATCTGGCGGTAGAGCTCAGAGGCCCAATCCTGTGACTGCGTCGCCTTTGCCCTCACCGGCAGCGCTTCGTCGCGGCATGCAGGCGACTGCCGCGTCTCCTCTCTCCCCTCGTCAGTCGCGCAATGTGGCAATGGCAACAAGCTCCATCGTCCCCGTGGAAGCCACCTCCCCGGCCATTCTCGATCGCGTCGACGAGCCCCACACGCACCACGCGGGCATTGCATCCTTTCTTCGGGCCACCTATGATGCAATCCCCGATCCGACGACCCTCGGCGAGCTCTTGCTTGCGCTGGCGACAGAGGATAACCGGCCGCCACTCGCATGTGTGCGCGCCCTCTTTTGCAACCTATTTTGGAACTCGCTTGAGCACTTGTTCTTCCCGACATTGGCTCCAGAAGCGATTCGTTCATCAGCCGCCAAGGAGGTCAATGCACCCTCCTCATACAACCCGCCAGCTGGTCAAACATGGGCCGTCCTTCCGCTTCGGACTGCAATCCAGCGCTTTCCATCGATCGCGCAAGGCGTTCTCCAGTCGCTCTTCATGTCAGAAGACGATCGCACAAAGGCAGACGAAATGGACGACAAACTGAACAAGCACCGCTCGATCGGCGATAAGAGTCAGATTGACCGGCTCTCTCACGAGATGCAAGAGACACGGCAGCGCATTTTGTCCTCGGATAGGACTCGCGAAAGGCTGTGGCAGAGCTTGCTGGGATTGATGTGGCTGGCGTTTGATCTTCCAGCTGACAGCCCGTATGCCAAACAGCTCAATCTGCCCGCAATCCCAACGCAAAGTCTCTCAACAGAGACTCGGGAGCGTGCAGGTGCTGCTCTCGAACTGCTGTGTGACATGCTTATCGTCGACCTTGACTTGGCCGATTCTGCACCTTCACCGCGATCGACGCTCTCCTTCCTGAGGGCTCTCGTGCACGGCGACTCTGGCAAGACCATACTGTCGGAACTCGCCACGCTGGCACGCGCTGTTGCCGAGCGCCCTGGCAACGATTCCAAGTGGAGCTTGTCCGTTCGTGCGGCCAGCGACCAATACCGCCGGCTGCTCTCATCGGTTGTTCGATGCTTCTCAAACCAGCCGATTATGCTCAAGTACGCTGCCGAAAAGTTCAGCATCAGCTACATGAATATCCCTCTGCAGGTCGACGCAAATTCGCGTCTGCAAGCGCTGCCGCCGCGCGGCACGTTTCACGCAATGCTGGATGAGTCGCTTCGGACAGCTGTTGCCGAGAACGTGCTCATCGCACAATGCACGCCTTCGTCATCGCTGAAACCGGATTACCAGCGACTACTTCTAACGCCGCTGTCCATTGAAAAACTGGTCGACTTTTATTGCAAGTTGGAGCCGCGGTTGGACGAACCTGGACCCGCCCACACGCCAGATCTCTTTCAAGAGACTCCAGAGTCGGACCTACCCCGTAAAGCGGTGCGAATGACTCGGGCGCAATCCAGCAACCCTGCATCCAACAAGCCAAAAATCGCCATGTTTGTCGAAGACCTTCCGTCTGGATCCTCTTCCACTTTGCGCGTGGCTTCCAATAGGACACTGCGCGTCCTGAAGCCTATCGACAACCTTCAGCAAGCCCAAAATCCCTCCAAGCCAGTCAATAAGAAGGAAAAGCCAAATCGAGCGGGTGAGACGCGACTCATGCGCGCTTGCAAGGCTCCGAGTAGGTTCACACTGGAGCACATCCGACAACTTTTGGACGAAGGAGCCGACCCCAATGCGCGCGACAATGCCCAGTGGACTCCGCTTCACGAAGCGACGCGGTATGGAACAACCGACGTCTGTCGTCTTCTCATTGAGCGAGATGCCGATGTCACCGCTGCGGGCGATGGAGGCGTGACTGCGCTTCACTATGCATCACACTATCACGGGAATTTGGAACTTGTTGCACTCTTGCTTCAGCACGGCGCCGACCCTCGCGCCAAGGATGCCGACGGCGAATCCTGCATCGATTGGTGCCAGCACAAGCTGGACGCTGCTTTGAGCACAGACGAGACGAACAAGTGGGCTGCGGTTCTTGCCGAGCTGCAAAATCCTCGCCCTGTCCTCGCTCACGTAGCTGGAGCCTGCGCTCCCCGCCCACTGCAACTATCCACTGTAGTGCTCTCGTCGAGCGAAGAAACGAAGCCCCAACGCCCAAGCGCTGCCCCTCAAGTCAAGCGCTCCTTTTCAAAGTCCAACCAGCGAGAGGGCACGGACCATGGCACCACCGCCAACAGTGCCAAATTCAGCCACCTCCAAGCACAGGCTGATGATTACGTGGCCTTGTTGATGTATTTGACACTCCAGTTATGCTCTCGGCAGCTAAACGAAAGTGGTGCATTGCTCACGAGTCGGGTTGCAGAACTCGAAGTCCCGCTTTCTCAAGCATGCGGTGGTCAGCTGGGCGATCGTGCGCGTCTCCAGTTCCTCATTCTCAAGCGTCTCAATGCTGAATTGTCGTCGGCGTAACAGTTCGCTTGACAGTCGTGGGGGGGGGCGGGGGTTGTTGCAAATCAAAATCAATCAATGTATATTTTTCTGCGAATGGACAAGCCATCAACGCCGCAGGCTTGCCGCAGTCGCTGATGGCTCGAACAAGGTAATCATGTGTCCGTCCGGAGTGCGCAGTGAAGCAATCTGCCATACGCAAACACAGAAGCGATTTGTAGAGGCGAATGTCGGGTTTGAGCCACAAAGTGCACGCACGATCATAATTCAAAACAAACCACAAAATGGGGGCCCCATACCTTGCCGTATAGCTCGTGCTTGAGTGGCCCATCTAATATAGCTCCTTTTGCCAGGAGTGCGTAGAGTCGCGTATCGAGCTCGCTGGGTGGCATTGTGAAGGTCAAGATCGGCGAGTAACCGGTGCATGTGAATACTTCCCTACTCCCATCACCAAACATACAAAATGGGCACAGTGAGAAAAGACAAGTAAGGTCTCGGGAAGTGATAGTGAATATTCGTTGCGGCTCGTTCGTTGGTGATGCTCACTGGGTGGCTGTTGTGAGGACGAGCGAGGTCTCGGCGTTGAGCTCGAGCTCGGCGAACGCCTTGTCCGGCATCGCGGTCGCATCGGACGCAGCAAGGGTGTTGAGCCCAAGGCCGCTCGTGTAGAACTCGGCCGTCTTGGCGACGTCGCGCACGACCATCAGCACGCGTCGCAGCTGAGCCATGAGTGTGATGATGAATATTGCTCAGAATGACACAAGAACAAAAAACAAAGAGACAAAAGACTGAGAATTTCTCAGTAAATCGCAGAAACACACTTCTCAGAATTTCGAGGAGATTGATTGCAGCGACAGTGAGGTTGACTTTGGTAGACGAGGGAACGATGTTCAAGTGTGAAAAAAAAAAACCCCAAAAAAGCAAAACCGAGAGTAGACTGCTTCAACTTCCACGTACTTCTCCTCTTGTCGGTTCGCCTTCGCTCCAACTCGATAATACTCGTACTGCTTTGTCGGTCATTCTGTCAAAGTTTTGAAATTGAGGAGCAAATCCTTTCCCATGCAGTTATGGTCGTCCTCATTTTGTATGGGTTTAGGAGTCTTGTTTTTGTTCTTTTCAAGATGGAACAAGTAGGTCATCGTCAATTTTCAAACACAGAGCCTTGTTCGACGCGAAGCGTGAGCTTCTGCGCATTCTTCGGCATGTTGAGTTGAAGCAGTAGGGACCCCACGTATGAGTTTCTGTCGGTTGGGCTGTTTCGACTGTGCAGCTTTTTTTTTTTTTTTTGCTTTTTTTCCTTCCGATCTCGTTTTGCCGCATGTCCATGCACGGCCGCTGTCGTTCTGGCTGCCCGTATCTTTCTCTGCTTGTGAAGCCGGACTGAGATCGATGGGAATGGTGTCATCGCGGGCTATGTGGGAGCAGTAGCAGCCTCTTGGCGGTTTTTTTTTTCTTGACCTCATACGCATTATATGCTCCATGTTCACTTGGTTGATGTCGTGTTGTGTGTGTGTTGCTAGGTGCACTGGTGCTCTCTTTGTGAGGCGAGGACTGGCTGTTGCGAGCCGGGAGCTCCGTTGCAGCAACTCATTGTAGGAGCGTTGAACGCTTCGCCTGACGTCTGCCATCACATTGTCCGCGACAACGCGAGGACGCCACAACTGCTAGGAAAGATTTGCAACGAACCTGGCATCCAGGCCGGGCTCGTGCAGCTTTTTGAGCTTCCTGCTCAACCGCCAGTGCGGCATCGAACCCAATGCATTTTCTACTTCGCTGATGTCATTGGGCGCAAAACCCACATCTTTGTCCAGGGACTTCCGTATGGAGATGCGGCGTTGTCGACGCTGCCTTTAGTGCGCATTGACGAGGCCAGAAGACCAAGTACCAATGCTGAAACGTGGAAGGAAGCGCTTCGTGGCGCGCCAGTCACATCAACTCTCGCACAGCCTGAAAGTCCCTTCCGCATTCAAGTCACCAGATCGAACAGTATTGTGGCTCCAGGACTACCGTTTCAACTCCCGCCATCCGCGGTGCCGGGTGCCCACGCAAACTCGGAGAGCACCTGTTGCGAGTTTAAACATCCCTCTGGCGGCAGGCTCCAATCCAAGGACATTACTGACTATCTCGACAAGTTCGTTCCGGCGATTCGTGCTTCGGCCAACCGACCCGTTCACTTGATACTTGGTGTCCAAGACGAGTCTTGCGTTGTGGTGGGAGCCACAGTGAACAACCTGTCCGATATGGAGGATCCGGTTCAAAAATTTTTGAAAGAAGTCTTCCCACACTTTGATTCGTCCTACCTTCGAATCACGCAACATTGCGTGGCCCTGCCGTCGCCGGATCAGGAGTTGGTTTATCTTGCCGAGCTAACACTGAGCGAGGCGTCTTTTGCCATCAGCTGTCTTTCTGGCAATGCTTGGCGTGTCGAGACCGGTCTGGACACAGTGGATTTGTTGGTTGATAGCCAAGTGCTCTCTGATGTTTCGCGAGCACTTTACCGTTGCCGCGATCTTGCCTCGCTATTGCCCAACCTCGATGAATCGCCTACGGATGACGGCAACGCGGCAGAGTCGCAATTCGGTGCATTGGCTCTCAAAGTCGCATTGGGCCAAAAGAGCCAGCGGCGTCGATCAGAATTCGACTGGCTTGCAAGGCCGCGGACACATCCACCCCCCTACAGGACGCCCGAGCAGCGCTTCGTCTTTGACCTCGAGTTCAACGTTCCAATGGCGCAGGCCGCTTGCATGGTTTTCGAAGCATCTGAGCGCCCGTTTGCTCATTTGCTTCACATGAATGCAGACGAGCGAAACGCCCGACCAATGCCACTCCTGTCACTGTGGCTTCGGCTGCGCCGCATTGGCAGCAACCTGGAGCTTCCGATCCTGCTCTCGCCGAGCTCCTTTCTCAGAATTCTCGTGGTGCCGACTTCCAAGCACGCGCAGCTGGCACAAGCAACGCTTGAGCACTACGCACCCCTTGGTGTGCAGGTCTTCGATGCCACTGTAAATCTTGAGCAGCCCGACTCAGTCGATGCAGCGAAATATTTGCTGCTTTGCCACCCCACCCGCCCGCGATGCATCTTTGCCGACGCGACCTTACTCCGCGATCCTGCAACCGCGGCATTGGTGAATGCCAAGAGAACGCTGATCACGCCAGCCCCGACTGTGGTGGCACTTTGCACTGTTGCTTCGGCGCCTGAGGCTCTGCAGGGCCCTCGAGTTCACGAGGTGGTTTTGTACGATGCGCAAAGCTCGATGCCTGAGAGCACTGTCATGTCATGCATGTCCGACAGCAAGACTAGCCTGTGTCGTCAGTTTCCTGGCTGTGTTGAGCCAATCCCCGACCATCCGCTTGATGTGTGTTTCCCACAGCTTGTCCGAGATTGGCTTCAAGATACACAACGACGTCCGCCGCGTTGGGATTTGGTTCGAATGGGCGCTGTTGTAAAAACGGAACTCATCTCCAATCTTGTTCAGCTGATTCAACGAAACGTCGGGCTGTCGCCAGTCCTCATCGATCTCCGAAAGTTACAGCCTGGTTGCGGCGCATCCGCAGCACTTCGCGCGACTGGATTCCAGCTATGTTCAGTCCGCGATGTCTACTGTATCAAGGCGCTACCTCACGATCAACTCGAGTCGTTTTGGCAAGTGTTCCAGAGAACAGTATCACGACCTACGCTTCTCCTCCTCGACCAAGACATGGTGTATGCGTCAGATTTCGTCAAGGCCGCTCCATCCATCCTTCGCCATCCGGTTGCCATCGTACGAGTGTTGCCCGAAACATATCTGAGCAAGGTTGCGCCTGGTCCGGTTGTGTCTGTCCATCCCAACCGCCACATTGTGACGCTTTCTTCCGTCCTCAGTCTGCCAGATACCAAAGCGGTCTGCACTGGACTCGCGACTGCTCTGAAACAGCAGAGTGGCCATGCTTCGCCAGACCTGCAGAAGTGGGCAGGACGTGCTTATGACGCGCTAACCCGCATGGCCAAGTCAGAGCTTGCACCAGACGATAGGCATTTGTATGTCATCGCGCTTTCAGCTTGCCGTGGCGAGTATGTCCCTGCGGAGGAGTTTGTGAGCGATCGCTACGACGCGCTAGTAGCGATCGAACCTGCCATGGAAGGACATCTGTTCCGTCTCGCCCGTCTGCTGGCGCTTCTTTCAGCGCTCTGTGGCGACTTGGATGCTGTTTGGATGGCTCCTAACGAGTGGGAGGCGCTGATGGATGATCAGTCACCAGACGCTGCAGCATTCTGCGGCTTGGTCCGCTACGATGGCCATCTCCACTTCCTGCATCCTTTCATTGCGCGTCTGTTCTTGTCCCAGATTGACTATGGCGGACGCACCGAGCATTGGCGAGAGGGTCAGCCAGTTCCACGCCACTTTCTGTACAACGAGTGGCACGCCTCCCTTTCCGTCCTCTGTCAGCACCTTGTCACACGCCGTGCGCCGACCGGCCAGCCGAGTTCGATCGTGGAACGGCTTCTTTCACGGCGAGAGGACGATGCTCTGTTCTTCCCGCCTCTCGTGCAAAATATTGTGAACTTCAGTTCCCATGAGCCAATTGCCCAGCGCTCTGAGCTGCTTGATGATGTTCTCGGCGAGTTCACTCCCGAGCACAAACTCCAGTATCCTCGCTTCAGCATCGACGAGCCTTTCCGACTCCTGATACGGTCGCGTGCGAATCGTTTCTGGGGCAAGACTCTTCCAAACTATCTGCGACTTGCTGTTGAGGATGCTCGACAAGCATGGAAACTCCTCGCACCCACTGAACACGACAACCTCTCCCGCAACAACCTCGTCACTGCACTTTATGCCCTACTTTCCCACCTGGGCCCCGAGCCTCAGACACAAGTTGAACTGCTTCTTGAGGAGTTTGTGGGCCATTGCCGACACCTCTGCGTCTCACGCGTCCCCTTGCAGTTGCAGCGGTACTTTTACAAGCTGCGTGAGCGTGGGTTTTCGCTACCTGACCACATGACCGGTGTCAATTATGAAAAGGCCCGATCGCGATGGGATCCGAATTCTTGGTTTCGTCCATAGACGGAACTGCTTGTTCGACTTGATACGCCCCCTGGGAACACGTCAGAATCTTCTCTCTCTCTCTCTCTCTCTCTCTCTCTCTCTCTCTCTCTCTCTCTCTCTCTCTCTCTCTCTCTCTCTCTCTCTCTCTCTCTCTCTCTCCCTCTCTCTCTCTCTCTCTCCCTCTCTCTCTCTCTCTCTCCCTCTCTCTCTCACATCCCCTCCCTTGGCTCAAAGATCTTCAATAAATGTTCACTTTCGATAGGACTCATCAGGGGTCGGTCAAGTTGCCAAAACAAACCCAACCCAAAGACCATCGCCCTTGCTCGACGTTGCTAATCTGATTCTTCCTCCCCCGTGACAATAAGTCTGGTTGAATGCCAAATTCAAAGTGTGTGGCGAGAAAACCGGAACGGGCACAGTTGAACCAGGCACGACACGATCAACCAATTGCAATTCTAAAAAGGCAATCATCACTTTGATATTCTGTCATTCATTTAAGATCACTGGAGCAAGGGCGAAGGCAGTGATGGTTTAAGCCGCAGATCGAATTTCTCAGATTTGAGGAGATTGGCGACACTGAGGTTGATCGCAAAAACACACGAGGTAAGCTGTAACTCTGAGCGCGGAACTTGACAGCTCTGTGTCTGAGAACTGAACTTTTCTAGTGCTCTTGTATCTCGTATTTCAGTCTCAGTCCTTCTCAATGTACTTTGCAGTGCTGCTCCCGCGGCTGGGCGCCATTCACCTCACTGTGCGCCTTGCATTGAGGGTGAAACGGAGCAGCGCGATTCAATCACCGGCATTGCCAGCGGTGGCCATCGAGCGCGACTCTGCCAACCCAGCCAGCACTACTGCTGCTGCTGCCAATCATGATAGTAGCGATGGACTGCTGCGACTGCGCATCCGCCTGGTCGGAGCTGATCACGGTCAGAGTGATGACAGCAACGAGGCGATCGTGGCGCTTCCACGGGTCGAGATCAAGGACGCCGCGCTCGACCAAGCCGCAGCCAGCGCCACATGCACACTGCTGCAGCTGCTGCCTGACAACCCAAGTCGGACCAGGACGGACGCATCGGCGGACGGCGCGGAATCCGACGTCGTCTCGCTCGTCCTCGTGGGACTGCGAATCCAGTGCAACCCAGCTGATCTCGCGCTGGCCACTGGATCGGCCAAGCCGGGAGCGGAACAAGCATCTCTCGTGACGTCCAACTCATGGCAGTGGCTGGGATTGCACGACTCGACGCTGTTGAGCGCTGAAACGGACGCACAAGCCGCGCTCAAACCACCACTGAACAGCCAGCAACCACCCGATCAAGCTCAGCTAGAGCGTGGATTGCAATGTAGATCGTGCCAGCATCCCATCTCAGTGCCATTGCGGCCGGACAATCAGCGCAAGACAGCCGATGCAGCGTCCGTTTCACCGTCTTCGTCGACAACCAGACGAACCATCACTGCCGTTCATCCCCTGCCGTCCGAAAACTGGATGGAGCTGATTGACTGCTGGGTATGCCACAAGGAAGAGTACAAGCAGTTCCAACGGGGCGAAATCCAAGCAACCGAACGCATGTGTCTCGTGGGCGAAACTTACCTGCTTTTGCATCCGGAGGACATTGTCGCTTATGCGCTCGAGTATGAGGGAGTGAGCAGCACTATGCACCACCAGCACCGACATGCGGGCGCGACAAAGCACGACTCGACTCACCACGACCATCACCACTCTGAACAATCCAAATCAACAACTTCAACAGAAACCCCTTCCCCGTCTGTACCAGCGGTCGCGCACCAAATTGCACGATGCCCAAAGTGCCGAGCCATGCTTGGGAGAGGCGTATTCCACCAAAAATACGACCCAGCCACGTCTACGACCACTGCTGTTTTGCGTGGTGTGCGATTGTTCAAGTACCAACTGCTGCTCGCGGACGCCGCAGATCAAGCAGCACGACGGGCTGCCAGCAACGCATTTGCACACCACACTCTCGAGACGTTTCTTGCTCAAGAGTTGTTGATTCGCCTGTTGACATCTCAGACGAGCAAATTTGTAGTGAATGGCTTGGTTTCAAGCGACTCTGGCTCTTCTCCCACGCAAACATTTGGCCTGTTGTGGCTGTTTAACTGGGAGTTGTCTGTCCTGACAGATCTCGCAATTCCGTCTGCAGACACACCCACTGAAACTCGCGAGTCGGACGATCCTTGGATCGAAGCAAACAAAAAACCCGACAGCCTGAATCAGAAGCCTGGTGTTCAGCATATCATCCGAGTCATGTACAAGGACGCGAGTCCTGCAGCGCTCGCGTCGCTACCAGATGACGCATCGCGGAAAGCTCTTCTTGAGGAAGCGCGAATGTGGCGGCAAGATGCGAACGTGGATGAGATGCAGTTGGCGAGCGAGACTTGCCTTGAGCTAATGAGCATGCTGCGTCGCTCGACACTGCTCTTCCCCGAATCTCTTCGTCCTGGCATGGGTGGCATGAAGTGCGGGTTTTTGCAGCGAATTGTTCCTGGCCACGTCTGAGCGAGGCGAGTTGTATTTCGGCTGTGCGTTAGAAGTGTTATTTATTCATACAACAACGAGCTATTTAACTGCTTACTCAACCAGAGTTTGCATTGTGTGCTTTTTCAGCTCTGTCTGAGATGCAGTGTCGTCTACGATCAATTCATAATCGAGGTGCTTCCGACCTTGTAATCTCAGCAGCCTTTTATAATATTGCTTGTTTTCATTCTCAAACAACACCCACTCCTATTTCCATTCAAATCAGCTCACTCTCTGTCTCAGTTCTATGGCGTCCGATCATCCAAGCATGTCTGAGCTCGCTCTCGGCCGCCGCGTCTTTGTCGCCGACCAGCCCAGCTCAGCCGCCGCCCAGTCCTCGGCTTCAGCACCAGCACAGGCACCAGTCCCAGTCCCGTCCATCATCTCGTCGGGCGGCGTGAGTGGCGCGCTCGGAACGGTTCGGTTTGTGGGCCTCGTGCCGCCAAGCGAAGGTGAGCCTGACTGTGCTGCTGTTGCTGCTGCTTCAGCTGAGCGGCCGTCGTCCCCTCTGCCGTGGTGATTGTGGTCATCGTGATCATGCCTGTGGTCGACGGAGAGAGGCAGCCGTCGGACAAGAGCGGCGTTGACGCTTTGTGTGTTTTGGCGGGAAAACTGAAACACATTTGGTTTGGCAGGGGAATGGTTTGGCATCGAATGGGACGACCCATCGCGAGGCAAGCACGACGGAAGCCATGGAGGACACACGTACTTTCACTGCCGGTAAGGAAAACAAAAAAATGTTAAAACGAATGGTGGCAGGAGAGAGTGCATGAATTTGTATTGCGCAGCCCTTTCAAAATCCGAATCAAATCCGAATCCGAATCCGAATCCGAATCCAAAGTCGGATTGGTCACCCTAGTCTCTGAGTGTTGCCCATTTTAAGAACTCACCTCGAGCAATGCTTGCGACAGGCATCCGATGGCGGGATCGTTCGTTCGACCGAAACGCGTCAACTTTGGTGTGCCGTTTACATCAGCTTTGCGGGAAAAGTACGCCGTGCCTGACGCAAGCGCTGCAGTTGTGTCGGATCCAACTGGGAGAGTCGTGCTATTGAAAGACGACAAGGATTCGTTGGTCAAAGTCCAATTGGTCGGTTTGGACGCGGTTGAAGCACGGCAACGGTAATCCCAAATTTGGCCCAATGAGTTATTCTATGGTGCATCCATCTCACAAGTCTCTGGCGTGTTTTTGTGTGTTTGCAGGCAGCTACATTTGTTACCACGGGCCAGTCTGCGTGACTGCTTGGTGAACGGTCAACCCGACACCGACCCAATCGACACAAAGTCACTTGGTATGAAATCCATTTGTTTTTGTCCTTGAGCTCAAAGCGTGGTCCTCCCAGCAGTTGGCACTCACGCTGTCTCAGCTCTTGAAGAATTAGACTTGTCACGCAATCTACTCTCGTCGTGGGTGTCTGCGGCTGAAGTTGCGTCGCGGCTGCCTCGGCTGACTTTTCTTGATCTGAGGTGAGTTTTTTTGGATTGTTTGGAGATTGGATTGCGACAGTTGAATCTCATTTTCACTGCTGTGCATGCGTACCTCCCAGTGATAATCTCCTTTCTTGGGACACTCTTGCAACTGTCAAGCTGCCGCTTTTGCAGTCACTATTTTTGAATAACTCTGGTCTTGCATGGGCCCATGTACGTTGCTTGTTGGTGCATCACCGTATTGCACTCCTTCTTTGCCTCGCGCTCACAAGTTCTTGGCTGCAGTTTTCCTCAGTGGGGGTTGCAGCTCCCAACCTTTTGGAACTCCACGCGCGAAGCAATCATCTTTCCAGTCCTGCCGTTTCAGAGTGCGACACTTGTGATTGTATGATCTGATGCTTCACGAGGTAAAGCGTCTCACTATCGCGCTTTGCAGAGTTCAAGATCTTGCAGTTGCATTCCCCCATCTCGAGCACCTCGACCTTGACGCGAATGAAATCTCCAGTTGGGACTCCATTCAACCTGTATTAGGCCACATTTCGTAAGTTGTCACTCGTCCAAATCGTTGTGCATTGCACCACCGTCGAAGCTGACTTCCACTCCGTTCATTCATTTTGTTTTTTCATTAGAAATCTGAAACGACTCATCCTCAGCCGCAATAAACTCGTCGACATCTCGCCGCTGCAAGACACCTCTCTGTTTCCGTCGTTGTCAGCGCTGTCTCTGTTGGGGTGTCCAATTGATAAGGTAAGCTATCAAATTACGTCGCCGATTTTTGGTGTTTCTTATGCTCATTTTCCAATCAAATCCAACATTGAACAGTGGTCCTCTGTGAATGCGCTTGGATCGTTGCAAAAACTGTCAGAATTACGATTCTCAGACGTTCCACTGGTGAAAGGTCCGTCTGCTGGCTTCAACATGTGTTTGCGTTTCGAATGTAGATTCCCTCGTTGCTGACCTCTGCTGTATCGTCGCTTGCTAGACTTTTCTGTGGTCGATGCAAGATTAATCTTGATTGCCAAGCTGCGCGGTCTCACCTTTTGCAACGGAAGCGATATCACGCCTCGGGAACGCGACGATGCGGAGCGTTTTTATCTCGCTCGCTTTGCGTCCGACTGGGTGGTAGCTGGTCGAGAACCCGGAGATGCACGAGTAGCCTTTGATCGCGAGCACCCTCGTTTTAATGCGTTGATTGCGAGTAAGTAGAGCTGCACCATGCATGTCCCTAAGTTTTGAAAACATCTCATTTCTCATTTCGATTGCAGTCCATGGTGCACCAAGCGTACCGTCCGCATCGGCAACGTCAAGCGCGCTCAAGCACACACTAATCGAGCTCAATCTAACGCACGGCAGTCGGTCACAGCTCAAAAAACTCCCGCGAAATCTCTCCATCGCAAAGCTGCGCATGATGGTCGCCAAGCTGTTTGCCATTCCGAGCTCGTCCGCTTCTGCCATTCGCATTGCGAGCGTTGACCCGACGCGTCACATCAGCATCCCGCTCGATGATGATTTCCGCGAGCTCGACTTTTATTCGCTCGAACCTGGCAGCACGTTGCTTGTGACTGTGGATTAAGAGGGAGAGGGATGGGCGAATGCTTTTCAACTCGATATTCTTTCCACTCAGGATGCTTTCAACGTAATCTACTCGTCCGTGTACTTGTACTGTATTTCGTTTCGCTGAAAAGGTATTCTGGCAAACAACTTTCTGAAACCCCTGAAACAAAAATCAATATCCGACCAGCCGGAAAATGTATCCAGTGAGATGATAGCCCTCGCGAGAGTCCAGCACAGAGCACGCAGGTTGGCTGGAATCGATAGAAGTGTCCCACTTGATCTCACACGAGGGTGGCGAGGCATCCTAACGAAAAATCAAAAAGTGAGCATAATTTCACTCGTTGGCAATATCAAATACTGCCAGAATAACAATTGCAGAGCTCGCTTACCAGAACAGCTGCAGAGTAGTACGTCGGGACAACCGTCACAATGGAGCCGGACTGGCCGCTAATGTCAAAGCGGAAACGGCCGCTGTCGCAGTCAGCGTTCTGGCCGACGCTAATCGGGTTGGCGGTCGTGACGCCGGCAGTCAGCGGCGGCGTGATGGCCGTATCGACGCACGGCTGCCAGTAGGTTTCACTGTGGTGTGGCGAATAGGGAAGTGAATCGGTGGTACCGAGTGAGATTGGATTGAAACGCAAACTCCGACAGCTCTGCCGGTTCGACCCATGCACAAACAACACTCACTTGACAGTCACGGCAAACACGAGCGTGTAGTTGCCAGCCTTAAAGTTCTCGGCCGTGGTGTAGAAACGCGCAGACGCGGGCAGAGTGCACGAGGCAAGTGCCAGAACGAACGCAGCGAACGTAATTGCCGCGGGCAAAGGGCGTGGGATCATCGTCATCAAAGATACGTTGGGAAGACTGGCCTTGAAAAGTACCATCATGGAATAAGTCACATAAGTGGAATGGAAATCAGGACCAAAGACAAAAACAGGGAGAGGGAGGGGAATAAGCGTGGAAATGATTGAAAACAAAAACACATACAGCGACAACAAAATAGCAACCAGAAAAGCAACCAACAACATCAAAAAGTCGGCATAAAAATCAAACGTGAATAACAAGGGGAACACAACTGTAGGGTGGCGGGGAAGGAGGCGGAGGGGGCGCGAGGAAACGGGCAAATCAGTATCACTGGATTGGCTGAACCCCCTCCCTTCATAGCCGCGTCGTTGGTGGTGCAAGCCGACCGCCAGAAGACGAGTAGGAACCAGCAAAGCTGGACGATGCGGGCTGGGGGTGCCGAGCGGCCGCGGCGGCCGTAACGGGTGCAGTGCTCGTGCTCGTCGTCGACACCTGAGTGATCGGCGATGCGCCAAGCGTAGCTCCGGACGAGGGCTGGCCAATGATGGACAGATTGGGCGTCGACGCAGAGTGCGCGCGACGCATGTCGGCCGGCCATTCGTAATTGGCCGTGTGCCACGGGGGATGGTTCATTGCAAGACGCAGCTCCTCCAGTTTGGCGCAAATGACACTGAACACGGGTCGATCTTTCGGTGACATGGCGCAGCAGTCGACAGCCAGCTTGAGGAAGGCAGGAGGGCATTCGCCGACCTCGGGCAGCTGGGCAAACTTGTCAATGTCCAGTCCAAACTTGGACGTGCGCGGCATGTCGTCTGGATCGGCCTTGACACGACCGATAATCTCACAGCAAACAATGCCAAACGAGAACACGTCCACCGACGCGTCGTACTCGTCGCCGCGGAGCATTTCGGGCGCCATCCAGTACGGAGAGCCGGCAACCGTCATGCGCTGCCCAGCCACGACCGAGCGAGCAAGACCAAAGTCAGCCACCACGATGGCAAAGTTCTTGCGAACGAGGCAGTTCTTGGACTTGAGATCGCGATGAATCACCTTCTTGGTGTGCATGAATGCCATGCCCAGAGCAATGTCGTGCATCACTTGAATGCGCAGCGCCCAAGGGAGCGGGAACAGACCGCGGTTTTTGATGACCTTGCGCAGATTGCCGCCTTCAATGTACTCGGTGATGAGGTGCAGCTTCTTTTCCTTGACAAAGACGCCGATAAACTCGAGAATGTTGGGGTGGTGCAGCGTCTTGAGCAGAGACACCTCCTTCAAAAAGCTCAGCTTGGCTTCCTTCTCGTAGGACTTGAGCTCCTTCATGACCATCACTGCGCCGGAATGGCGATGTCGGACCTTGTAGACCTCGCCGTAGAAGCCCTTTCCGATGAGTTCGCCCACTTCGAGATCGGCAAGGCGGAAGATGCGCGACGACAAGCGCTTTTTCAGCTTGGACGGACCGAACAGCCCGGCCCCCTTCACAACGCCTCCATCCAGTCCAATTTCCCGGACAACGCCTCCGCTCAACGAATAGCCTCGCGAGAGATTGCCTGCCTGGTATCGTCCCAAACCGGACGGCGTCCGAGGTGAGGACGTTGGATCGCTGCCAGAATGACGGCGCGGCGACATGTTGGCTAGATCGGTGATGTCGTCCTCGAGAAAGTCTGCAGCGTCCTGAGCAACACCCAGTGTGGCGGCATTCAAGCCTTGGGTGCTGAACGTAGACGACCGAGCCGCAGGCGGGTGTCCGTGGCCCTTGGCCGCGTGCGCGTCGAGACCGTGGCCCAGGGCGCTCTCGGCCACAAAGGTGTCTGCAAACACTTCTTCTGCCTCTTGCAGAAGCGTGTCTCGATCAATCTCGGGCTCCATATTCAAGCTCTCTACCATTTCACTAATTTCGGCCATGTCGGCGCTTTCCACCTCCAGACTCCACGATGTCTTTTCCTCGTCGTCAAATTCGTCTTCGGACAAGTTGGAAGTGGCTCCAGGCGATTGAGACGAGGCGCTAGGCTGCTCGGCAATGTTGGTTGTGATACCTACAACGGCAAAGTTCATAAAATAAAAAAAACAAGTCAGCTTCTTCCAAAACTCGGCAAACGGGGAAACAAACAAACGCAATGACACCAAGCCCCAAACCTTACCATAAGATGAACTAGAATTGCTCTTTCGAACAGTCACCATGACACGCTCTCCGGGCTTGTGCTGCATTGCTGTGAGAATGCTATCGACGTCTTGCAGCGTGTGACTGACCTGGCCGTTGACGGCAACAATTTCGTCGCCAACCTCAATCACGCTCGAGCGAGAGTCGTTCGAGGCGTCCGATGCACCAGACGCGCCGGGTCCGCCAAACAGCGAATGGGTGCTCGAGCCCGAGCCCGAGCTATTTGAGCTGCCTGTAAAACCGGCAACAAAGATGCCGTTGCTACCTTGCCGCAACTCGACCGCGCCAAGGGTGGAGCGCGTGCGGCCAAGCGGAATTCGGGCCATTTTCGTGGCGGGAGAGTCTGAAAAGGAGGATCGCGACACCAGCCGCGATGGCGAGGAGGCCGACGATGCTAAACTGTCCAACGCCGATGTAGCAGCATTCAGGGCGGCAGCAATAGCCGCTGTTGTTGCGGTCGTTGCTGCAGGCGAGTTGGATGGAGCGGCTGCGGGTGGGTGAGCAGAGGACGGTGTCGTTGTTGTTGTTGTCGTTGATGATGCTGCTGGCTTTGCCGACGAAGCAGCATGCGTCGTGTGAGCGGTTATCGCGGGCGCTGACGGAGATCGGTGATTAAAAGGGGGTGCTGCGGCAGCGGTGGTTGCGGGAGTGTGTGTGGTCGCAGTAGATTTGCTGGGAGCAGCAGCTGGTTGCTTCGCGCCATTTGGCGCTGCCGAGGCGGCTTTTGTGGCGGCAGCCGATTTGGGCAAAGTGGCCGGCGGCGAGGCCTCGTGAGCCGCATTGTTCGCCGTGGACGGTGGTACTGCGGTATTGGTCGATGGAAGATCGAAAGCTGTTGACGAGCTGGATGGTGATGACTTGGACGTTGGTAATAGGCCTGGAAGTTGCGGGGACAAAACGAAACAATGAGTCATCCAAAACGAAGCAAAATGTGACCAAGCGTCAAAGCCTTACCTTCTTTGGAGGAAGCACGCGATAGCGGGCGGTCGGCCCGTGCGGCTGCGCGCGCGACTGCTCGTTGGTAGCAAGCACTGCAATACAGGTCCTTGTTGGTGCTGAGGGCGAACGTTTCGCCGACGCCCAGCAGCTTGGAACACCGGAAGCACTTGAAGCACTCTGAGTGGAAGAGCGCATCGTGTGCAGCCATGATCGGACCCGTGATGAACAACGTACACGCCGTGCATTTCCGCCCAAAGCGCTCGAGGAAGTGTGTCTGGCAGTACGGCATTCCGTCTCGCTCGTAGTAAAAGTCCTGGAGCGGCGTTGAGCAATCAATGCACCTAAACAACGAGGCAAAACACAACAAAATCATTTCCAATCGAAGACAACCAAAAATCACAACAAATTCGAGATGATCAAAAATGAGAAAAAGCGAACAACAACCAAAATCGAACAAATTCTGCACCAAAATTCAATCCAATTCAATAGAATTGTAGAATTTTTGTGCTACTTTACTTGAAGCAGGCGCCGTGCCACTCCTTGTTCATGGCTTGGAGCACACGCGAGTCCTTGATGACCAGCTTGCACATGGCGCACACCGCCGAGGAGGTTGCTGCACCCAAACAGACAAAAAAAAAATCAGAATAAAATCATCAGAATTAAAAAAAAAAAAACACGAAAAATCCATAAAAGAGGGTATGGCGAAATGTTTGGCGCAAACGCAAACTTTGTCGATAGGATTGCTGAATCACTAAATGCATAGCGAAAAACGGAGGATTGCATTTTGTTCGCAATGTGTTTCATAACATTCAGTGGAGACAAGGCCGAGCCAACAAAGTCACGGACTGTCCCAAAAATGCCGAGGGCCGTGCAAGAGCATTAGCATTGACTGGAGTGCCTGACTGCCATCCGGACGGGAGCAAGAGTGAGCTCGAGACTGGGAGGGATGAAAGGTCGCCTTGGTGAAGTGAATGACGATGCGTTGCGAGTGTACTGCCGCCAGTCAGGCCGTCGCTATGGAGGAGCGACTGTGCCCGTGCTCGTGTCTGGAATACTGCAGGTTCATTGTTTGTGCGACCCGCGGCTGGCTGGCTGGGCGACCCAAAGTGCGTGCTGCTGGACAATGGCAAACCGCTGCTGCTAGATTGTCGAATGCGATGCGCATCGCGAGCTCAGAAGCAGGCGCGCTGCAAGATGGACGGAGGCATGATGAACATGTCATTGCCATGCACTGTGCAGGGATAGCCTGGGGGGGCGGGAGCGGGGTGCGCAGGGCAGGGGCGAGCAAGCTTACATGGCGAACTGGTCGAGCTGGTCGACATCCCCGCGCTCACAGACTCAGAACCAGCTCAAGGGAGGGGAGGGGAAAAGTATGGGAGTAGTAGTAAGCAAGTCAGAGGCAAAGGAGATGGGACGATGAATACAAGTGGAAGGAAAGGAAAAAACCGAAAAGTCGGGGGAAGTGAGTCAAAAACGGAAAGAGGAGTGACTTGTGCCAAGAAGTCTCAGAATGCTTGACAGGTGGAGCAATCGGCTTAGAATGCGGGTATGGGGAGTAGCTGTTTGGAGAGTTTTGACAAGAGGGGAACGGCTACAATGGAAGAGTAGCGAAAAATGTAGGATTTTCGCTCGCTTTCGTCAACGTTGTCCTGGGATTGTGGGTACATTGAGGTCCATGAACAGTTCCGTAGATGTACTACTCGCGGTGTACGTTAAAAAGCGACCGAAGGAAGCGAACACGAGCAAGGAGCTCTCAACCCCTTCAACAACAAGAATCGACCTCAGCTGTCTCGACTTTCCACTTCGGAAGACGCCCAACCCTGGAACTCAACTCCTCCAGAACACCCAGACCAGCCAGCGTTCGCAGCACGGTCGTGGAGCTTGAACAAATGAAAATGTATTGACAGCGTCAAGCGCAGTTGCAGACCACAATGCACCTCGCGAGCCCGTCTTCTGCTTCTTGATGAACGTGTATAGCAATCATAGGATCAATCCAAGTCGTCGTCGTCAAAATTGTGGCTCAAGGACACAGGAGCGGTCAGAGTTTGGTGAGTTTGAAGCCAAAGCACGACCAGGCCGCGACACTGCCGCCCGCACTCGCACTCGTATCGAATATCGCGCAGCATCGAACAAGTCATGCAACAAGTCCGAAAGCCATCCGGTGCGAGGGGCCAGGGGCGAGCTGAGCACAAACAACAACACAATGACGCGGGAACGTACGATTGAAGAAGGTCTGGTGGATGACTTCAATGTGCGCCTGTGGGCGTCCAGAGCCATCAGGCGACTGCGGGATCATGCTGTATGGGAAGTGCAGGCCGCGCGCACGGTCCATCTGCAGAGAAGCAAGAGCAGCCATGACGGGCAATGCAAAGTCAGCCACCGCGCATCGCTGTAAGGGCTCCACACGACAAGACACGATACAACATGAACATGAAACCAATGAGATAGCGGATGGCGTACAGAATCGTCAATGATCATCTCTTCGTCGGGGCTGTCGGGACGTGCACTCATAGTGAAGAATGACTGGTCTGGTCCTTTGAGACTGAGAATCAGCCTCAAACACTCATCCATTGCACAATTTGCAAAGTGCTGTTGATCATCATACAAGTATTGCCACTCTTTGTTTTTTTTTTTTTTTTTTTTTTTTTTTTTTTTTTTTTTTCTATGCAGTGTGTTGTTCCCTCTCGATCGCTCAAAGGTGAGGTTGTCTTCCGTCGCTCGCCTCTCTCCTCTCGCCGTCTCATCCTACCATTGCACTCCTGATGACACGAGTCAGAGCCATGCGCGGACACTGGAAGCGCGGGGCGGGACTGCGCGCTTCACTTTGACGACCTGCTACTTGTCTCACTTGCATTGCTTGCCTCGTCTCTTGCTTGCCAGCGTTCGGTCGCGCGGTGCACTGCTGTGCCAAGATCGGCGAGGAGATCTACCTCGAAGCACAAGCCAACCAGGTGAGCTTCTCCCCGCGTTTTGCCCTGTCTTCATTGCACAGACGACAGTTTGCAGCGTTTTGCAACGACCTTCAAAAAAAAAAAAATGGCGGGAAACTTGAAACATTGTGTTTCAGAACTGTTTTTTGGGGGTTTGCAAGCAATTTTGATAGATGTCTGTGTTCTTCTGCTCACCGACCGACCATTGCGTTGTTTTCACTCGTTGGTTAGTTGCTGGTGCGCACTGTGAGCCTGTCCCGCGCAGCGTTCGCCTGCTTTTCCTTTGCGCCGCAGTTTTTCGACAAGTACCGCACAATGCCCATCGCGGGCCTCGCAGTCAACGAGCAGAGCCTCCTGAAGTGCAAAGTGCTCGCAAAGGTAGCCATAGGTCGGCTGGTCGTGTGTCGCAAAGAACTTGCACTGAACTTTTTTTGTTCGCTCTTGCCCGCCTTCAACCCTCAACCTCACAGTCATGCCAGCACATCTTCCGATCGCTCACCAACATTGAAAAGACGGTCGACCACTGCGACATCTCGTTGGACCTGGACGAGTCCAGGCTCGTCTTCCGGTTGTTCTGCAAGCACGGCATCACAAAGACACACTACTTGCGCTTTTCCGAGTGCGACACGCTTCAAGCCATCTACGGCACCGAGCACTGTGTCAACCAGATTGCATGTCCGGGTGCTGTGCTGAATGACAGCGTGGTTCTCTTTCCAGTCAACTTGGAGGAGATGACCATCAGCGTCACCGACACGGAGCTTCGCCTCGCTTCGTACACGGAAGATCTTGGTAAGTGTTGATCAATGTGGAGTTGTTGCTGCTGCGACAGGGCAAGCGCAGGCATGCTGGAAACTGACGTTTGATCATTCACAACGGCAGTCGACCCAAAGAAAGTCTTGCACACTGAAATGGTCATCCAGAAAGACGAGTTTGAGCTGTTTGCTATCGGCCTGCCTGCAGATATCACATTCTGCCTGAAAGAATTCAAGGTGTGTAGAGAGCCTTTGCGTGCCTGATGATGTTTGATATCTGCTGCTTACTTATTGTGCTCCGCATGCCAGGCAATCCTAACGTTCTGTGACACGCTGAATGAAGCCATGCAAATCCACTTTGACAATGCGGGAAAGTAAGTTCAACGTGGGGCTCTCTGAAAATGGCGAAAAGTTTGTTTTTGCTCATTTTTTTTTGTTCTTGTTGCTGTTTTGCTCAGACCCATCATCCTCTCCGTCGCAACCGACATGTTCAAGGCTGAGCTTGTCTTGGCCACGCTGCTCGACCCCATGAACTCGAGCACAACCAGCTCGCAGCAAGTTCCGTCGTCGGCATCACAACAACAGCACTTCCATCCTCAGAGTACGCCGCAGCACCAGTCGACTCCGACCATCAAATCATCGCCAAAGCACGAATACTCGAGTCAGCAATCGGCGTCCTCGCACGGACCCACTTCCACAGGACAACTGTTTGGCAGCGGGAGGTCGAACGATTCGCAGCGTCCGTCTCACCACACCTCCAGCCACATGCAAGTGGATCATGCAACGACCTGGGTTGCACCGCAACCCACGCCACAGCAATCGCCGCAGCGCAACCACGTTGCTGCATCCGGCCTGCTCTCCTCCGCATTCGGAAGCCACCACGGCGCAGACCGGATGAGTCCAAACATCATGCCCACGCTGGGCAGCTCGATTCCACCTCCAGCCACATCCAGCTCTCTTCCACGCATCGGCATGCAACCAGTGGCCGTCGGAGGTGGCGGCGGTGCAGACCTTGCAGGCGAGGCGCGTGCTGCTGCTGCTGCTGGCGTTCTGCCGCTCCCATGGACTACGATCGTGCGCATGACGTCGATGATGATGATGACGAGTATATTGATGCTGCTACGCCACCTCGAGAGGTAATTTCGGGATGGTTGTTGGATGCGTTGCATTGTTGTTTGATGCTGAATTCGCTCACTCGCTCCGTCTCCTTTTGTTCTCTGGGCTTGTGATCCTGTGCCTTCGATTGCGGCCTTCGATCCTCGCCAGCTCTCTGACGATGAGGGCCAATAGTTGCCGTGTTGATCGCCTTCAGTTTGTCCGAACTTGTAATTTCTATTGTAATTTTTATTTGTAATTTTATTTGAACTTGCACGCCGTGCATCCCTCGCCTTCATCCCCCTTGTTCGAGCATTTACAAAGGTAACAGAGGCTTGCTGCAAATGCGACCACCGACAACGCTACAGCGAGGCGGCCGGCAACTTGGCATTGGCGCGATCGGCAAACTTGACCTCGTCAACAATAAACCGGTGGTGCTCGCCGGATCCGACGACCTCCTTCTCGTCGCGTGCTTCGACTGTAAACTCGAGCTTCTTGCCGCTCACTTGCTTGAGTGTCGCGGTGGCAGTCACGGTCATGCCCACCGGCGTCGCTGCGACATGCGAGACGTTCACCAAAGTGCCAACCGACGTGCACTTGTCCGGCAGCACGCCAGCAACGGCGTTCACGGCTGCAGCTTCCATCAACGCGACCAGCTGCGGAGTGGCGAACACGTTGACGCTTCCTGGCAGTGGGAGATCAGATCAGGCAGAGTGGGCAATGATGGTTGGTACAATCAGAAGTCGTACACAACACGCAACCCCAGCAAATCGGTGTCAACACGAATCGCTACCACTAAACCGGCCATACCGGATCCCATGGCCTGCGCAGTGTGGGTGGCGGTAACGGTGACTGTGGCGGTGCCAGTGCGCCCTGCTTCCAATCCCGACATTGTGTCAAACAAACAAAGATGGAATGACAGGTTTCTTGTTTTGGACAATGTCTGAGCAGCCGGTCTTCAAAGTTTTAACACAAAATAACACTGTTGGAACAAGATGACCTTCTCGCGATGCAATGCAACCAACCACCTTGTTGGAATTTGTCAACGACTATCACAAGCGAAATGAAATGTACTGTAACAATGAGGGGCGGGGTGTGTGGAGACAGAATCTGTGCAGCTTGTTCATTCACTGTGAAAACATCCGCGAGCTTCCAAGTTCAAGCTCTTGCTGCAGCGAGAACAAGTCCAACGAAGGATCGTTCAGAATAGAGTGAAAGTCAGCCGAGGACATGATGGCACTGTCCATTTTCAGTTCTTGGGCTCTATGTAGAACAAGGGTAAAAGTGAAACAAGCCAACCATCAATGGTGTGAGTGAATCAAAGTCAAGGGAAACCGCCCCGGAAGTCAAACCACAGCAACAAGCATTTCACGTACAGCGATCCAATCAATTCTGCACTCGGAAGCGGGGCATTCTGTGCTCCATAATCGTTCGTAGCAACCAAGAGTCTCGGACGATGCGATGTCAAAGAGTGCTGAGAATCAGCCGGCTGAACGGGCGGGTTGGCAGGCGGCTGGAATTGAAACCCACTGCTCGACTGCCTGCGTTGTTCCGATTGCTCCTGCTGTTGCTGTTGCTGCTGGCGAGCAAGATTTTGGAAAAAGTTGGTGCCATTCGAAAGGTTGGCTGATGGGGACGACTGCGAGTACACCGGCTCGTGAACGGACGTCATGACGGAGGCTGGTGAAGCTGACGAGACGACCATGGGCACGGATTCTGTAGCAGCCGCTGTGGTAACAGCAGCAGCAGCAGCAGCAGCAGCAGCAGCAGCAGTGGCGGCGGCAGCAGCGTGGGCGGCCACGGCAGCAGCAATCGCAGCCTTCTTTGATTCTTTCTTGTTGGCTTTCGGAGCCGGAGCTTCGGCAACTTTGACACGTTTTTGAGCCGGCACATACTGCTCAAAGTCGTGCACGCCAGCTGGGGGCGCATGACTACCGCCAGTAGTGCTTGCCCCGTACTTTTTGCGAAGTGCTTCATTCGTGTACGAGGTTTCGCCAAGCGCCTCTGCAGCGAGTCGGGACGCGGCTGCCGTCGCTGCTTGCACGAATGCTTGCGGACTGTTGTTCGACGAAAGGTTGCTGGAGGCCATGGCCAAGTTGACGGCGGCGCGCGCAGCGGCAGAGTCCCCTGTCGCTTTGAGAGCCGCAGCCTTGGCAGCCGCTTTCAGCGCAATGGCGCGATGAATCAGCTGCTTCGAGTTGAGGGGTGCATTAGAGTCGTGAGGGGCGCCTCCCTCGTCGCTTGCTGGTTGGGCACCAGGCGGAGCAGGGATGGTTGCGGTACGTGTGTTTGCTGCTGCCTTTGCAGGCATGCTCGGTGCGGTGGACGAATAGTGGAAGGTAGCGGTAGTGGTGGATTGAGGGATGAACGGCGGTGCGCCCGGATATGGCTGGGTGGGCATGCTGGTGGTGATTGTCGGCGCAAACATCATCCGTTGCGGAATCGCCCCGTGTTCGTTCATGGCTTGCTCCAGCTGTTGCTGATGGGATAGAGCCTCGCGTGCAGCCTTCTTTGCAGCGCCCAGTGGAGAGAGCGCTGGTCCAGCAGAGACTGCGGGCTGAGACAACGTCGAGGCAGCCTTGTGAGCTCCGGTCGCGTTGGATATTGCTGCGGAGGCTGTGATTGCGGCAGCTCGTTTGGAAACGCGTGCTGGTGCAGCAAACACTCGGTCCGGCTCACTGGCTTTGGCTGCGGGAGCTTCAGCAGTAATAGTAGTCATGGGTTCTGACGCGACAGACACGACAATCTTTGGCACGTCTGGCGGTGCGACGACGATGCCCGTATCGTCTGATTGCATCGGCCCAGAGGCAGGATGGCCAGCGCCGACTGCCGGTGTCGCTTGAAGCAAACCTGACGACGGCAAGGCCGAGTCCAGGCTGCTGCTCATGGCGGCGGGCGACGCCGGAAGGCCGAGACGCTCCACGCCAGACTCTGGGTGATAGTGCTTAATCTCTGCTAAAACCATGCGCTTCAAATCCTGCACGGTCAGCTCTAGTCGTTCGAAATCAAAGTTAAACGGTGCGCACTCTGGCTCATCAATCTCCGAGTGGTACATGGCGAGGTAGGGATGAGCCAGTGCAGCCTCCACTGAAATGCGCTTTTCCGGGTCAAACTGCAGCATCCGGTCGAGGAGATCGAGGGCTTGCGGGTTGGCCTGGGGATACAGACGCTGGAGCGGGACACGCTCGCGCGCTGGGAAGCTGAGCATGTACCGCTTCACCTTTTCGCTGCCAATGCTGGACTCGATAAACTTGCGATCTGGCGTGCCAACGAGCCCGATGATCAGGTTGAGTTGATGGACGTAGTCCTTGCCGGGGAAGAGCGTGTGGCGGCCGAGCATTTCGGCGAAAATGCAGCCGGCCGACCAGACGTCGATTGCCTTGGTGTAGTGAGCAAAGGACAGCATGATTTCGGGAGCGCGGTACCACCTCGTGGCCACGTAGCTCGTCATGAACATGGAGTGCTCCTCCGGCGTGGCCGAGACGCCTCTTGCCATGCCAAAGTCGCAAATTTTGATGTCGCACTCGGCATTGACGAGCAAATTGGACGGCTTGAGATCGCGATGGAGCACCCCGGCCGAGTGAATGTACTTTAACCCGCGCAGGAGCTGGTACATAAAGTAGCGCACGTGGTCGTCGCTCAACGGCTGCGACGATCGAATAATGTTGTGCAGGTCCGTGTCCATAAACTCGAGCACCATGTAGACGTCCTGCAATTTGCTCGATACGTGCGGATCGCTCGGCGTGGGCGTCCCCAGCAGCGACCCACTCACCGGCGTGCCAGCTGGCGGACCTGGCAGATTGTTTGATGGGTTTGAGCTCGCATTGGACGACGACGCTGGGCCTTCGGGTTGTGCTGCTGTTGACAACGAAAGTGCTGGTGCAGCCGAAGTACTGGTGGTGGAGGTGGATGCGATGGCTGCCGCGTCGAAATCGAGCAGCTCGCGCAGCTTGACAATGTTGTCGTGATCTCGAAAGTGCCTCAGCAAGCGGACCTCCCGCAGCACGCGCCTCGCTTGGGTTGCGTTGTCGAACGCGCGCGAAATCTTCTTGATGGCGACCTTCTCGTTCGTGTCGCGGTTGTAGCCCCAGCAGACCACGCCGTACGACCCTGCGCCCAGATCCTTCTGCAGCATGTACTTGTCCGACACCACAAAGTCCGTATTGCGGAAGGTGTATGTGTGCGTCTTGGCCAGCGACGATGCAGCAGCAGCAGTAGAAGAGGAACTTGTCGCTGCCGTCAGTCCAGCTCCAGCTGCTCCAGTCTCTGTTGCAGCACCAGTCTCGGTTCCTGCTCCAGTTCCAGCTCCAGTCATCGTGCGTGCTGGTATCGCAGTCGATGTGGCTCCGTTCGTGCCAGGGTGCTCGGGTGACGGTGCTAATGCTCCGTCAGTGACTCTGCTCGCTTCCATTGAGCTTTCCACTCAATCTCGCTCTCTCACTCGCTACTTTTGATTTTGGACCAGTCCTTCCTTCCTGTTGCTCAGCAGAGTTGCGTAGTTTGTGATTGATGAATCGATGTTTGTTTTAAATTTCAGAGAGGGACTGAGCAATTGTCAGCTTCCAAATACGGCGAATGGGGCTTCAGTTCTGAATTTTCAACTCAGAGTTTCTGCTTCTGTTTGCTGTTGCTTGCTTCTGTTGCTTGCTTCTATTCCATAGCATGGCATCGCTGCATCCAAACAGCGTGCTGCTGCACAAGTACAGCGAAATCCCGCCGTTCTTGCAGGGCAATCCGCACATCAAGGACGGCTACCGGGTCTTCCTCTCGTACCCAATGTGCCTGCGCAGGTAACTCCCCCTCCCCCCAATGTCAATTCGCCCCCATTTCACGATGATTGTCACTGACCCTGCTGTGACTGTTTGGATCAGCCTGTGCGTCCTGTCGAACGAGTTTGTCAACGTGTGGTCGCACCTTGTCGGGTTCCTGCTGTTTGTCGGCCTCTTCCTGCAAGACCAGGCGTCCGTCATTGAGACCAGCGGTGGCGATGCGACGGATCGCATGGTCATCTCAACGGGGCTCGCTTGCTTCCAGGTCAGTGAGAAGAAGATCAGTCAATCCCAATGGCAATCGTACTGGCGCTGGAATATCAACTCAGATTGCATCCACCCGCATTGACTTGACACTCTGGTTGAAAACAAACACACAACACTTCAGATCTGTATGATATTCTCGGCGTCGTTCCATCTGTTTCACTGCCACTCTGAAGACGCGTGTCGGCGATGGCTTCGATTGGACTTGCTCGGGATTTCGGTCGCCGTGTGCGGGTGCTACTTTACTGGAATTTACTATGGATTCTACTGCCTTGATGTATGAAAAGTTTGACATTGAGGGGATGTGGTTGGTTGACTGGGAGAATGGATTGGACGCGGCGCAAGTGGAATCTGACTTTGTGCAATTGCATGCTTGCTTTTCCTTGCTCGTTCCCGCGGTCTTTCAATCTGCACGCGCAGTACTTTCGAAACATGTACTTTGCACTGTGCTCAGTCCTCACCCTGGCAACCGTGTCGTTCCAGCTGCATCCGAATTTCGACACGCCTCACTGGTTTGAGCGTCGCCTGGCTCTGTACGCAGCAATAGTCATGTTTGGCATTGTGCCGACCATGCACTGGGCCATCATCTATGGCGGGGAGGCTGGAGAAGTGCAGCTCTTCCTTCCCAAGGTGGTCATCATGTACCTGCTCTTCCTGATTGGCGTTATTTTCTACATAACTCGATTCCCCGAGCGCTCCTTCCCCGGTATGTCATGCGCCCCTTGTGTAATCGAGATTGTTGACGTTGATGCTTCAGAAGATGCAGCAAAGCCACGCACTGACTCTTTGTTTGGGGGGGGTGTTCGTTTCTTTTTGTTGTACGTGGACAGGCATGGTTGATATCTTTGGGTCGAGTCACCAATGGTGGCACGTGTTTGTGCTGGCTGCCTTGCTCTACTGGCACAATGCTGGACTGGAGGTGTTTGCGTACCGGAAAACGATGCCGTGCGTCCAACCTGGTGGCTGAAACATTCTGCGGGCTCTTCCGCGCTTTTTCCGGTCTGTTAGTAGTTGTGCATTGTTCTTCTGTGGTATTGTGTCTCTTGGTGTCTCTTGTACTTGTGCGTTAATACAGCTCAACAATGAACAATGGGTTTTTCCCTTTCCAGCCACTCTGCTTCTCTTCCATCCCTTTTTGGTTCTTTCAGGTCTTGTGGATCATTCTTCATTCTTCATTTTTTTTTTGTCATTGTACTCATTATTAGCATCAGCCACCTTAACCTTCTCCTATTTTAGTGTATGTTCCAGGTGGCTGCTTCGCCCATTGCAACTTTTTGGCTTTTGCATTGGTTGGCCCTCCCAATCACCCCATCCATTCGCCCGCATCTCTTCAGCTTCCTGTTTGTGCCCTCCCCACCCCCTTGTTATCTACCCACACACTTTTGCACATGGATGGGTGGCATTCGATAGCAGCGCCGGCTATTTTGCACGGCATGCGTTGGTGACGAAAGCGCCGGATCCTCCTCCTCCGACACACACAAATCGAAAACTGCCTCATCGTCGCTGCATTGCTCCTCATCTCCGTCATCGTCGCGCTCGCTTCCTCTCTCGCACCACATCACGCGGACCTCTTCTTCTTCTTCATTCGTCACTTGCGTTGCGACACAAAACCCAGTTCTCTCTTCTCATTGCCTTCTCATTGCCTTCTCATTGCTTTGCTTTTTTTTTTTTTTTTTTTTTTTTCGCATTCTCATTCGATTTTCATTCTCCTTTATTGATTTTTGTTCCCTGCTTCCCCGCTTTTTCGTCTCTTCTTCACTCTTCTTTGACTTGTCACTGTTTTTTTTTTTTTTTTGTTTTGATTTTGCTTCCCCCTTTAATGCGCTAAACACTTGAACAGTCCTCCACGTTTTTCAACAGTGAGTTGCCAGTGCGCCGCTTTTCTTTTTTGTTGTTTTTTCCCCTCTCTTTCGGCCGACAATCTTGCTTCCCAGTTTTGTTGTGATTTTTGGTTTCTTCCCCCACACACATTTTCCCGCCTCCTCCCTCAACCTTGACTCTCACTCTCTGCGCACTCGCTGCCACTCTCGGTCACTCGGTCACTTTGCAGCACTCTGACGATGGCTGCTTGTTGGGTTTTTGTTGGTGAGACGGGGGAGCTGAGGGCCTCGTTTTTGCAGTGAAGTGGGGTGATGCTCCATGGAAGCCGTTTTCCGTCCACTCCCACCTCCTCTCATATCGCAATCAACACCCCACCAAACCCCAACACCCTCCCTCAGTGGCCTTCTCTCTTGATCTTTGTCTCTCTTTGTCTCTCTTTGTCTCTCTTTTGTCTTTTTGTGAAGCTCACATTTTTCGTCTCATGATTTTTTTTTTTTCTCATTCTTGTTGATTGTGTTTTTCGGCACCTTTTTTTTTTTTTTTTTTTTTTTTTTCATTGCATTGCATTTCATTTCGTTTTGGTTTTGTGTTGTTCCATCTCTTTTGTTTCGATTTTCTTGTTTCATTGCATCCTTCTTCTTCTTCTTCTTCTTTGTCTTGATGTCTCTCTCTCTCCTCGCTTCTCTTCTCTTCTCGTCGTGGATCGGCTGAGCGGCGGGTCTTTTCGTCGGCTCGCGCGGGGATGCTATTTCGGCTCGGCTGTTTGTTCACACCCCGCAACCCGCACTCATCTCACGCTTCCATTTTCGCAAAGTCACGCTTTTCACACTCACCAACAACCACAAAGCCAAGGTTGCGGGAGGAGAAGGAAAGAGATGGCAGAAAACCGGATTGTTTTGAAAGACGAAGAAGACTCAGATTCCAAGCGCTTGCATACTCACCGCGTCTTCTTGTCATCTGGTTTGTTGCAATCACAGGACCTGCACACTCTGAGAACGAAGGGAAAACTCAAAAGCCAAAACAAACGTGATCAACGCTTTTCAAGTCTAGCACCCTCCCGGTCTCCGTCCGTCTCTCTCGCCCAGGATTGAATCCTGAATGTCTCGTTGCATGGCAAACGCGGCCGCATTCTGGGTGCCTGATGCACAATGGTGGGCCAAGGCTATTGCTGCTGGCGTGGACACGAGCCACAATCCTCATCAGCCGACATTGCTCACGGCAGCCACGACCGTGCCCAGCCAACCAGACAGCCACAGCTTGTTTGCAGACGTCGTCGACTTGATGATGGGACGGATTACTGCAGCCCCACCTCAATCGGACGGCCACCCTTTCATCTGGCAGCTCATCTGGTCGGTGTTTGTGGTTGCCTACCCAATTTTAGTCATTGTCACTTCGGCAATCATTGTCGCAGTCCTCGTCTTGAGTTGGCGAAGATTCCAGCAAGAGCGGCTATTGCAGCAGCTCGCGCAAATATCCTTGCCACGTTACGATCACATTTTAACGCCCGCATCTCCAACAACAGCAGCAACGGCAGCAGCAGCAGGAACGACAAAATCCTCGACTACTGGGCCAGTGTCGTCTGCGTCTCTGGCACCGTCACGACCAATCGAGGGTTCTCGTCGCGTGTCCTTTGAGACCGACCGGGACGGGCGCGCTGCTTCCCAGGGCAATCCGAGCACGCGGTCGTCTCAGCTCACTCGAAACAGCTCTGCTCGATTCGGCTCGTCGGCGACCAATGCCTCGTCTTCGCCCTTGGCAGCCTTTGCTGGCTTGTTTCCGTCCTCCAAGTCGAAATCAGCGCTGCCTGCTTCGGCCGAGATGCTGGCATCGACCATGCCTTCCCCTCCGCCTTCCGCTACCTTGCCCCCATCATCCAGCAGCGCGTCTGCTTCTAACTCCACGGCAAGCAGCTCACAAGCAGCTGGCGAAGCAATTTCCTTGAGTGCGCATTCCAGTGGCGCCAGTAGTGCACCATTACCAGCGTCAGCGGCTGCGCTCACCCAAAATTCTCGAAAAATCTCTCTCATATCGGAGGCAACGACAGCTGCCAGCGCGCCGTTTGTGTTTCTTCAGCAACAGATTCATCACATTCGCAAGTCGACTGGCCGTCGGCTATCTGGCATGTCCAAAACGCGTAAACGCGCCGCGTCAGATGTTGGCGAGCTGCTGGGCGCTGGCCGGTCGGCGAGCTTGCCCGTTTCTCGCAACGGCCAACCGGATGGCAGCTTCGACTTGCCGCGGTCGTCCTCGCACGATCTGCTGTCCGACTCGGGCACTCAGGCCACAACCACCTCAAGTGGTGCTGCTTCCGAGGACGATAATCTGCTCAGCAGCAGCGATGCACTGGGTGAAGACGACGAGGCTGGTGGCGAGTCGGCATTCTCGCCTGCGCAAGTTCCACGCAACGGCAGCGCCGATTGGGTTGTTCTCGATGAACAGTCGCGCACTATTCCATCGCCAACAGCGCAGGAAACTGGCAACCCCAACCCCGCTCTCCGCAAGAAAAAGTCGGTGAAACGCAAAATCAGCAAGCTCAGCAGCAAACTGACCCAATCGGTTCTTCACCCTTTCCGTCCTAAAGGCCATAGTTCCTTCAGCAGCTCGGCATCGGCCTCCCAAATCCATGCCTCGTCGTCCACGTCCACCTTCGAGACTACCCGTGCTTAATGGACTGTTTGGGAGCCAAGTTTTAACTGTTGTTTTTCAAGTAGTTTCGCTTTTTCGTTGTTGTTGTTGTTGTTGTTGTTGTTGTTGTTGTTGTTGTTGCTGTTGTTGTTTTCGTTTGGCTATTTAAGAAATTACATTATTTATTGATTTTTCTTTTCTGCTCTCAGCCAAGTAGCGTGCCAAGTAGCACCAACACACCCGGCCAGTGTGTGTGTTGTGCTGATTTATTTTTATTTTTTGTAATTTGAAAGAATAATTTTTGAAAACCGGGTGCGTTGGAAACTCGATATATCGATGCCTCCGTACTTTCCAGCCCTGTACTCTGCATTTATGACATCCATTAAGATTGCACTTGAGCAGTCAAGATGGCTCGCCCTCTCCAAAGTCGAAATGGACTAGAAATAAAATGCAGCCAAAGAAAATTGTCGGTTTTATGATACAGACGAAAACGGACAACACACAGTTCGATTAGCCCTTAAGAGACGAGCGGCCAGCACGCAGGATCTCGTCGACAAGCACAAGGTTGCCAGCAATGACCGAGCTGTAAGGAAACAAAATCAAAAAAAGACCAAAGTAAGCCATCAGTTTTTGTTGTTTTTTTCAGCAACCGAACGCTCGCAAAACATCAATGATAACCTACCACGAGTGAATGAGTTGACGCTTGACGCGGTAGTTGTCCCAGATACCCTCGTCGGCGGGGTTGAGGGCAAGACCTGTTGCGAGATCAACGCCAGAGATGTGACCAGCTTGATGCTCCTCCTGAAGTGTGACCATCGTGTCCTGGGGATCAAAGCCAGCGTTCTGGGCAAGAACCTTGGGGATGATGAGGAAGGCGTCGGCAAATGCCTGGACACCAAGACGTGCGCGGCCCTTGATGGTCAGGGCAAAGCGTTGGAGCTCGCTCGAGAGGGCGACTTCGAACGCGCCAGCGCCAGGGATGACGGCCTTATCCTCGATGGCGTTCTTGACAGCACGGAGACCGTCGCGAACAGCGTCCTTCAGCTGGGTGATGCTGTACGCGGCAGGGCCTTGCAAAAGCAGAGTGACGGACAGCGGGCTCTTGCAGTTCTCGACAAAGGTGAACTTTTCCTCGCCGATCGACTGCTCGTAGACGACGCCAGCCCAGCCGAGCACTTCGGGGGTGAGCTCATCCACCGTGTTCATGGCGCTGCCACCGCACGCGAGACCGAGACTGTGCGAGCAAGTCGAAAAAATTAACAAAACAGAAGGCAGAAACAATGATGAGATGGAAGGTCTAAGCCAGCACGCCCTTGCAATCTCCACGCCCGTGCCCCCACATTCCAAGGAATCAAAGAACAGTCAAAGGTGGGTGTGGCTGTCTTACCGCTCCATGTTTCGTCGCTTGGCGCGGCGAAGAGCGAGAATGTTGGCCTTTGCGAGCATGTCCAACGACAGAGGGTCAATACCCTTCTGGTTGATAATGACAAAGCCCTTGTTCGACGACCCGACAACAGAGTTCTTGAACTCGATCAGCTTGCGAACCTTGTCGTCGACAAACTTGCGCTCGGCAGCGACCATCTTGTCGCGCTCGGCAGCAGAGCTGTAGAAGAAGCCCGAGTTGATCTCGCTGTGTTTAAGTAGTAGTCGTAGTAAAAGTATGTGTGAGAGAGGGGATGATGGTGTTTGTGAGTATATGCTAGCGATTCAAAGACCAAACGACAGAAAAAATGCAATGGCAAGCCCACTCGTTCCCTTGTTGCACCAAAACAAGCAAAAAAACACCATACCTCTTTTCATATTCGAGAGACACGTTGAGTGTAAGAATGTAAGCATCCTCAACACGCTTGGGCATGTCGGGGTGACGACCGCCGTGATCCAGCACCAAGCCCTTGACAAGAGTCGCGTCAACGTCTGCCTTCTGCTTCATCTCCATGATCTGGATGATGGCGATAAGACGAGAGTCAGTCAAGCATTCACAAAATGGCGTTGCAAAGAGAGGTCAAAAATGAATCCTTCAAAAACACAAAGTAAAATCCTGACCTCAACCATGAACAGGTCCAGTGGTCGCTCTGGGCGCTGAATCGTCAGCAACGAGTCGACAATGACCTCTGTCAGACGGTCGGCAAGATCCAGCGGAACCTTTGTGCGGAGGGAGGTGCGGGCGACCTGGACAAGCGTGTCGCGATCCATGTCCTTGCTGACCTTCAGGTCCTCGAGGACCTGGAGGGCCTTCTTCTTGGCAATCTCAAAGCCCTCGTTGATGATGCGGGCGTGCAGGCCCTCGGACATGTAACGGTTGGCCTGCTTGAGCAGCTCGCCAATGAGCAGCACCGTCGAGGTCGTGCCGTCGCCAGTCACGTCGTCCTGGGCGGTCGATGCGCGGGCAATGAGCGAGGCCGTCGGGTGTTGGATTTGCTGTGCGAGTAGCATGAGGGTGCAGATGTGGATGAGTGCCAGTCCAAGAAGGAAAAGAAAAAACCAATGCAAAAAACAGGACTCGCATTGCTACGTCAGTTTCAGCGAAAGAAAAAAAAAAAAAAAAAAAACTCAAGCACATGGCAATGAAACTCAATCAAAAGCCAATGCAAAAAAAATAATAAAATAATAATACAAATAAAATATAAAATAAAATAAAATAGTTGGGCTTCTATGAAACACAAAAGTCCCAAAAACGATGCAGCACTGCATCACATTCGAGGGCTGGCCTCAGCGGGTCGGCCACAGCGGATGTGCATCCATGAGATCAACCATCCTTCCATGTCACCGCATACCCCCTCCCTCCGCTGCCTTGGCTCTTTCCATACAGTTGTCGCCGCCAAAAGAAAAAAAAAAATATTGGTTTTTTACCATTTCGTGGAGAAGAACGTTGCCGTCCTTGGTGATCTTGATGTCGCCAGAGCCAGAGACGAGCCTGCAGAGTGCGCACGTCGTTGTTTGATGTCGCAGAAAGAGAGAGAGAGAGACGAAGGAGACGAGGTGGGAGAAGCCAGACACAAGAAACAGAATCCAAAGCAAACAGTCAGTCAAACAAATAAAATAAAATAGAATAAATCGAGATCGCGGCTTCCAAGCATCGCTGCACTCACATCTTCATGGTGCCCTTGGGACCGAGGTTGCTCTTGAGGACCTCCTGGAGACCTTGGGCAGCCGTGATGTTGACCAGCAGCGCCTGGGACGCGCGCGCCACCTCGGCCTTCGGGTTGAGGGTCTTGATCGACGACATTGTGGTGCAAGACGAATGGGGGAGTGAGCTTCTCCCGTCCAAAGTGTGTGTGAGATCAAACAAAGCAAACAGGATTGAAAAAGACGATGATGATGATTGGGAGGTGTTGTTGAAGCTGGAGGTTGCTGGCAAATGGTGGGGGCGAATTGGATTTTTGGCGGGGTTCACGGATCGCCTCCTCCTCCCCCTTCTCTCGCATGGATTTATGAGCGTATGGAGAGGAGTTGGATTTACAGCACGTTCAAAAATGAGCTTGGGTTGCTGCCTCGCGGGAAGCGCACTTCGACATTTCAACAACTCCGCTCGTTCAAACTCGGATTGTCCAACAATGGAAATGGAAATGGAGAGGCTATGGACTCCTTAGGATTAAAACATGCATTATTTGAAACAAAAGACGCCATCAGTCAAAATAACAGCGAGCAGCTAGCGCGAATGACATGTTGCTTGTCGGCTTTTCGCGCTTTAAGAATCAGAGTAGAAGGTTTTGTACGGGTCCAAGGCAGGAGCAGAGCAAGCAGAATCGTCATCAATGGTGATGGAGACAGATGGAGAGAGGTTGGTCAAGTTGGAGTCGGAAACAGCGGCGTCCAAAGTCTGTTCGATAGCGGCGTTGCTTGGTCGGCGAACGAGCATGGCTCCGATATCGCGAATGGACTCGTGTTCAAGACTGGGCAGGGCAAGCAGGGCATCCAGCTCTCCTGCTACTTCGTGCATGGAAGCGCGCGTCAGCGGATCCCATTCCCACATTGAGAGCATGAGCTCGTACCTGCCACGCACGATTAAACCAGAAACGTCAGTTGGTCCGCTCGCCAGGCACTTCAGCACCCTCCGAACGCGTAACGGCAGTATCGAAGCCACTTACAGAGGATCGGGGCATCGTGAACTCTTTGCAAGACGTTCGCCAGACTCGAGCAACGGAACAATGTCCTCCGTTGCGACATTGCTGTACGGCACTTGGCCACCGGAAAACAGCTCGTGGCACAAGACGCCAAACTGCCAAACATCCGATGTCACTGCAATTTGCGAGTAGAGCAGCGTTTCCGGCGGAGTCCACTGTCACGATTGCGAAAACAGAACAAATCAAAGTGCAACCAAATGTCAGCAACAACATCAACACCAACCTCGTTGGCAGAATCAGCCTGCTTACCCGAATCGGAACCGAAGCATCGTTCGGAACTTCCATGAGCTCCGTGTCAACCGGAAGGGTGGTCGCAAGACCAAAATCACTCAGCTTGACGTTCAGCGCCGTGCCCACCAGGCAGTTTCGAGCCGCTACGTCGCGGTGAACAATGTGATGCTCACTCAAAAAGACAAGGGCCGAGGCAATTTGTGAGAGGACGTGCAGTGACTCTTTGGTCGTCGGAACGATGGGTTCTGGAGTGGCTGTCCGCCCACGATGCAAGAGCGACGCGAGATCAAAGTAGGGCAGATACTCGAGTACCAGCATGGCAGGCTTGGCCTCGCCAAAGTAGGTGATGACTCGGATGATGTTCTTGTGATTGAGTCTAGAGCGGGTGGGGGACGATTCAAATTCAAACAGGGTAAAGCTGTCAGCTCAGCGCGCCAATCTTCTACATCCCTTTCATCCATCATTTTTCCATCTTCTACAAGCCTCACCGTTGAAGGAGCCGCGCCTCGTTGGCAAGATGCTGGCAGTGAACATTGTCGCCGTCGACTGTGGACTTGAGGACCTTGACGGCGACCCGAATCTTCTCCGCAGCAGGCAGAAATCCCGGGGGCACATCGACAGCCTCACCAGAGGCGGAATCGGCGCTTTGACTGGTGGTCAAGTCGGTGGCAGTTTGTGGCGACAGCGTGCTGTGGCGCGAAGACAGTGCCTTGGATACGCTGGCGCGAGAGTGCAAGGACGACGAGTGACGAACCGTGCCATTCCTAGATCGCATCGAAAGCCAGAATGCAGGCGCCACTCCAAGCAGCACATGCGAGGAAAACCCTTCGCCGAGAACACCCGTGAAGAGGACTTGAGAGCGGTCGACGCGGCCGTGCCGACGGGACAAGGTGAGCAACGGCGACGCCACCGACTTGCCATTGCCCGAACTGCCAAACAGGTGATTGTGCGCATGCACCAGGCTTGAGTCTTGCGAGAACTTGCGCAGGGCATTTTGTGGCTCGCTGTATTCTTGCGGGCTCGAGTACACGTGTTCCCCGGCGAGCGAATGACGATGCGTCTCCCTCAGAGAGCGGGCTGAGGTACTGGCGGGCCGTGGCGAAGCAGTCCGCTCGCGCGCAGACGGCGAGTTGGAAAAGCTAATGTACTCGCCTGCAAGCTTGGCGGCCGGCAAAATCGCGAGGTCGTCCGTCATGGCGCTGTTGCCCCGAAGCAAATCACCCGCCGTCGTCGAGACAACCGGGAATGACGTTCGGCGCTGGCGTGGAGGACTGCTTTCGGGAGCACTCAGGTCGTCAGCAGACTTTTGAGCGGCATCCAAGCTACCGAGCAACGCGTGCGATGAGGGCGAGAACTCGCTGCTGGTCTTCAGGGACATGGATCGCTGAACGCGAAGCCTGTTCGCCATGGCTGCAGGCAAGCCACCCAATGACTGCAGTACGGACCCACGCGAGTCGCTGGACGCAGATGCCTGCGCCTGCAGCTTGGATGGAGACTGCAACGAGCTCAGATTCAATGCTTCGGTGCTCGGGAAATGGGCTGGACCGACACTTTCGGACGATTCTAGCAACGTCGACAAGGTTGCTCCACGCGGCAACGGAGGAAGTGGAGAGGACGGACGGCGTGTGGGCGGCATGATGGGCCGGACATAGCCGTGCTCGTCAAAGTCGCGCGGGGTTTGGCGGCCAGAGAACGAGTCGGAACGGGTAACGCGTTTCATGGGCAAAATGGTGGTGCTCGATGGGGTGGATTCCGACACTTGAATCGTGCCGATGGGCACTCCTGTGGATGTGGATCTTTGAACTGGGAGAGGTGAGGCATTGATGGTAACGCCGCTGTTGTTGAAAAACAAAGTGGTGAGCAAAACGCACAAAAAACACTGCAACGCGAACAACAGCGAACGGTTTTTTTTGAATCGGTTACTTTTCATCTCGGACGACTTGGATCATCTGACGGCGCATGTCACGTCGCTTGTGCGAGTGGTTGTTGCGTGAGCGGGAGCGCAAAAACACGACAAGACCAATGATTGCTCCCATGATGATCACGCCACCAGTGACCAACAGTGCAATCAGAAGCGTCTTGCTCTCGCTGTTCGACTCGGGAGTGGTGACTGCGTGCTTGATGGCGACGACCTGCGAGGTGAGTGTCGGGAATGGGGTGGGGGTGTCGAGCTTGGCGGAATTCTGGGCGGTGAGGACGTAGGTGTAGTTGCGCCCAGCCTCGACGGTAGAGTCGACAAACGAGGTCATCTGCGGCGTCGACTGATCGAACTTTAACACGACGGTTGCCTCAGGCATGCGAACCAATTGGAAGCGGACTTGGCTGGGATCGTCGTTGACAACCGCCAAGCCTGGAGCCCAGTCAAGCTGGACACTCAGGTCGGACACGGTTGTGGCATCGAGTACAGTGGAAGGTGCAAACGCTGGCACGCCGGGCTTGGTGGATGTGAGATAGGTGGCAGGTGCCGTGTACCAATCGGGAGAGAAGCTGTTGCTCGCCGAAACATTGATGCGATACAGGGTGAACGGAGCAAGGCCGGAAATGGTGGCTGTGCGGAGAGTCGAGTTGACGGCAACATTGTATGGCCCTGCGGCTGGGTCGTCGACCCTGGTGACAACGACAGCGTAGGTGGCGGATGCGTCCTGAACATACTGCGGCGCCTTCCACGAGACGACCAGCACCGTGCTGTTCGCAACGACCGTCGTGTACACTGGAGGTGTTGCGCCCCAGATGATTGGTCCAGGAAGGGTACGAACGGCCACGGTGAGGCGGGACGATGCGGAAGCCGATGCGTCCGCGTTTGAGCACGTGAGGTTGAAGCGGTAGCGAGCCCCAGGCGCGAGACCAGTAATGGAGGCTTTCTGCGTAGATTGGTCAAAGAGCAACTGGAAAGGGCCTTGACCGACGGGATTCGGGTCGTTCGTCGCGTACGTGAGCCAGTAGGCAAGCGGTGTCGGTCCCGACGCGCTCGCGGGTGCAGGCCAGGATAAATCCATCGAGGAATCGGTCAGACTGGAGGTGTCAAGAGTCAGGTTGGCTGCGCCGCTTGGCCAGATTGGTGCATCGCTGAGTGTTGTGGTGGACCAGGTGACCTCGCTGGAGCTCGGAGGGTCGGCGGGGTCGGCCGAAGGAATACTAACGCTCAGTGTAAAGCTGTAGGCCGTGAAGGGCACCAAATGGCCCACCGTGACGTTCGAGTTTCTTGGAAATGGATCGATCGCGACGTTGATCAGTGTGGAGGTATCAGAGCCGACAGAGAAGGACAGGCCGAACGTGGCAGTGGCAAAATCGACGCCGATGACCGCATTTGCCCACGAGATGGAGACGGTCGCGGTGGAATTGAAGCCGCGCGCCGGTGTGCACACAATTTGGCTGCCGTCAATCGATGGTGCTGACTGTGCGCCCACGGCAGAAAGCGGGCCCGCAGCGAGCAACAAGGTGCATAAAACAGCGCAGAAGCGGGCAGAGTGTGCGCTGATGAGTTTGGCAGAATGGAAGAGTTTGCGAAACATGGTGTTCAGGCAACCGATGAGGTCGTGCAACGCCGGGAGATACTGGGAGTCGATGATGTGATTACTAGGTAATGTAAGAGGGTGAAGTGGAGGTCCAGAGTGGAGAACAGAAAGGAAAAGAAGAAAAAGAAGAAAAATTGGGAAAAGAAAAACAAAAACGCCGAACCAACAAAAACTTGTTCACCGAACTCGGTTTCACTGCGCTGAAAATCCGAGTTCAAAGTTGAGCAGCAAGCGACCAATGAGAGTTGGTTTTTAGTGCAAGTCAGCCTCAAGTGAAGATGATGAAGGTGGCAAGAGCTGTGCTTCAAGAGAAGAAAAGGAAAAGAGACAGAAAAAAAAAAAACGCAAAATCGAACCCTCAAAGAACAAGGACAAAAAACAAAAAGGTGGAATGGTCGAACGATCTGCTTCGATCACAGTCCAAATGCTACAGTAGAAGATACGGCATATTGGAACCGTTGCTTGTTTCGACTGGATCACATTGAATGAAGGAAGACCGGCTGCAGGTGGACATTGCAGCGTCGGCAAACCCCAAAACAAGGAAACGGAATTGCACTGGCATCGTGCTGGGAGCCAAAACGAAGCTTCAACCCCGCCGCCCACTTTCAACCGAGTCCCCGCCCCTGCGATGGCATCGCGACTTCATGCTAATTTCTCTCGTTTCGCCTAACCTACGAATGTAACTACATGCATCCTATGATTGAAATCCCTGGAAAAACAAAAATCGGACACGTTAAATGCAGAGGGTTCGAAAAACAAAAAAGATAACCAGTCGCAATATTGTGCTTTTTTTTTTTTTTTTTTTTTTTTTTTTTTTGGCCTTTTTCTTTAGGTTGTTGTCTTTCGGGTAACAGTTTGTTTTGACTTCAAATGCGATCTAAAATCGAGCTCCCAGGCTGCGCTCAGTGCTTTGCTGCTTTCTCAATGACCTCCACCTCCATTCTGTCAACTGATAAGTTTGACAAGGACAACACGCCTCTGTTACAACAGGGGTCGAACATTTTGGAAAGAAGGAGGACAGATACCAAGAGCAATTTCATCGATTCGTCTCCGTATTTACGGTTGGGAATTTCCAGGAGCTGGGAAACCGTGTCGTGACGAGTGGCTCGGTCGGGTCGCCAGGCTCATCAGGCAGACGTGGCATGTGTTGGTCGATGTCGAGCTGGTAGCCGCGGTCTCTAAGTCTGTTGATATACCGTTGGACCTGCGGTGCCTGCGGGAAAGCAAGCAGGCGAACAGAATGCTCGCGGAATTCCTTCAAGTCTTGCGAATCCTCAAGTGGTTCTGGTGGTATCGAAAAGAGCATGGCAAAAGGAGCGGTAGCAAGGTTGTTTCGAGCAAGAAGCTCGTACTTAGACAACTTGAGCAGATCAAAAGCGATTCTAGCCTCCGAGACGGCATCAGCCAAAAAACACTCTTGCATCCGGCCCCAGTAGCGAAGCGCACGGGAACGGATGAGATGCTGGAATGCCGGCTCGATGGTCAAGCGCGGATAGCAACGCTGATGCACTTCGTCGAAAACGGCGAGAACATGATTCAACAGACCCAGGCGCTCGCGAATAGCGGCTTTGGTAGAATCAGTTGTCCGAACAATGTGTTGAACCAGTGGAGGGAACATCGTAAATTTCGAATCTCTGCGTGAAAGCAGTTCCTGAATCGCATCGGATCCAAAATCTGCTTCACACAGCGCTGGTGGCTGGTTGAGATGCTCGCACAGCGTGGGAAACGAAGCCTTCCACTCGTTGAGCAGGAAGGAAGCTGGAACAGGGCGGTCTTCTTTGTCTTCTTTCCAGTGCTCGTTGCTTCCAGTATCGTCAAACACCGACAGGAACAATCGCGCGAGAAAAGGATGCAGAAAACGGAGTCGCCTGCCATCAAAGTGCACCAACTGGACGAAAGCCTGGGCAGATGCAGATGGGTCGGTACACCACTGCGTCCACTTCTCCATAGCCATGAGAACAACCTCGATATCCTGGCAAAACGCCGAGAGAAAGGCCAGCAGTCGCGCCAGACAGAGGAGCCAGCTGAGGCCAGTGGGAGAGCGGCTCCGGAGCTGCGGATCCAACTGCTTGCAAAGGTCTCCGATCCACGTCGCGGCGGGAATGAATTCGCCCCTGCAAGCAGAGAGTCCTATGATGTACAGATGTCGATCGTCAGGAGCAAGTTCTGCGCCAGCCATAGCGTCGAGTGCCTCTCGTGCATGCTCAATCCACCGCTTTTCTTCGTTGGAGACGGTCTCTGCCATGGGGTGACTGAGGGCAGAATGCAGGCGGAGACAAACCTCTTTCGTATCTGCGCGAGTCAGCTTCGACCGAAGCTGCACGATGTGAGGATTCGGCAGCCCCAAGGGGCGCTTGTGCTGCTGCAGGGGCGGGACGACCCGCACGATCACAACTGGGTGTCGAAGCAGCGGCGGAGGACTGGGGGTTTCAAATTCGAAACCATGCAGCATGTCTTCGTCAAGCAGCAACAAGGTAGGGCGCGAAAGAATCGCAGGAAACCGTTGCCAGAATGCTTGCACTTGGTTGAGATCGAGATGTCTCACGCAGTAGACATCATGGGTGTCCCGCAGCTGGTAGCCCGTGGCGCGCAGGGCGGCGGAAGCTCCGCAACCGGGCTGCATCTTTTGCAGGTGGACCACGGTCCAAGCTGCTGTACTGCTCCTGCGGATGCAATCAACAGTGTTTTGAATGTTTTCTGTCACTACGACAGCACCAGAACGAACAAGTTCCCAAGAAGGCGGCGGGCGCGCGGCGTCGGAAACCCATTCTCGCACAAGTCTGGGTAGATTGACCTGGGCATGAGCGGGCGACTCGAGCGGCATCAGCTCAACGCGGCCGTCGAAGAGCGAGCATAGACTGCGTTGTGCGACACCGGGCTCGTCGGCGCTTTCGAACGGAACATCATGACCCTCATCGTACAAAATTGCGTCACGCAGCGTCGCGATTTTGTCGGTACGAAGCAAATCGGCAGAAACGTTCAGCGTGCAAAGCGCAACCACTGCCGGGGGCGGGGTGGTGGAAACAGACCGGGCAACGACGAACAGCTGGATTGTGGTCGGGTCGTGCAAAAGGTCGGCGTCAACAAAAAAGCAGCGAGGCTGGGTTGGGTGACACACAAGGCTCAGTTGGGCGTGATTGATTGTTTGGGGCTCTTGTAGGACCACGACGTGATCAAACAGTCCTGCACCTGGATGTGTGTGCACTTCAAGCGTTTGGCGGGCCAGTTGGGCCTGCTCGTGTGTGTTGACAACAAGCACGCGACGATACTGAGTCTCGGACAGGAAGAGTTGCAGCGACGGGCATTTGGTCCTCGGGCGTGCGCGAAGCCAGATCGAGAACAGGGGCATGGTGAGTTTCTGCCCATGCGGTTGCCGATGCAGTTGGTACGCAAGGGACTTAGCTGAGTTGAGTAGGGTCGGATGAACAAGACAGGTGGCATCGCTCTCTGGAACGGCGAAGGCGAGATCGTAAACGTAGCGCCGCAAAGGAATGGCACCGTTGCAGGCGAACTGAGCGCAGTTCAGCCAATCAAAGCCCGTCGTAGACTTTTCGTTCCGCAGAGCCAACGCCACAGCCAAGGCGTAATCGCAAAGAGCTCGATCCGCATTCGAGATGACAACGTTAGGCCGAGCAAAGTCATCCGGAAGTAAATTTGCGAGATCGCGGCATTCGCCAAAGCAGCACGAAACGACATCGAGCACATGCTTGTTCACGAGCAAGTCGACTTTGTTCGCTTCGACTTGCGTGCTTCCATTGATGAACCAGGCGTGTCCAGACAAGCAGCTGATAGCAAAGAAGGCTTGGGCCCGAGGAACATCGGACAATCGGACGAGTTCCCCACTGTCACTCGGCAGTGCGACAGGATGAGCTCGGATAGTCAAGAACGCCGGATCAAGCAACGGAAACGCCCCAGAGAAAAACGAGTCCAAAGCTTCTGACAGCTCTTCGTTGGCCTCTTGCATCCCGATGACGAGGCGTGACTTGTCGTGTATGCCCAGAAGCAGGTGGACTGTGCGGCCTGACGACTGACGAATCACGGGAAGAAACTTCTGAAGGTACTTGCGTGTCTCTGACAGTACACCGCTCGACGGTAGCTTGAACTCGCAGGTCGAGGTCTCAGCGTCCGCTGTGGCGGCTGCGGAAGCCACGGCCAATGCCTCCGCAAAGCGAAATTTCTGCCCAGGAAAGAGCTCCTCGCCATCTTGGATGGCACCGCTCTTAAACTGTGAGGTTGAGCGGAGACCTGCTGCCGCCGGCAGACTGCGTAGTGCACCCTGCCAAGCGCCACAAACGCCGGGCGAAGTCTGATCGCCAACACGCATCGACGGTTCTACAGACAGTGCAACGGCACCCAAAGGGAGAGACGGGACCAGCAGGTGCACTTTCTTCATGCCTACCACATAGGCAATCGAAAGTTTCGGGTACAGCGGCGGGGCGACGGGTAACTCGTTGAGCAGGACAACGTCCGGCTGAATTCCGAGGACTCTGCATTCAACTCCCAATCTCTGCACAAAGTCCGCAACGTAGGGGAAGATCAAGTGGTGCCAAACGCCTGGAGTCGAGTTCAACGCGCCTCCAACGACAATGCCAAGACGATTGAGAGATTCTTCACAATAGCAGCCTTGCGCAGCATCATGTCTGTTTGGACACCAGTTCTAGAGGAAACAAACAACAGAGTTGAGTACCAAACGTGGAAATCGCATCAGGGTGAGGTGCACGACGTTAGGAGGTTCCACACAGCCATCACGAGCCATTCAATTGCGAGTTGGCCAGAAGTAGGCTCACAAACACCATCGCCCCAATAATGATGTCAAGTACTCGCAACACGCTCAAACGCCAGCAGCAACACTGACCATTTTGTTCGTGGACAAGAGACCTCCTATAGAGGGGGGTCGCCTGAATATGAACAAAAAGTGTTCGCTGGACTACATTAGGGTTTTCCGTTTGAATATGAACACACTGGTATTTGCGTCACAAGTCGACTTCGTGGTCTCTGATCTGCTCCCCAGTTTGAATTTATAATAAAGTCATTCTTTTTTATCGATGGCGGGTGCATCCGAGGCGGCAACTCGGTGTCTCGCGTGGCTGCAGGCAGTGAAGGCTGCGCCCGAAGGAGAAAAGCACAATGTTGCCGTCGCAGTCGCTCTCAAGCTTGTCTACCAAGACTCTGTGACCCTTCAAGGGGGCGAAATCTATCGCCCTACAGGCTGGACAACACGGGCCATAGCCGCGCGGCTGGCGGAACAGGGCTATCAGTGCGGTCACACCACAGTTCATGGTTGGAAAACGAAACACGCGAATTCAGCCGAGTGGATTCGTTCCAGCCCGCTCGATCAGGTGCTCCAGCTCGTCAAGGAGAGCCCATCGTGCGGAGGACAGAGCATTTTCACTGAAGATGAACTGGAGTACTGTATCCGGCTGCTGGAGGGGTTTGCCCGGGCTGGGCAGTGTCTCAACCAGAAGCAGGCGGGCGCTTATCTTGTGAAACTCTCACGCCTCCCGCGCATGTCGGGCGCCCCGCGTCGCCAGTTCGCCGGCAGTCTGCCGAGCCATGAATGGTGGAATGCCTTTCTGCGCGATGCTCGCGGGCGCCTAGCCATCCGCAAGGGTCGAACGCTGGAGCTCACCAGGATTGCCGCTTTACAAGCTGAAACACTCGATTGCCTCCCCGGACTTTTGAAACAGCTGTTCGATGAGCATCCGCTTCTTGTGGAGGAGCCCGGTCGGATTTCCAACATGGACGAGACAGAAATCACGACCCGTTTTTTTGCGGGTCGTGTCATTTGCACTCCCTCGTCAGACACGCGTTCTGCGGTCGT